CAAAGCCAGCCTGGGCAACTTAAGGAGACCCGGTCTCCAAAGAAAATTTTAAAAGAACCGGTGGGTATAGCTCAGTGGTAGACAGAGCATTTGCCTAGCAAGAGTTCAATCCTAGAGACAGAAAAAAGAAGCTAAGTATGAGGAAACAAATCCAGCTGTTAGAATAATGGATTAGTCCATGAAAACAAATGACCAAGATTCTCCAAATCCATCAGCGTCATGAAGAAAAAGGCAAGTGCGCTTATGAGCAGCACTTCACAAAAAGACATGCACAGGTATTTTCACATCAGCACTCTCTGAAGTCTCCCAAAAGGCAAAGCAAAACAGGACATAGTGGGCCCGGCCACAATACTAGATACTCAGAAGGCCGAGGCAAGTAGTTTGAAAATTCGAGGCCAACCTGAACAACTTAGTGGGATCCTGCCTCAAAAAAGAAAGAAAGGAAGAAAGAAAAATAAAGAAAGAGGGCTGGGGATTTAGCTCAGCGGCATAAGCGCCTGCCTTGCAAGCAGGCAGTCATGAGTTCGATCCCCGGTACCGATAAAAAGGAAAAAAAAAAAAGACCAAAAAAAAAAAAGAAAGAGAAAAAATTGAAAAGGCTGGGGATGCAGCTCAGTGTGTTGTGCAATATCACAAAAATAGGGCCAGGCAGGGTGGCCCAGGACAGTAATCCCAGTCTTCAGCACGCAGGAGGAGCACAGCAAGTTCAAGGCCAGCCCAAACTACATAGCAAGACCCTGTCTCAACCACAAAACTAAACAAAAATAACTAATTTCAAATAAAAATAAAAAAATAAAAAGAAATGGGGATGTAGCTCAGTGCTCCCTGGATTCAAACCCCAGTAATACACATGTATAGAATGGTCACTAATAAATGACTGGCCCAGCTACTGGGGAGGCTGAGGCAGGAGGATGGCTTGAGCCCAAAAGTTTGAGAACAGCCTGGTAACAGTTAGAACCTTTTCTCTAAATAAATAAAACCAATTCTACCCATCCATGTAGTAAGGACACACAGCAGTGATAGTGAAGTAGCAGCGTTCAGTGTAGTTGAACCTCATAATGCTGAGTGGAATATTACTCAGAAACCAGACACACTTTATACCGGCAAATTAATCCAGGGTGATCTAAGTCAAGACGGAGCCACCTTTAGGGGGTTGGCATGGAGATGGGAGGGGTGTGAAGGGGCTCCTAGGCCCTGGCAGTTTCCTCTCCTGCAGTGCTGCGGACTGAGCCCAGGGCCTGTGCATGCCAGGCCAGCGCTCTACTCCTGGGCTACACCCCACCCCCGGCCTGGCTTCCTGATCTGGGTATTGGCTACGCAAGTGCGTTCACTGTGTGGAAATCCACCAAGCTATGCACATGGTCTGTGTACTCTCTAATATAAAACTTCAGTAAAAAGATAAAAACAAAACGTATTTTTTAAACCAGGGAACCACTCTACACTAAAGCAAAGTAGAGAAAATAAAGAGACAAATCAGGGCAAACCCTGTTGCTCGATTGGCCCATGCTTTCTTTGTAATTGGCAATCTGAACATACATCAAACATTATTTTAAACTGGGCTTGGGGAGTAGGCCTGTAATCCTAGCACTCTGGGAGGCTTAGGCAGCAGGATCACAAATTCAGCCCAGCCTGGGCAATTTAGCAACTCAAGGAAACCCAGATTGGAAACTGAAGTTTTTAAATAGGCTGAGGATATAGCTTAATATGAAGGCCCCAGGTTCAATCTTCAGTACAAAATACAAAACGTATCAGTACTAAATTTCTTGTGTGATGATGGAGGGTATGGTGGTTACACAGGGGAATAACCTCACTCTTAGGAAGACAAGTATTCTAGGATACAATATCCTGCCTGGCATCTGTAACTCATTAGCAACCCCTTAAATATACACATGAATGAGAAAAGCCAACTCTGCAAAATGGGACTAGGGAATCTTGGGGAGCTTTTTTATGGCAGTTTTTCAGAAGTCCTCTGTATTATTCTTCTCTTTTACAGGTTGGAAATTTTTCAAAATCAAAGTTTTGGGAAGGCTGGTTTCAAGGCAAAGTCTTACTGTGTAGTTCAGGCTGGCCTTGAACCCACTACGTAGTCCAAACCCTTTTTTTTTTTTTTTTTTTTTTTGGTACCAAGAATCAAACTCCCCACCTCGTGTTTGCCAGGCAGGCACTGTGCTGCTGAGCTATTCCCCAGGTCTAGCCCAGATCCTTCTGCCTCAGCCTCCCAGGCTGCTAGGATTATAGGCCTGCACCACCACACCTGACTTCAATTAAAAAGTTGAAGAAAAATGCCTCATCTGAACTGCTGTTATTCAAGAGTTCAACAAAACTCTATGTATAGAAGGCAACAAAGAGTCCCTGAGCATTTACTGTGAGGCTCAGGTCACTTGCTGTGACACTCACGTGCTCTCCACATTCGTGTTCCCAGATGCCACCCTCATGTGCAGCTTAACCTAGAATGATTCCGATCACTCTCGTTTAGAAGTAGATGCTCGGAGAGGAGGAGCACCAAGTCCCAGCACTACTACGTGCTGGTGTTACAACCAGAACCTGTCAGGTTGCAGGCCGCGCTCTGCCACTCCTTCACTGGGCTCTTCTTGCTTCCCTGCCTACTCGCCCTCACAATCCAGAATTCACCAAGTCCAGTAAACTGCAACAGATCCGGAATCTACATTCTGCAATCCCCAGGGGTCACCATGGGTCAGACTGCAAACTGAACAATGCCTCTGCTCTTCACTGAACACCGAAAGGCTGGGGGAAAGTAAAGAAACAGGGTAATGTGTCCCCTTCCTAAGGCCCGTGACAGGTGCAGACCTAAAGAAACTTTGCTAAGAGTCTAGCCGTGCAAACAGCAGCATGAAGCAACAAATGAAATACAAGCAGTCCTGCAAATAGATTAAAAAGACCAGATTTTGAGGCTGGGGATTTAGCTCAGTGGCATAAGCGCCTGCCTTGCAAGCAGGCAGTCGTGAGTTCGATCCCCGGTACCGATAAAAAGGAAAAAGACAAAAATAAATAAATAAATAAAAAATAATAATAAATAAAAAGACCAGATTTTACCCTCATGGAAAAACAAGTGTGTCCAAACTCTGTAAGTCACCAAGGAAAGCTGCCGTAAACATCAGCACTGAGGGCTTTCTTTAAAATTCCAAAGGCCAGGCGTGGTGGTACACACGCCTATAACCCCAGCACCAGAACTGAGGCAGAAGGTTTCACCTGGGCTACATAGTGAGGTCAAGGGTGGTCGGAACAGTATAGCAAGATTCTATCTCAAAAAATAGTAATTATTATAATAGGAATAATACAAACTCACTTAATTCTCAGAACAACCCTGTAAGGAAGGAACTAGTATTATCCCTATTTTACAAGAAACTAAGGCAGAAAAGTTTACCAACCTGTCCAAGATCACACAGCTGGTAAGTATGGAGCTAGGATTCCAAGGCAAAAGAGTCAGTTCTAGAGTCTACACCCATAACCGTTACTCTACACTGCCTCTCTAGGGGAAGAGAGGATTAGTTATTCAGTCATCTTTTGAAATCAGAAACTGGTACCACAGGCCAACTAATAAAACAGTGTGAGACTAAAGACTGACTCAGCCCCAGACTAACTGTATGCAACTCTCCTGACACAGAAACCAGGTTTAGGAGAATTATCCAACAGTGTTTTCAATCCCACTCTGTTTTGATTGAAGAAATGGAAAATCAGGCTGATTAGGACTTGACAATGAAACAACAGGTAAGTACTAAAGAGATTCAGTTCACTGAGAAAGTCATGCACTCGCAGCTGACTGTTAGGTGGCAATGCCAGAAGGTGGCATGAAGCATTCAAGTTTGCCCCCAGCTGCCAGCATATTCTGATGCAATCCCATCTCTATCCGCTTTGGAAAGGAAGGCAAAGAGGAACAGATAACAATCCAACAAGTGCTGGCCAAGCCCCAGGAAAGCACCTTAGATCTTTTTCCCAATGTACAGAGAGGCCAATTCCCAGAACTAAAGGAATATTAGCATGACAGTACCTCTAACTGGCAAGATTTTTTTTTTTAAACTGTCCTTTGCCTTTGCACTGGCAGATTAGAGGAATCAGGAACTGAGGACACTTCAAACACAGCCTATGGGCATTCCTTACACATAACAGTTCAAGAATCCCAGGAGCCTGGACATTTCAGCAGGCTGCTTACAGAGGCTGGTCTGGAGAGTAACACCTTTAAGTGCTCCAACGGTTCCAAGTGTGACTCCTCTAACAGACTTATTATGAGTAAGACGGTAAGAAACACTAAGTGGTAGCTGTCTGCCTCGGAAGGAAGTGCATTTCTACTAAGCTGTACTAAGCCTGACAGGTGCTTCCAGGAAGAGGGAAGGCGGATGCTAAGGTCCCAGGCTGAAACCTTATTTTTTTTCCTACGCCTAACCCTAACTAAATTTTAACGTGGATGGCTGACTGGTGTGGTGGAGTCACACATACCTGAGTGGAAACCCAGGCTCAACTGGACACATGATTTCATGCATGTTACGAATCCTAAGTATGCATTTTTAGCCTGTACTTCCCAACAGTTGTAGTGCGCTCAAACGGAGACAATAAGTAGTTTATCTATGGCGCGATAGCGGCCACGCAGTGAAGGTATGGTCCTTCCTATCTCCTTCCCCTCCACTCACTCCACCGCCCCTTCAGATGCCTTATCATCGCCGCCTTCCGACAGCAGAGCCTCAGGCGTCAACACACTGGACCTCCGGGTCCCCTTCCTGGAGGGGCATTTGGCTAATCTGTAGGTAAAAAGCTACAGAGGAGCTCTTGCCAGGAAAACACCAAACCAGGGAAGAGAGGCTGGATCCGCGGCCACAAGCTTGGTGGCGTCTGTTGTTTACAGTGCGTCCCCTTCCTGTCAACGCGAGTGTATTTCCAACTTGGCGAAGGAAGCACAAATGTGACGAAAGACGAGGAGGCTGGCAAGGGGGCCACTCCTGCAGGCTGGGCTGCAGGTTACAAGCGGATACGCTCGAGCCTCTTACCATCTCTCCTCAATCAAGGGCCTCACAGCTCCAGCCTGGGGTCAACACAAGGGACCTCCAACCTCCCGTTAAACTCCAGTGGATTTGCAAGGGTGGAAAGTCGGGGGGCTGGCAAGCGCGGCTGCAGCCTCGGTCTCGGGAATGTAGTCAAAGAGGGGTCACGGGGGAGGGGCCGCGCAGGGAGGACATGGAGAGGGGCGGGGCCCGAGACGGGATGAGGGGTCGCGGCTCCCGGCTTCGGAAACTCGGGGTCTCCACTCGGCTTCCAGCTGGACGTTGCGCGGCCCCTCCAGCCCGGGTCCCCGCCCGCACCACCTCGGGGTCGTCCCACTCCCCTCACCTGTTTCGGCTGCTCTGCCTGCTCCGAGGACGCCATCTTTCTGAGGCCTGACTAATCTACCGCCGCCCGACGAGATTTCTCCCAAGCGCCTTCGCTCCGGTTCTGCGATTCAGACTAAAGCAGAAGCAACGGAGCCTGTCGATGAGGGCGGGTTTGGGGCAGAGAGTGGAACCTGCTGTCTGGGTCACCTCATCATTTCCATAAGTCTCTCTGCCTTACAAGGAAGTCCGAAAGTCTATTCTTTTTTCATTGTTATAGGAGTATTATTATTCTCGAATTAAATCCCTGTTGTCCCCATAGGGCAGTGGACACATTATGATCTAAGTATTTAATAAATAAATGAATGTTAAGAAACTTGGAAGTAAGAGTTGTAGCCATTCCTTATAGTTCTACTGAATGCCGTTTTTTTTTTTTTGTTGTTGTTGTTGTTGTTGTTGTTTTTGCCTACTTTGATAGGCAGTAGAAATAAAAAGATCCAAAACCCCACAAACCCTGCTGGCCAGCCCAGGACGAGCACAATTATAGCGTTGCTCTGGATAGAACCTGGTTACTGCGGAAAGGTCTGTTGGGAGAACAAAGACTAGTGGGCCTTGGGAGAAAAGGCTTCCATGAACTATTATGGAATTACAATGCTTGAGTTGTTTTGTCTCTGTTTTGTTTTGTTGGGCAGTGCTAGTGATCAAACTGAGAGCCTCAGTTGTACTAGGCAAGCTTTGTCCTATGGAACCATGTCCACTTCCTGAATTGTTAGATTTTAAACTAAAGATAAGACACTACAGTACAAACGTTGTGACTGTTAGCTTATATTAAAACTGTTCTTGGAGGGCTGGGCATTTAGCTCAGTGGCGTAAGTGCCTGCCTGGCAAGCACAAGGCTATGAGTTCAACCCCCGGTAACACACACAAAAAATATCCCTGTCCTTGAAAAAGCTGGACATGTGGTGCATGTCTATAATCCCAGCACTCAGGACATTGAGGATTGTTATGAGTTCCATGTTGCCCTGGGCTCAAAGTGAGTTCAAGGCCAGCTGAAACTGCATAGTGAAACTCTGTCTCAAATAAATAATATAACTGTCCTTTAACCTAATTGAACTCAAATGAATTGCCTTAATTCCTCTTAACAAATATCTCATTTCTTCCCCATGTTTGTTTTTCCTTTGCTTGTGATACATGGATTGAACCCAGGATCTTTAGGCTCAACTTCATGTTCAGCTTGTTTGTTTGCTTGTCTGTTTTCAGATGCAGGATCTTCTAAAATGCTAAATTGCCCAGGCTGGGTTTAAACTTTCAATTCTCCTACCTCAACCTCCACAAGAGCTGGGGTTACAGGCACGTGGACTCACCGCTTTGCTCTTACTGCAAAGACAGGGAGATAGGACAACACAAGACTAACTGGTTGGTCAACGTTAGGTTACTTCATATTACCTCTTGGTGAAAGAATTAAAGAACAGGGGCCTTCACTGAAAGTGACTAGTTTGGGGGCTGGGGATTTAGCTCAGCGGCATAAGCACATGATCGTGAGTTCGATCCCTGGTACTGATAAAAAAAAAAAAGTAAAAATAAGAAAGTGACCAGTTTGATAAATCTGTTTTCTCTAACCTTGATTTTCAGAAGTTCAAATAAACAGCTTAGTTTCAACTTGGTGATCTGGAATCTTAGCATAAATGATTCCTTTTTTGAGTGCATGTAAAAGAGATGGAACCCAGGGCCTCCCAAATACTAGACAAATGCTCTACCAGTAAGCTACACCCCCAATTCCAGTTCTCATCTCAAATTTTCTTTAATTTGGTTTTTTGAGACAGGGTCTCACTATGTACTGCAGGCTGAGCTCTAACTTGTGGCTCCTCCTGCCCCAGCCTCTTGAGTGTAGGGACACCTGGTTTCCATCATGATTTTTAATCAAGTCTAGTGGCCCAGTGCAGTTTACTCCAAAGCAGTGGCCTCCTGAAATATTTTTTTTGTTTTGTTTTGTTAAAAGAAGGTCTTGATGTGTATTTCAGGCTGGCCTTGAACTCACTATGTAACCCAGGCTGGCTCTGAACTCTCAGCAATTCTCCTGCCTCAGCCTCCTGAGTGCTGGGATTACAGGTGATGCCATCACAGCTGGCATTGAAAGTGTATTTAACAGCCTATTTATGTACTTAAGATTTTATTCCAGTCAACTTGCACCGGTGAGGCAGTGAATAAAATGGGAAATTTTATGCCACTTTGCCCCGCTTTCTTACACTTCAACAACACTGAAACTGCACTCTTCAATTTTTAAAATTCAGATTATATGTTGGGAGACTTTACAGAAGAGCTTTGCAGGTAGGAAAGGGGAAACCAATAAACACTGTACAGTGGCAGACTTTTATTTAACTATTAGTATTATGCATGTACTTATGCTCCAAACGTTCGAGGATGTATACTTTGAGATGCAAAATAAACCTTGACTTCATTTTAAATATTCGATTAAATAGGACTGGGATGTAGCTCACTAGCAGACCACATGCTTACCATGCACAGGGTCCCCTCACCACCAGAAGACAAGAACAAAAAAGCAAGCCACTCTTTGGCTGTATTCCGCAAGCTAAAGTAGGAGTTGACCTGTCATGCCCCGGGGCCGCACGTGATAGCTAGCAAACTAGAACTACATCTCCCGGCGTCCCTCTGTGTCTCGCGTGATTGGCTGCCAGTAGAACTACAACTCCCGGCAGGCCGCGAGATGGGCAGGAGTACGAAGAGCGCCCTGCCCCGCTCCCAGTACCTTCCCGGAGTTTCTCCAGTCCCACCTTGAAGAGGATGGAAGTGACCAGCGTCTCAAGTGCTGTGGAACCTGGCGAGATGCGGTCTCCAAAGGCTTGTCTATTGCGCCGCAACCACTCCCGCGAGCAGCACGGCGTGGCGGCCTCTTCCCTCGAAGAGCTGAGAAACAAGGGTTAGCACTGGCCCGGGCCGGGGCGGGGGTTGAGAGCCCGGTGGGTCGGATGTTCCAAGGCGGGACCAACGCGGGGTCGGGACGGAAACTTGGGGATTCCTGTAGCTCAGGAGGAGCCTTGGGACAGAATGGCCCATGTGCGTATAACGAGGAACAGATGCCAGGCGCTTTAGCTCTTCTCATGGCAGAGAATAACGTGCAAACGAAGTCCGATTGGATTTAGGTGACCTGCCTAAAGTAACTCAGATTTTGGTGACCAAGCCAAGAGCCGAGTCTAGGGTATTCCTGCCGCTCAGCTCACAAAGGTGGTGGTGGGGGCGGGCTTCCAGCCTCCGACTAGTACCCGCGCCATAGAGGAAGCTGCTGATGACCCTCAGGGTGGGGTCCGCAGGAGGACAAAGCTCAGAGCCCAGCCCCACCACACTGCGTACTGCCTGCCTTTGCCACTTCACCGTCTCTGAGCCTTCTCAACAGCAAAGTGGCTGTATCCAGCCCTGCTACGGAAGAGTGTTCAGTCTCTGAAATGAGGCAAGATAGTCAAACGATTTACAAACCTGTAGTGCCAAGTTATGTATCCCCAGAAGTTCTGCTTTGTGTGAACCAGCGCAAGGCACATCGTAGGTGTGTCAAGGTGACTTCGCCCCCGCTGTCTTACAGAAGACTGGGACCCAGGAATGCCAAAGTACTGTAGAATGCTTTGATGACATGGCTTTTGCCACATCGACGTTTACATATTTGTTCCTGACATGAGGTTACTTCAATTTTAGTGCTACTTTGTACATGGCTTGGATGTACTTGGCACATAGGCTTTTGTTCTCTGCAGCTGGACTTTAAGAGGCTCACTGATCTATTTTGGACGATAGCGTTGCCAGAAGATATTGTAGTCGCCTGACATTCTTCTAAAATCTAGTCTCGTTAGCATTTTAAGGTGTCTCCATCACTCTGCAAGATGATACAAACCCAACCTAGAGACAGCCCATTGCCAACTATAATAAAAATAAAAATCTACATACAAGTTTCTGCTTGTATTTCCTAGGGGCTGTGTAACTTAAGGGAAGATAACTGCAAAGAACAAAAACCATTTTCTTTCTTCCTTTGTTTTGACATTTGACACGGGAGAATTTTTTATTTTGCAGTGCTGGGTATGAAACCTGGGCACCTAAGAGCATTTTAGATGAATAAACAAATGACACTTTATCAAACCAAGTTCCAGTTGGTTATACATTTATGTAAAGGCTTGAATCTCTTCTATGTGGATGTAAACTAGCTGTAGGAAACATTTTCAGGAGCTAGACTGGGTTTAAATCCCAGCTGTGCCACTTATCTGTGATGTGTGGTCTTGGACAAATTACTTAACCTTTCTGAGCCTTGAATTTGTTGTCTGTAAAATGGGAATAAAAGCAGGACCTACTTCATATGATTAATGCTATATGTGAAAAGCACTTAAAATAGTACCAGATGCATAGGTTTACGTTAGAGCTTATAGTTACACTAGTATTGTGATTGTTACTATGTGCCAGAAATTCTGCTCAGGTCTAGGGCCTTGCATATCGAGAGCACTAGAAAAGGTATAATTTCCCGATGGATATCTATCAGTTGCCAAATATGTTCTTTTTCCCAGCCTGTGACATTCTGGCCATTGACAAGTCCCTGACACCAGTCACCCTGGTCTTGGCAGAGGATGGCACCATAGTGGATGATGATGATTACTTTCTGTGTCTCCCTTCCAATACCAAATTTGTGGCCTTGGCCAGTAATGAGAAGTGGACATACAGCAATTCAGGTAAGAAACTGGCTGCATATACAATATCCACCATGGTTAATTCTTACTGCACAGTAACTGATTGCTATTTGTCTGGTGCTTTAAGTATTTATTCAGTGTGTGTTTACCTGAAAACCTATCTGTCATACATGGTACTAAGTCCTGGGGATAAAGCTGAAAGAGACTTAAGTCTGACAGCAACTAAAATACACCATGACAGAGAGGTCAATGTGACCACCTAGAATCATTCAGGGTCTGAATGTGGCTTTGCCATTTTCTAACTAGCTAGTAAGTCAGGGCAAGTTGCATAAAGTTTCAGTTCCCTATTGTAACAGTTACAGTTCCTGTCTCCTAGGATCCCTGTGAGGATAACACAGCACATGTCAAACCAGAGCATCTCAACAGTATTATTGAGATTTTGGGCTAGAGAACTCTATGGCAGGAGAGGCTGCTTTGTGTGCAGAACAACATTTAGCAACATCCCTGGCCAGTTGGTTCCCACTAGATGCCGGTAGCAACCCCCGATCCAACTATGACAATCAAGAATGTCTCCAAACATTATCATATTTAGATTGTACCTGACGTGAGGGCTCAATAAATACTACCTTTTCACTATCTTGTCATCAATGGAAAAGAAGAAAGCCAGGTGTGGTGTGCACACCTGTAAGCCCAGCACTGGGGAGGCTGAGGCAGGAAGAGAAAGGATAAGGCTGGAGGATCTCTGTGAGTTCAAGACCAGTCTGGAGGACGTAGAGAGTTTAGGGTGATCCTGAACTACAAAGCAACACCCTGTCTCAAAAACAAAAATGAAGTGTTTTTAAAAAATCTGTGCGTTCCTAAATTGAGGAAGTCACCATTCAACAATGGCTGTATAAGCCACCTTTATATCTGGGCCCAAGGGATTATAAGTGATGGGTTGTTCCAGTTAAAAATGGGACCAGTCCCCCCACACAGAAGAAGTGCTGGTGAGAACAAATGTTTTCATGTCGTGAGTGTCTAGAGCACTCTGAACTCCGGGCAAGGTAAACACGCACGCCTTGTCGGGACACGGGGGGTATAGCGCTTGGAAAAGAAAGACAGGAGAGACACCTTTGCTGTCTGCACCGCGTTACACTGTACTGTACTGCACTGTACGCACAATCTTTATTTTAGGATTCATATATAGTAAACCCGATCAATTTACAGAGCCCAGATAATTAAGTAGTGAAAAGGCATTCTTTGTGGCAAGCTACAACGTGACAGACTACAATGTTTATTCTAAAACTATCTAAGTGAAGTAAATAATCACAACCAGTTCTCACAACTTCTCTAGCCCAGGAAGAAATTCATTAGCTCAAGAATGTTGTTAATTTGTCTGCTGTTAGTGTCACAAAGGGTGGCCAGCCACTTCCTCAAGACTTCTGCAAAACAAAGCCAGCTCACAGTATGGATTCTAGAGGGTGAGGGCTCACTGAGAACAGGCATTTTCGTTTTACCTCTTTCTCGCATACCAGGGCGGCTATTGTAAATTGCAGGTTAGAGGGGGTTGGGCCTACAAAGTGACACCTCATCTCTCACACTTCCTTCCTTTTTATTTTTTTAACAACAATTTCTATAAGATCAGGTTATTAATAGCATTTCGTCTTATGCAGTAAAAATACACAAGAACTATGGCAATGAGAACTATAATTAAACTAAGTCCCATGCCACTAAAAGTGTGGGTAATGCTCTGCCAGATTCCTTTGGAATCTAATCCTTTTAAAGATTGAGCAAGCAATTGTGCGAATTGTGCTAGAGATTTATCATCATTTTGCTTTGCAAAATCCTTGTCAATTTGATTATGTAAAGATTTTATTTTTTCCTGGGCAGAGGTGTTTTTATTTAAATATATTTTAATCATTTTTCATTTATGTTCTGTCTGATTATAAGGTCGTTGGGTTATATAGAAAGTAGTTGAATTCCAATCACATTTTAAAAACACTTGATGCTGAAGAGCCAATATTTTTTTACCCATCCATTTAACTGTTTGTTTAAGGAGGTCTATTTGTTGTTGTAGTCTGGCGTTTATCTGCCACTGAGTTAACCAAAGTTTATGAGAATTCTCATGCCATAATTTGACAACATGTTTTTCTTGCAAAGAGGTTTGTAAAGCTACTCCTGAGACTGCTGCTAGAGAGGCTACAGTTATCAGACTTAACAGTATAGCAACCACTATTTTAATAAATCTTTTTGTACGTTTTAACAGATGTTTAAAAAATTTAGTAGTAACAGAAATTACCGGGTCTTGAGACCAAGGTCGAGTTAAATTTACAGGCAACCAAATATGAGTTTTTTGTTGTAACAGCATAACTGTATAAGGCTTAGTGAAATTTAGTGTGTTATTTAAGCATGTAAACAATTGACAATTTAAACAAGTACAAGAAAAATGTGTAAAATTAAAAGTTCCCACTAAAAAGACATAAGGCAGAGGTGCACAAACAGTAATATTATACATTTTAAACCTAGTAAAATTATAAGTAGTAGATACAGATCGACTAGTCCCTGAATATGAAACATTGTACAAGGTTACAGGTTGTATAGCGGCTGGGATCTTCCAAATATGATTTTGAAGGTGATGAGGGTATTTTTTGGCTGCAACAGCAGGGTTAGCGATTCCACCATCTCCCCACCACAAGAGAGCCGTCTTTTGTTGAAATATAGGAGCTCCGTCAGTTATTTTCTTTGGATCTGGAAGACTATACACAACAGAGAGATTACATCTTGTCTCATTCCATTTAGCACATCCATTAACGAATTTTCCAAATGGTCCCCAAATAATATACCCATCAATATTTTTAGCAAATTTTCCCATACATAGTTGCCAAATTATGGGATTATAAGAAATATTTTTATAAGTAAATTCAGGGCATACAGGAAATGTATTTGTATCAGGTGCTGTTAAATTTCTCCAGGTAACATTAAAGGTTTGAGCAGCCAAGGCTTGAAGCCTTGTCCTTTTGTTGCCTGCTTTTATTCCATGTTGAATCCAATACTGCCATCCCAGAGGGATGCAAGGCGGTTCCCCAATGCAAATAGGCCTTTGATTACCATAATAAGTAAAATTGAATAGTGTCCCATCATCTTGATTGTGGGGGGTTAAATCAGCCCACGGTGCTGACAAAATTTCTCTAGGTGTGGTATAAAGTAAAATATCACTAGTTCCCCATTTTACAGGTTCTAATAAAGGGGGGTTTGGAATATATGCCCAGTACGAATGCGGAGGTACCTCAGTCCCCGATGCAACGGTGAGCAAGGCACATAAAGCTAAAAACAAGTTTTCAGGGTTTAAAGGCTTTCCTGCTTGAAGGACAAGCCGTTGCCCTTCTATGGTCAATTTCTTTAATTGTCCCCATGTAGGGAGGGGATTTAAATTTGGTCGCTGTGAGCGGCGGGATTTTCTTAGCTGTAATCTGGCCATGGCTGCGATAGGAACAAACTCAGCATCCTCAGCTTCTAGCTGGTTTTGCGCTCGCTTCTGAAGGCACGGTTCCGGTTCCTTGGGGAGTTGTCTCCGGGGCTGGTGAACAGGATCTGGAGACGCGGGTCCTGATCCATCGTCTAGGGACCCACTGTTGAATTCCATTTTCTGTGGAGATATAACCAAAACCTTTCCCCCTATAGAGCAATGTGCCCCTCTCCCATTCAGCCTCTGGAGCTGTTTTAGTCCAAATAGGTTCATTAATCACAAAAGGCTGTTGTTGCTGTTCAAAATGTTTTTCAGCTCTTGTTAATATTTCACCTTGTGGTAAATTGAGAAAATTTAAAATAAACAATGCTTGATGCAGTAATGTTTTTGGACTGTTTTGCAATTTAAACAGTATTGGTATCTGAATATCCTCCTGACTCCTCCTTTTTAATTTTTTAATTTGCAATTTAAGAGTGCCATGTGCTCTTTTAACAATAGCTTGACCCTGGGGGTTATATTTAATCTCTGTAATATGAATAATATTATGGAGATCACAAAATTGTTTAAATGTTCTGCTAGTATAAGCAGGTCCATTATCTGTTTTGATTTTAGAAGGAATTTCCATAACTGTAAAAGTCTCCAATAAATGTATAATAACATTTTTAGTGGATTCTCCCTGTTGAGCAGTAGCCCATAGAAATGAAGAATAGGTATCAATAACTACATGTACATAAGAAAGCCGACCAAAAGAAGGTACATGTGTAATATCTATTTGCCATAATTTATTAGGTTGAGTTCCTCGAGGGTTGACACCTGCGGGAATAATTTTTAAATGTAATGGTCTATAAATAGGGCAGGCTTTTACAATTTGTTTAGCTTTTGTAAAAGGTATCTTATATTTAAGATGCAAATGTCCTGCATTTGCATGATTAAATTGATGTTCTTTAACGGGTGTGGTGAACATAACTAAGGAATCCACTGCATTGTTACCTGATACTAATGGTCCGGGTAACTGAGAATGAGAACGTAAATGAGTAATAAAATAAGAATGATTTCTTTTTTGAACATGTATTTGTAAATTTTGAAATAAAGACAATAAAGCAGGCTTATTAGAATATAACACAGCTGAATAGATATTTGTCACTACTCCAACAGAATAGGCCGAATCGGCTATAATATTAATAGGTTGGTTATGAAAATCTAAAAACACTTGTAATATAGCAAAAAGTTTATTTTGTTGTACAGAGTTAAAATTTGTCTGACGTACCCAGTAAGATTTTTGAGTCCAATATGTAGCTTTATTTTTAGATCCATCTGTAAATATAGTCAAAGCTTGTGGAATTGGCTGTACAGCTAATAAGGTATTAACCACAAATTGTTGACGTCTAAAAAAATCCCATAATTTACTTTTAGGAAAATGATATGAAAAAGTTCTCATGAAATCTGCTAAAGCAATTTGTAAGGTTTCAGTAATTGACAACAAATATTTTCATTGTTTTTTAGTTAAAGGGATAACTATATTGTTTATATCTTCTCTTATCAAAGTTATAGAACGAGCTCTATCATTTATAATTAAAGCTGCAACCATGTCAATATAAGGCATAACATTTTTAGATTGTTTAGTTTTAGTGAATACCCATTTTACTGGCATAGCATTTTGACCTAAAACTGCAGAGGGATATTGAAAAGTATTAATAATATATAAAGTTAGAGGCAATTTAGGATCAATCCTAATTAAAAATGTATCCTTAATTTGTTGTTCTACAAACTGTAATTCTTGCTCGGCTTTTGTTGTTAAAGAACGAGGGCTGGATGGATCTGAAGAGCCCTGTAGAGTAGCAAACAAATGCTGTAATGCATGGGTAGGAATACCTAGTGTGGGACGAAGCCAATTAATATCCCCTAATAATTTTTGAAAATCATTTAAAGTGGATAACTTATCTCTCCTAATAGACATTTTTTGTGGAATCACCTTTTGTCTAGTAAGAATATATCCCAAATAATGACTAACTTTTTTTTTTTGAATTTTATCCTGTGCTATTACAAGTCTAAACGGAGAAAAATATTGAGGTAAAGTTTTTAAAATATCTTCTAAAACATTTCTATCACTATATCAGAATTTTTGTCTTGCCTTTTTTGCACAACCTTTTATAAACCACATGTGCCACTGTAAATATTTTGGCTCCTTTAAAAGAATTTTGGCCAAGGCTTTCCAATCATAAGGAGCAAGATTACCATAGTGATCTGCTACCGATGTTATTAATTCTCTAGTGTAATGAGCCTGAGGGCCATAAAGGGTTACAGCCTTTTTTAATTTTGCTAAATCATCTATATTAAATGCTTCCCATCTAGGGGGAACTGCCTCTCCGTCTATTGGCTGAGGCCTGATTACAGGGAAAGCAAAGGCAGGCTTTTTCTCATCAGAATCCCCTAATTTTGGTAGATCAGCCAAAGCTAGCTTGGCTTTACTCCAATTAGGGTTAGATGGAGGAGGTGCAGAGGGAACTACAGGCGGGTTCTGCTTAACGGAGAGTTGTTTTACCTCTTGTGTTAAATGCTGTATAGCCTGTAAAATTGGGCGATTGTCATAATTTGATATTGCTGCGGCAGCTAAAGCTGAGTCGGCTGTAGCGGATTTTACTTTTGGTTTGGACGCCTTTTTACTACTTAAAGCGATAGCGTCATTTTGAACTACATTCTGCTCCTCCTCTGTGAGGGGCAATTCCTGAATAACTGGCTTAATTTCTAGTTGAAGATTTTCTACAATATGTTTATCTTTCATAGCTTTTAATAAAGAGTACACAACCGACCAAATAGCCCAAAAACGTAAAGGAATCTTTTCCTCCTGTTGTATAGCCCTTTTTATACTAACCCTTGCCTTCCTCCATACTTCTACATCCAAAGTTCCTTCATCTGGAAACCAAGGATTATATTCTTTAATTGTATCAATACACATATCTAAGTCAGCTGACCTGAGCGATATGCCATATATAGATAATAAATGTTTAAGAATTTTTAAGAAAGGAGAAGAAGCAGATTGTCCCATTTCCCCGTAATAAAATTATACTTACCTTCCTAAGCGACCTTTGGAGTCCCTGTTCGGGCGCCACTTGTCGTGAGTGTCTAGAGCACTCTGAACTCCGGGCAAGGTAAACACGCACGCCTTGTCGGGACACGGGGGGTATAGCGCTTGGAAAAGAAAGACAGGAGAGACACCTTTGCTGTCTGCACCGCGTTACACTGCACTGTACTGCACTGTACGCACAATCTTTATTTTAGGATTCATATATAGTAAACCCGATCAATTTACAGAGCCCAGATAATTAAGTAGTGAAAAGGCATTCTTTGTGGCAAGCTACAACGTGACAGACTACAATGTTTATTCTAAAACTATCTAAGTAAAGTAAATAATCACAACCAGTTCTCACAACTTCTCTAGCCCAGAAAAAAATTCATTAGCTCAAAAATGTTGTTAATTTGTCTGCTGTTAGTGTCACAAAGGGTGGCCAGCCACTTCCTCAAGACTTCTACAAAACAAAGCCAGCTCACAGTATAGATTCTAGAGGGTGAGGGCTCACTAAAAACAGACATTTTCGTTTTACCTCTTTCTCGCATACCAGGGCGGCTATTATAAATTGCAGGTTAGAGGGGGTTGGGCCTACAAAGTGACACCTCATCTCTCACATTTTCATATACAAAAACAGAACACAGGGCTGGGGATTTAGCTCGGCGGCATAAGCGCCTGCCTTGCAAATGCATGGTTGAGTTCAATCCCGGTATCAAAAAAAATAAAACCAGAACATATGCTAGGCGCAGTGATACATGCCTATAACCTCAGTACTTGGGAGGCTGATGCAAGAGAGGCACCATGAGTTCAAGGCAGCCTGAACTGCATAGCGCTGCCTCAGAAAACCACACACACAAAAAAAACTAACCAGAAGGGAGGCCTGGTAGGATCCAGGGTCTGTCCATGACTATATAGTGGGGTTAAGTGGCTTCTCTTCATAGGAGAACACTAATAAATTGAAAATGGAAGCACAGAGACTATTACCATCCCAGGTGGGGTCTGGCTTTCCTGTGACTCCTTGAGACTCCTTCCCTCCCCATTGGAATCATCCTGAAGGGGGTCGGAAGGACGCAGGCATCCTGGGGAGGAGGTGAAGCCGGCCTGGGAGTCTCTGAGCCTGACATTTTCTCCCGTGTATCAGATGGAGGCACAGCTTGGATTTCCCAGGAGTCCTTTGAAGTAGATGAAACAGACAGCGGGGCCGAGGTGAAGTGGAAGAATGTGGCCAGGCAGCTGAGAGGAGATCTGTCCAGCATCATCCTGCTGTCAGAGGAGGACCTCCAGGTAAGCCCCCACACACAGCCCCAGCGCTTGCTCAGCTTCCAAGAACTCCATCGTTTCGGTTTGCTGTTGCAGCAGTGAGGATTGAACCCAAGCCGAGGCACTGAGTGTGTCCCCAGTGAGACAGGTGCTAAGGTGCCCAAACCTACCATCTTCTTATCTCAGCCTCTGTAATGCTGGAGGGTTATAAATGTGCTTGCTGCTTCCCTTTCCTAAGCCCTAATCTGCCACCACCAAGCCGCCCCCACCCCCTGCATGGCTGGGTATCAAACCAGGGCCTGTACGTGCCAGACAAATACTCAGCCCTCAGCAATTCTTTTGTGTTTGTTTGTTTTGGAGATGATACTGGGGATTGAATCCAGAGCCTTGCCACTGAGCTGTTTCTAGCCCCTCTTTTATTTATTTATTTTTTTTTTTTAATTTTTTTTTTGTACCAGAGATTGAACTCACAACCTTGCACTTGCCAGGCAGGTGCTTATGCCACTGAGCTAAATCCCCAGCCCCTATTTTTTTTTTTAATTTTATATTGAGACTATCTTGCTAAGTCACTGATTTGCCCCGGCTAGGCTCAAACTTCAGCCTCCCAGGATGCTGGGATTATAGGCCTGCAGCATCAGACCCACCTTCCATTTTTAAATAATTCTTATATTACAATTAAGTCTTCATTTCATGGTGCTTTTCCAGCCCTCACTATGCATCAGAATTGTCTGTGGGTTTTTTTTTTAAATACCCATGTCCAGACCCCAGGAAGCTCCTGGGAATGGCCGGGGTGGGGGGGGGGGTGCAGTATGTTGCTAGCATTTATAGATTTGGAGTGACTGGTTCAAATCCCAGCTCTGTCATTGTGACTTTGAGGTGGTATCTTAGCTTCTCTGCTTACATTTATTTCCTCTCCAGGAAAACTGGGATAACAATGTTGTTTTCATTCAGAAGGTGTTGACTGGCCCCCTGCCTGTGCCTAGCATAGCTCTGGGCCCTGGGCCCTGAGAGTGAACAAGCCAGGCACAGTTCACTCTCCACACAGCGTTCCGATGAAGGGAGGCAGACAGCAGGAAAGACATAGGGACTTGGGCACATGCCTGTCTCCCCGGCACACGCGAGGCTGAGGCAGGAGGATCGCTGCAGGCCAGCCTGAACTCTTATGCAAGACCCTGCCTGAATAAGTAATATGAATATTTTCACATGGTTCATAATCCAAGAGGTACAAGAAAACACACAGAAGCCACACGGCAAAAACAAACGCCAGTGACTACAGACAATGACCAGGTAAAAAAGACGTGGTAAATTGGTACTCTTCAGTGTCCTTCAGCTGTACAAAAGAGTGCACTGTTGACACACTAACACACATTACAGCGCTGTGAGCCTGGACAACACTGAAGGAAGCCAGAAAGAAAGGCCACATGTAATCTCTAATTGCACCAATGGCCAGCACATCCAGACTCACACAGAGAAAAATAAAAGCCAGGTGCCATGGCACACAACTCTAATCCCAGCTGGGTGGGGGGGTCGAGGCAGGAGAATTGCAAGTTCAAGGCCAGCCCGGGTAGCTTAGCAAAAACCTTTATAAAAATAAAAATAGGGGCTGGGGATTTAGCTCAGCGGCATAAGCGCCTGCCTTGCAAGCACGTGGTCGTGAATTTGATCCCTGGTAGTGATAATAAATAAATAAAAATATAAAGAGCTGGAGGGGCTGCGGGTGCAGCTCAGTGCTGGCGCACTTGCCTAGTGCGTTCGAGGGCCTGGATTCAGTTCCCAGTAGGCGGAGGGCGAGAACACATAAATGACGGTGTGGGCTTGGGGCACGGAGAAGCAGGGGAAACTGCTGATGGGTTCCTTCAGGGTCGCTCTGCAGTGTTCTTTTGTTTTGTGTTGGGCTAGTGATTGCACTCGGGCCCCCCACATGCTCACATGTGCTCTAATACTTGGGCTGCACCCCGCTACTCATAAGAGCAGTTTCGAGGATGATCATCAGCTCTGTGACTACACAAAGCCCGTTGGCTTGTATACGAAACCCACTGAAGGGTTCGAAAAGAAAACAAAGTCCTGGACAGACGTTACAGTAAAGCCACTGAACAGAAAGGACACAGGAAAGATGGAGCCCTGCCCCAGGGTACAGGTTTCCCTCCTTGGAGACAGCTGACACAGCCGATGGGTCAGGGCCTTGAGCTGGGCATGGGTTTCTGGGGGGTTTGGGGGGGGGGGTTGGTACTGGGAATCAAACTCAGGACCTCATGCTTGCCAGGCTGCCGCTGCACCACTGAGCTATGTCCCAGCCCCTTGGAGACGTTTTCCAGACAGACAAATTTGCATGGGTCTTGTCCTCACCATTGTGTTGTTGTGGTTGAGACAGGGTCACACTATGTCATGCAGGCTGGCCTTGAACTTGTTTGTCTGGCCCGAGCTGGCCTCAATTCAAAGCGATCCTCTTGCTTCAGCCTCTGAGTGCTAGGATTACGGCATAAGCCACTCCACCCGGCTGTCCTCCCCCAGTTTATAGGAAAAGAGCCTGCCTGCCCTGTTTTTAAATGAATACCTGGAAGACTTCCCAGGTCAGTGTGGACAAAAACCCTCATTCCTTTTCCCAGGGTAAGGTACTACATTTCCTGAATGCACTGTTCTGTATTTACCAAGCACCCTTGCATGCCAGGGGTGCAGGTTCTCGTCCCCCCAAGACAGGCAGTGCTACTAAAGCTCATCCCAAGGGCCTCCCTCGGGCACAAAGGCCTTGCAGGGACAGCAGCATGGAATACGAGTGGTTTGCCATAGCTTGGGTCCTGATGTGGGAGCTCCAGGGGAAAGGACAAGACCAGACCCCAAAGAGAGCTGGGGCTGTTCACCCACAGATGAAGGAAAGCAGGCCGGGAAGGGAGGCGCGCAAGCTCACCTGCACAGGCTGGGGGATTAGAACAGGAAGACTGACCCTCTCATTTCATTTTCCTCACCTAGGGGATGGTGATTTAGCTCAGCGGCATAAGCACCTGCCTTGCAAGCAGGTGGTCATGAGTTCGATCCCCGGTACCGATAAAAAAGGAAAAAGACAAAAAAAAAAAAAATCTTGATCATTTTCCTCACCTGTGAAATGGGGCCATAGCGGGACCTTCCTCATGAAATCTGTGCCTCTTAAGCTTTGTTCCTTGTGAATATACTAATTTTAATTCAAAAATTGATGTAACATAAAATTAAAAAATAAAGTTTTCTCCTAGAGAGGCCATTCCTAATCTAGTACTCAAAAAATGCAAGTTCTTGCCAAGCACCACAGTGTAAGCCTGTAGTTACTCAGGAGGCTGAGACAGGAGGCTTGCCAAGTTCCAGCCCAACCTGGGCAATTTAGCAACATAGTAAGACCCTGTCTGAAAACAAAAAATTGTCAAAAAGCTGAGGATGTGTGACTGGGGATTTAGCTCAGCGGCATAAGCGCCTGCCTTGCAGGCAGGCAGTTGTGAGTTCGATCCCTGGTACCGATGGAAAAAAAAAAAAAAAAAAGCTGTTGATGTAAGCCAGGCGTGGTGACGCACTCCTATAATGCCAGCACTCAGGAGGATCGTTCGAGACCAGCCTGGGCTACAAAGTGAGCACGTGGCCAGCCTGAACTGCATTACAAGGCCCTGCCTTAAAAAAACAAGACAAAAAAAAAAGCTGGGAATTTAGCTAAAAATGAAAGCCTCAGGTCAAATCCACAGCACCACTAAATAAATAAGCAGCTATCGGGCTTTGGGTTTGTTCCCAGTGAGGCACCAAGGAGTCACTTTTCCTGTTTCCCATTTCCCTGCTTCCACACCAGAACACTGTTGAAAAGTCGCCTGCCTCTCTCAGGTGTCGCTGGGGAGAGCGGCAGTGTGGTGGCCGTGGCGGGGCGTGCACGGGTCGTGCACAGGTCCTCAGCACTGGGCGGGCTGTGTGCTTCAGGTGCTCATCGATGTGCCCTGTCCGGACCTGGCTCGGGAGCTGAGCCAGAGCTGTGCCGCCGTCCAGGGGCTGCAGAACACGCTGCAGCGGGTGCTCGACCAGCGAGAGGAGGCCCGGCAGTCCAGGCAGCTCCTGGAGCTCTACCTCCGGGCGCTGGACAAGGAGGGTGGCGTCCTGCCAAGGCAGGAAGGTAGGCTGCCCTGAGGTGGGGGATCCTGGGTGCCTTTCTCTCCCGCTCAACACTGGCTCTGCCTGCTAGACCTGGTGGTTACAGGACTCGCTGACCTGTCTCTCACATCTGCTCTGCAGAGTCCAAAGCCGCCTTCGGGGAAGAGGTAGATGCAGTGGACGTGGGCATCAGCAGAGAGCGCGCCTCCAAGGTCACACTCACAGGCCAGACCCTGTCCACGCTACAGGAGAAGCCCGCTCCCGAGCTGAGCTTGTGCAGTCGGGATTTGGAGGTGGGCGAGGACGAGGGACACTGAGTGCGAGTGACTTTGGGGAGATGTAAAGGGGGACCATGCCATGCAGAGGCACGGATAGGATTTCTTTTCACCGCTGCAGAGCCAGACTGTCCCAAAGCAGCCGTAAAGACCTCACCCATTGTAAACCAGAGGGACTTTCAAGGCAGACGGGCGCACTGCCAGATCACTGCTGTCGCCTGGTCCGAGGTGGTCACGGCAGGGAGGAAGAGCCGGGCTCAAGTGTCCTCAAGGTTTCTCAGTTGTCAGGAGTCAAAGAAGATCCCTTGGCAGTGGGGACTGGCACGCTTGTCCTCCCAGGGCAGGCCCACGGGGAGTTCCGGGCCCGCCTCAGCTGCATCGGGAGTCCCTGTGTGGAAAACCAAAAGCTGCACAGCCGACCCTGCAGCCTGTAGAGCAGCACAGGAAAAGGCGATTTGAGGGCGAAGGCCAGGCCACCGGAAGGGTGACAGAGGGCGCCGATGAGGGTGGGTGCCGCTCCTGTCATTGTCCCCATCCCCGACACCTCCCTGTGGGATTCCTCCGAGAAAGGAAATGGGGTCGGCTGGAGCTTGGCTACCCTTCCTGTGGGTGAATGGTTAAGGAAAGCACTTAACATGCCTGGGGAGGAAGCCGGGTGAGTCGGAGCAGAGGCCGCGTAAGCGCCTGTCCCTGGTCTCCCCTCGGAGAAGCCGAGGCGCAGGCGAGGTGGGCGGAAGCAGCGCTTCTCAGTGGCTCTTGTTCTTGCTGCAGTTGGTCACCAAGGAGGACCCCCAGGCACTGGCCGCTGCTTTGAACTGGGACAGCAAGAAGGCAGAAGCGGCCCAGCAGGCCTGCGCCCAGGAGCTGGCCCGGCGCCTGCAGCAGACCCAGAGCCTGTGTTCGCTCAGGACTCTGTCAGCCAGGAAGAGCTCCCTGCCTGGAGACTCACAGGCCACCAAGCGGGCCAGGCAGGACCTCACCTAGCTGCGCCGGCAGACACAGGGAGCCCGGACCGCCGTGTCTGCAGCCAGGGAGCACCCTCGGCCCAGTTGACTCCTCCCTGCGGCCTGCCCCGCCCCTGCCTCCAGCCTGTCCCTCTGCGTCAGCTGGAAGCCCGGCTTAGCCCGTTCAGAACTCTGCACATGCCCGTTCTCCTGGGTTTTGTTTTGAGATGTTCAGTGTGTAGTTCAGGCTGACCTTGAACTCACGGGTGATCCTTCTGCCTCAGCCTCCAGAGTGCCGGGCTTACAGGCGTGTCCCACCATACCCCACTTCAGCTGCCTGTTTTGAATGACATAAGTGCACCAATGCTGTGCTGTTCTTACGTTCTCTGTTTAAAAGAGAGAACCAGGCATGGTGCCCATGCCTGTAATCCCAGCGCTCTAAAGGCTGAGGCAGGAAGACGGCAAGCCCAGCTTGGGCAATATAGCAAGAGTCTCAAAATTTTAAATACACACACACAGACTGGGGATGTAGCTCAGTGCAAAGGCCGTGTGTAAAGTCCACAGTAATGGCACAGACTTAGCATTCTTGAGGCCCTGGGGCTACCCACCCCCCGAAAAAAAAAAAAGTAAATACTCTACATGAAAGTACTGGTTAAGGGCAAGGAAAAGAAATTGCTATATTTGGAATATTCACACCCTTGTTCCACACGCAGGACTGTAGAATTTGAGACCCAAATGGTATAATGAAGGTGACTAATGGAGGCCGGGCGTGGTGGCACAGGTCTGTCAGCCCAGCATCAGGAGGCTGAGGCAGGAGGATCACTGAGTTCGAGCCAGCCTGGGCTGCACAGTGAGCTCAAGGCCAGCGTGGGCTGCACCGCAGACCCTGTCTCAGACAGCAGGAGAAGGTGGCTAATGGACTGCTGATGCTAGCTGCAGACGTGGGCCTCAGGTTAATGAGTATTTTTGTTTGCCCTGAGGCACATACTAAGTTTGCAGACCACAGGGACTTACGGAGTCTAAGTCACCATTTCTAACACCCCGCTCAGTGTTGGGAAATTCTACATTAGCACTGCGAAACTTGGTTTTCTCATATGTTTTTTGTCAGCGGGGGTGTCAGAGTCGTTCCAGTGATTTCTGGGTGAAGAGCTGTGAGTCTCGCTGGGGGGCGCAGTGCGGAGAACTCGGGTTTGTGCATCTCCCGTTCCTACGCAGACCTGCTTTGCAGCCTTCATGACCTGCCTCGCACTGTCCTCGCAGGAAAAGCTTGACTTACCTGACTTGTTTTGTGTGTCTTTAGAGCACAGTAGAATGCAGTACAGATCCGTCGACCAGTTCTGTGCATCTCAGTTTTTTGAGACGGTCTCACCGCGCAGTTCAGCCTGCCGTTGATTCCACGCAGTCCTCCTGCCTCAGCCTCCTGGAGCTGGGATTATAGGAATGCACCACACACAGCGGCTCACTCTTGCTTTTGCTGAGGACAAAACCCTGACCCCACACATGCTAAGCAGTGCTTTACCACCGAGCAGCACCCTAACCGCGCACTGGGCAGTTCTTAAACCAAGAAATGTAACAGTCTTGGGGAACAAGGTAGGGTGCAGAAGACAAGCAGAACCACAGAATTGTTTCCCAGGTTGGGGAGACAGCTCCGGCACAGCGCCTGCCTGGCGAGTGACGCTCCTGAGTTCTGCTGGGCACCCTTTTCCCTCACACCGCCGGGTCTCGTGGGCGCCTGCACTCGGCTTCGGCAGCTCCTTGGGTAAAGCCTCCCTCCGCTGTTGGCCTTAAATAAAAACCAGCGCTTGTGCTGGACACACTTCAGAAGAGGGGAAGGGCGGGTCACGTGCAGGAAAGTGGCATTGCCCGTGCCCGGATGCTCTGAAGCCCTTGGATGCTGCAGGAACAGCAGGTGACCTGGAACCTGACAGATGCTGGAAGGGCGTGTTGGTAACGGATTTCCCACCACAGTGAGGTTCTGCACAACAAAGCATGTCTACCCTCGAGTCACAGGGGAGCCTAGGAGCCTAAAAGTAAAAGCTGGGCGTGGAGGCACACCTCTAAATGCAGCACTCGGGAGGCTGAGGCAGGAGGATCACCACGAATCAAGGTCAGTTTGGTCTACAAAGTGAACTACCGTGAGACTCTATCTCAAAAAGTAAACATGGGGATGGGAGTTTAGCTCAGCAGCACAAGCGCCTGCCTGGCAAGTGCAGGGCCCTGAGTTCAATCTCCAGTACCCAAAAATTTAAAAAAAAAATAAAAGTAACAACAAAAACCTGAAGAAAAAGTCCTTTGTGTTTTTGTATAAAGCAGGATTAGGCTCCAGGCTAAGGTAATTTGAACAGGTCTACATCTGTGTGAAAGCCCAACAGGGCCACCAGAAGCCACAGGCCTGTGTTTCATGCCTGTAGCTGCTCAGGAGGCTGAGGCAGGAAGATGATAAGCCCAGAAAGCAAAGCCCCCGAGGTCTTTTCTAGAAGTTTATAACCTGCCTTGTGCCAGTCTGCACCACACTAGAGCCTCAGAACATACTCTAGCTGGGCTCATCTCGCCTCTGCCCATAGCAAACAGGATCCGTGAGGTCCTGTGACGTCTTCATGTCACAGAGGCTACACAGTGAGACCTTGTTCCAAAAACAAAACGGGATCCTGAGTTCATAGTCAGCCTGGGCTGCGGAGGGGGATCCTCTCGGGAAGGAAGGAAGGAGGGAGGGCTGGAGGTGTAGCTCAGTGGTAGGGCGCTTACACTGCACCCAGAGGTCCTGCGTTCATATCCCGGCACTGTAAGGGTTTTTTTTTGTTTTGTTTTTTTTTTTTTTTTTTTTTGGTCTTTTTCATTTGTATCGGTACCGGGGAATGAACTCACGGCCGCCTGCTTGCAAGGCAGGTACTTATGCCGCTGAGCTAAATCCCCAGCCCTGGCACTGTAAGTTTTAAAAAGTGCCCCATACAGAGAGGAATCACTTTCCTTCCTTGCCGGAGCAAGGGAGCGGGTCAGTGAGCCCATGGGCCACAGGGCAGATGCAGAAGACCAAGTGGACAGCTGTCCTTGAGTGCAGGACTGCTCCCGCAACATCAGCGAAACCAGGCCTGTCCACACAGGTGTGTACAGAGCTGGCCGTGTTGTCCCCTTCTCCATTTAGCTGGCGCTAAGCAATGTAAATACGGCCAGCCGAGGTATGATATGTGGTCTTTAAGGCCAGCCGACAATTTCCTGCTTCCTCCCATCGCGTCCCCTGTAAAATGGTGGAAGGCAGCAGGATGGCAGAGCTGACAGCTCCAGGACTGTCAGCTGGGTACCAGCCTCAAAGTAAGAGGCTAGAGTCCCCAGGTACGAAAGTGTACATCCCAGAAACTGAAGCAACAGCCTCCTGAATTCACTCACACGCTGTCCCCGTCGAGTTAAGCAGACTGTCCTTCTGCACGACTTTCTCCCTCACACTGCAGAGGTGCCTGCTCTGCCCCGCTAGGTCAGCTCACCTTGCTCACGTGATTCCCGCCATCCTCACTGTCACTCGTTGGAGCCCTTGGAGCTGAGTACACGTGCAGGGCTGTGGCGTGACCTGGGCACGACTGAACTGAGAACGAGGGACACCTCAGGGGGCAAGACAGGCCACAGCTGAGGCCACCTGGAGACGTTCTGGATAGTTTTCCTTACTTAGCATCATCTGTTGCTCTGAGGGGTCCCTGAGCCCCTCCCGAGGTCCCGCTCAGGTCTCCGCCATTGTCCACTCAGCTCCTGGCTTGTTCTGGGTAAATACAGGCCGCCCAGCGTCAGTCAGCTGGCGGCTGGCAGAGTTCCGGGCTCTGCCGAGGACTTCACTCCTCCTGCAGCCCTGAAGACCCTGCCATGGGTCTCATCCTTTGAGCCTTCGCCGTGCACCTGTCTGGGAGATTGGGGGTCTAGGCACAGACCCCAACAACTCATCCTTGGACCACCCCCTTCTTCTCGAGACAGTAAATTCTTGGAGACCTTGGATCAAGGCCCTTGTCCATGTAGCCTCCCTTGGACTTAGGACCCCGTGGCTGCCCATAACTTTGAATATGTCTCGGTGTCTGTACTCACTGTGGGTTGCACTGGAGCGGTAGATGGGGATTAACTCTGTGGAATTCCAGTAACATTTCAGTGGGATTATAAATTAACTTTCCAGATTGTGAGGCAGGCCAGAAAAGGGATTACAATATTTGGGTTACAAAGTACAGTATTTGGATTACAGTAGGCAAAGACGTTGGTCAGCACACTCCAGCCCTGGGAGCGATGGGCCCTGTCTCCAGGTCACCCGACACACTGCCTGCCGGCCTTCTAGGATGACCGTGGCAGGCCACAGTGTACCCTCAAGCCCTGGCCGGCCTGATGTGCGGACAGCGTGGGTTATGACTGGCATTTTAGTTTGCTTACGACCTGAGCGCTGGCTGCTTATGTTCCAGGTGGTCTTAGAGTCCTGGGAGGAGCAGGACAGCACCCTTTCCTGTGTGGGGTTCATGGAGAAACCCCGGGCCAGGGTCTCTCCGAGGACACTGAGATGCGCTGCGTGCAGGAGAGCCGGACAGCATGAGTTACAGCCAGCCCGGGAGCCATCAAGTCCAGGGGTCCACTGTGTGTCTAAAAATAGCCAGAGCCATCGAGCAGGGCCTGACGTCATCCCGATCCAGGCAGGAGAACAGTATCGGAGAGCAGCTGGGACTAATGGACCCCCCATTAGCCGCGCTCCCCTGTCAGCGAGCCAGCTGTCGGGCCCCATTAGGCCCTGGGCTTGACAGGCGCTGTGCTAATTACCACTTAGCGGCCCTCCATTCCTGGGTGAAGCAGGAGGAGAACGCTAATGGAGTTTTCATTTTCCACAGAGGAAGGAATAAAGTAATACTGAATATGCTTTTCTGCTTTTCATTTTGTCTTTTTGAGGCAGAGTCTCACGATTAAGTTCAGATTGGCCCTGAGCTCACTTTGTAGCCCAGGCTGGCCTCTAACTCACAGCAACCTTCCTGCCTCAGCCTCCTGATGGCTGGGATTACAAATTTATGCAACCAGGCCCAGATTTTTTTTTTTTTTTTTGATAGGGTCTTGCCCAGGCAAACCACCTGCCTCAGCAGCCACAGTGCTGGGGTGACAGGCCTGTGCACCATGCCCAGCTCTGTGATTGCCTGTATTACCTGGATGAGGAGTAGGTTGTTCAGCTGGCTTTTGTCTCTTCCTTTCTAGGCAAAGTCAAGCTAAAAAAACACTTTGAATATTTAGATCCTTTTTCTTTTCTTTTTTTGGATCCTTTTTCTTTTTGGATTTGTTAAAAATGGAATCCCTGGGGCTGGGGATTTAGCTCAGCGGCATAAGCGCCTGCCTTGCAAGCAGGCAGTCGTGAGTTCGATCCCTGGTACCGATAAAAACGAAAAAGACCAAAAAAAAAAAAAAAAAAAAAAAAAATGGAATCCCTGGTTGGGAGTGGTGCATGTCTATAATCCCACCACTCCGGAGGCTGAGGCAGAAGCATCACCACAAATTGGAGGCCAGCCTGACCTGCACAGTCAGTTCAAGTCCAGCCTAACTAAAACAAACAAACCAAAATTATCTTCCTGGAACAAAGGTAGTTTGCACTTGATGGATTCCTGATGGTATCATGGGTAGAGCCTCCTTGTCCCCAGGTACCATTTATTTAAAACCTAAAACCTTGCAGGACTATGAATGGAGAACCCCAAAACAAGCCAAGCATGGTGGCTCACGCCTGTAATCCCAACTCTCGGGAGGCTGAGGCAAGAGGATCATTGCAAATTGAGGACCAGCTTGGGCTACAAAGTGAGCTCAAGGCCAGTCTGAACTCCATAGTGAGACCCTGTCTCAAAAAGAACAAAAACAAAAACAAACCCACAAGCTTTTCTTCTATACACAAAAAATTGTTCTTGGGGGCTGGGGATTTAGCTCAGCGGCATAAGCACCTGCATTGCAAGCAAGCAGTTGTGAGTTCGATCCCCGGTACCAATAAAAAAATTTTTTTTAAAAATTGTCCTTTCTGGGGGCTGGGGATTTAGCTCAGCGGCATAAGTACCTGCCTTGTAAGCAGGCGGTCATGAGTTCGATCCCTGGTACTGATAAAAAGGAAAAAGACAAAAAAAAAAAAAAAAATTGTCCTTTCTGTTTTTTTGAGGCATGGTCTTGCTATGTAGTTCAGGCTGGCCTCAAACTCTGGCAGTCCTCCTGCCTCAGCATCCCAAGTGCTGGGATTAAAGCTAGATGGAAAAATCTTAAAAAGACAGGATGCTGGAGATGGGCTGGCCTTTCAAGAGGGAGCATTACAGCGTGACCCAGTTAGAGCTCCCTGAGGCTGCTGTGTGAGAAATGTGGATGGTATTAGCCGCCTCCATCGCAGGAGACATCTAGCTGGTAATTAGGGATATGAGCCCAGCTCTGCACAAATGGAATGGAAAAGTCAGCAGTCACACTCAGAGTCTCCACCCCTGGTTAATATCCTGGTGTCCTCTGCCCTCGGAAACTTGACCTGGATCCAGATGTGATCGCTGAGCCTTTTCTTTCTTTCTTTCTTTTTTTTTTGGTACCGGGGATCAAACTCCTGACCTTGTGTTTACCAAAAGCAGTTGAGCCACTGAGCCAACTCCCCTCTTGAATTGGTGCCTTACAGACTTTAAAATACAGCTTGGCATCTCAAAACTCCACACTAGATGTTGTCTTTAGCATCTGTGACTCAAGAGTCCAGAACAATCTGTGTAATCAAGCGATGATTCAGTGCTATGGGGAAGAATGAAAATGTGATAAGTAAAAATTTAAAAAAAATACGTGGTAAGTGTTTTGAAATCCAGCGATTTGTTTGTCTGTAACTTCATTCCAGCACACCAAATCCTGCCCAGGGAGCGCCTCTGAGGCAGCTCTGTACACATCACGGGCAATGAAATTCTCACTGCCAGGTTCAGTGGTGCACCCCTAGAATCCCAATCCCAGCTCTTGGCAGGCTGAGGCAGGAAGGTCTTGAGTTTGCAGCTTGTCTGGGTGATCTAATGAGACCTCAAAAAAATAAAAAGGAAAAGGAAATTCTCCCTCTAATTTTTTTTTTCAGTACGAGAGAACAAACCCAGAGTCTCTGTAACAAACTATCGCCAGCCCTTTCTTATCTTAGGACAGGGTTAAATTGCTAAACTGCCCAGGCTGGGCTCACATTTGAGAGCCCCCTAGCTCAGCCGTCAGCCCCTCAGTTCAGGGCTACAGGAAGGCACCACCACGCCCAATTACTTGTTTTTTTCAGTACTTGGGATAGAACCAGAGCCTTTTCTACTAAACTACATCTCCAGCCCTTTTTAAATTTTATTTTTTTTTTATTTTGAGAAATGAACTTGATATAAGTCACTAAATTAGACTCAAATTTGGGCGTTTTTTTCTTTTGTTTTGTTTTTGGTACCTGGAACTGAACTTAGGACCTTGTGCTTACCAGGCAAGCACTTATGCCGCTGAGCTCTATCCCTGGTTCCTAGGCTCAAATTTAGGATCCTCTTGCCTGAGCCTCCCAGAATGCCCAGATACACAGCCGCCAGGCCTGGCCTCACTGAACTGTTACCCATCAGAAACAAATGAGGAATGAGGAGGCCAGTAGGACAGTTACACACAAAATGAATATCCCCCCCACAAAATGGGTCTCCATTTCTCACTAACAAAGTCCCAACACGAGACCTTGGAGGTTCTTAGATATTACGTCAAGCCAGGTGTGGTAGTACACACTGGTAGTCCCAGCACTTGAGAGGCTGAGGCAGGAGAATCACAAGTTCAATACCAGCCTGAACACAGTCAAGCTTGGATGAACAAAAAGCACAGCCCTGGCTCGAACCAAAAAAAAAAACTGTGATGGGAGCAGGCTGCCAGCCCGGGGCAGTGCTGCCAGGGTCTCTGCTTTGAAATCAGTACTTTTAAAAGTAGACATCCAAACAAAACTGAAGCTATAATCTGCAGAAAGAACTGGAACAATATTGTTACTAATTAAAACTGGAACACAATAGCAAGTTTGAATATAACTTTTATGAGCATGTCAGCATGGGGCCTCTTTAATAGCATAACAATTGTTTTAAAATTAATTTTAGTTAAAACATAAGGAGTAATTATTTTGCTCTTGGAGCAAAATGTAAAAAAATGTGCTTGTAAAGTTTCCCGTGCTGGGAATCAAACCCAGGGCTCGGAGCCGGAGCCTGCTGGGCAGGGGCAGGGCCACACCACCTGTGGAGACTGGACCCTTCCTGGGGAATGCATGTGCCTGTGCGTGTGCCCTGGGGATGAACCAGGCCTTTGTACCCCTTGAGCCTCGTCACTTCCCACATGTTTAAAAAACATGAGACTGATCTCACTCTGTCCTTCAGGCTGGCCTCAGCCTCCTAGCACAGGGATCACAGCGCGTGCCATCACGCCCAGCCATTTATCTATCTATCTGTTTATTTATTTTGGTACCGGGGATTGACTCACCACTTGCGCTTGCCGGGCAGGTGCTGTGCCACTGAGCTAAGTCCCCCGCCCAAGTCTACTCTTACTTTCTTTTTTTAAGACAAGGTCTTGCTGTGCTGCCCAGGCTGGCCTTGAATTTGGGATCTACCGCCTCAGCCTCCTGAGCAGTTAGGATTATAAGCATGTGCAACCGCGCCCAAGGAAGAACACCAAAATCTTTAAAGTGTGCTCTTTAGGCTCCCAATTCCTCAGTTCTAAATACTGCCGGCATTGGATGTTATTGAGATTTATGGTTTTTTCTTTTCCTTCTTTTTTGAGACAGGCTCTCACTGTGCAGTTCAGGACCACCAGGCCCAGCCATTATCAAAATTTAAATAAAAATACTCGGCAAGTGACAGGCTAGGAGAAAGACGGGTGCTGCTGAAGTCATTTATTGGGGTCCACACTGCTCCCACCAAGGCAGGGTCGGGGGAGTCTACTTGCAGGAGGAGAAGGTCTTCCAGAAGAAGTTTTTACAGCGGGCTTTGTCTCTCCGAGGCGGTGGCTGAGGGGGCACGCCTTCCCGCCTCCGGGTGGCCACTTCTCCTGTGTCCCCGCCCTTGAGGTCCCCAGCGCCGGAGTGGGAGATCCGCCCGTGCCACCTCCCGAGGAGGGTCGGGACGCTGTTCTTTACTTCTGCCACCTCCTGCATATGCTTTGAAAGAGAAGCAGATGACAAGGAAAGACAAATCAGCAGCCTGGCTCTGCTGGCACGAAAGATTTACAGTCGCTTACTTAAAAATAAGAAAAGCTTCCTCGGCAATGAATGTCATCTCCATTCAGAGGACAAGACAGTTAAGAGACAGCCTTAAAGAAATGGTTCTAATTAGAGAAAAGAAACATTGGATCGTTTCAGTCCAGGAAAACTCTGGTTGGTGCTGCCCCAGGGTCTTGACCGGGGTCAGGACAGCTGTCTGTGTCCTGCCAGGTGACGGGCACCGGGCAGCCTGAGGCGCTGGGCTCATTCAGCTTGGCCCCCGAACTGCCCTCCAACACAGATCAGTCCCAGGCTCTAAGTTCCAGGCTTTCATATTCCTGGGGAACCTTCAGATGACAAACAGCCTGTCTGAGACTCACCTGGTAATTTTCAGAGAAAAATCCATTTTTAATGGTTAATTTTATGTACTCTTTCTTGGAACTTTTTCAAAATGGAAAAAGAAAAAAAGAAATCACCTCCCACAGTTACTGATTCTCACCATGGAAAATGTAACGCCGCCAGTTCATTCGGGCCAACAGTACCTGGCTGGAAGATAAATGCAGGCCCCGAAGTCCTTGTGACTGCTCTGGGCAAGAGCCACTTGGAAGGCACAGCCCGGAGCAATCACCAAGTGCCTCACAGACGCAGCTAGTGTGCAAAGCGGGACATGGGGACTGCAGTGGCCGCTAAGGGATGAGACGAGGAGAGGAGCCGAGAACTGCCAAGAACCAGGGTACAACGTGACCTCAAGGTGTCCCGGCTCAGCACTGCTGTCTTGTCAGGATTGGCAGTACGTGGCCGTGTATGTGTGTACACACAAGCACACACGCACCCGCTCACACCTGGCTGCGCAGATGCTGGGAACCCACAGGACACCAAGGACGAGGCAAGCGGAGGGCAGGCCAGCAGGTGGCTGGGAGGGGGCCCTACTCACCACGCTGTCCTGACTGGCAGGGCCGCCCTCCAGGGCGAGGGCAGTGGCTGTGGCCCCCCAGAGCAGCAGCAGCAGCAGCAGCAGGGTCATGCAGGCCCAGGGCCGTGTCCCTCGGGTTCGGCTGGCACCCATCACGGGCAGCCCAGGCGCCGGCGCTTGGGGACGCAGGCTCTGATGCAGGCCAGGCCTGTGGTGCTCCAGTGCAGGGTGCTGGTCTCCTCTTCAGTGGAGACCCTGGAGCCCTTTCTGCATACTTCAGCGATGACGCAGGTGCCCGAGCCATGAGTGCCCACCAAAGCATTCTGGGGCTGCACTGTGCCCCCTTAATGAGAGCCTCGGGTCTTTTCCTGCATTTAGAGTGATTTGCTCTTATTTTGGAACACATGTGTGCTTGCTCAGGAGGAAGTTCGTCTTCCTCGTAATTATGCCTACAACGAGCAGGAAGCCATGAGAACAAAACCAAGTGATTTCACAGAATATAAAATTAGCCTTGGAGGAGCTGAAGATGTGAAATTCTGCCCATATATAATTTTGCCCACATGGCCGCGGGGCTGGGGTGGAGCCGAGTGGAGCTCGTGCTCAGCATGCCTGAGGCCCCGGTTGGATCCCCAACACCAGGAAAGGTGAGTGAATCTGCCAGGAGCCAGAGAAACTCCAGGCCGTGTGGGTCCAGAGGGCACAGTGACAGCACTGCCAGCTTCACCCCGGCAGCCATCCCAGGCCTCGAAGGTCAGACCTGCTGTCCGCCGACTGGGCCTCAGCAGGCGTGGGGAGGAACCCAGGGCCCTCCATCTCTATCGGGCCCAGAGGACCCTGGCCTGGCACAGCCAGACCTCACACACTCCGAGGTCGGAGACAGCACTTATGTTTTGAGACAAAGTCTCACTAGGTAGTCCAGGCTGGTCTCCAACTTGTGGTGATCCTTCTGCCTCAGCCTCCCAAGTGCTGGGGACACAGGTGTGTGCCACCATGCCAGCTAAGGCTGTAGGAAATTCTTTGTCTTTTTGAGACAGAATCTCTCTATGCAGTTGAGGCTGGCCTTGAGCTCACTTTGTAGCCCAGGCTGGTCTTGAACTTGCAACGATCCTCCTGCCTCAGCCTCCCGAGTGCTGAGATTACAGGAATGTGTCACCACACCTGGCTTGACCTGTGGCTTTTATACTGCATGCTTGCTGGACACTCAGGAGCCTGAGGCAGGACTACTAGGAGTTCAAGGCCAGCTTGAACTACATAGTAGTGAGACTGTCTCAAATAACAAAATACAATGAATGTGACCCAAATGTCATTAAAATTTTATGGTTTTTTTTTTTTTTTTTAATTTTATGGTGTTCTTGCAGATGAGAAATTCATGGCAGTTCGGCCAGTTTCCTGTGTCCTTGGTGTGTTTTGCAATTTACTATTATTATTATTATTATTATTCATTATTTGCAGTATATGGGATTAAGCCCAGGTCCTTGCACAGGATTCAGCCCTGTTTTACTTCCAAACAAGGTCTCATTAGACTGCCCAGGCTGGCCTTGGACTCATGATCCTCCTGCCTCAGCCACCCACATAGGTGGGCTCATAAGTATGCACCACTACCCCAGCAGGTTTTATAGATTGATGGACCCACTCATTCAACTCCAAGTTCTGCTGGCTGGGCAGGACCACAGAACTCACACCACAAAGGCCCCAGACCATCTACCCCCAAAACAGCTCCACAGCCTAAGGGGCAGGACAAATAAGAGGAAGACATTCCAGTGGACAAGAAAGGCTCAGTGCTGCGGGCAGGCAGCCGGGGACAGGAACATTTCACGACAGCTTATTGCGGGCTCTTTCAGCAAGGTGCCTGGGATTTGGAGACCACAATCCTGGTCTTGTTTTTGAGACAGGGTCTCTGTAGGCCTAGCTGAAGTTCAGGTGAGCTTCCAGAGCAAGTCCATAGAGCGGTGAGCCCTTGGTGTCCTTTCTGCCCTGTCACCAGAGACAGAGAAACAGAGGGTGCCCGCGTCACCGTGGATGGTCCCGAGCCAGCCACACCTAACGGGAATGCGTATGGCAGATGGAGCACGGGGCCAGTTAGACCCTGCAGAGTGTGACCGCCACAGGTAGAATCCTGTAAACCACCAGGCCAGAAACAGGCCTGGTGTAAACACACCCAGAGACCGGGGTATCCAGTCAGCCCTCTCATCTCCAGGAAACATGGCGCCCAAGCGCCCCCGCCTCCCGGAGGACCCCGGCACAGCACACTTGACCATCATGTCCCTCCAAGCCCAGGAGCCGCTGAGACTGTAAGACATTTTCCTGTCTTTCGTTGTCACATGGTATCCCATCCTGAGGTACTATTTTAAACGCTGATTCACTGATAAAGTAAGTTTCAGGGCACTCGGCTCCTAGGGCTGCTAAAGACACAAACTTGGCTCCTTCAGCCTCCGGGAAGCCCACAGCACCCATTCCTTCTCCCATGACCACAAGTTTAAAGAGTGGGACAGAGTGAAGCGGCTACAAACCAGCTCCACCTGCATGTAGAGGATGGGCCGCTTCAAAAGCTTTCTCGTTTTTTAGTGGATTGGGGGTTAACCCAGGGCCTCTGCCCAAGCTGGGCTTGAATTTTAAATCCTCCTGCCTCAGCCTCTCAAAGCGGTGGGAGCACAAGCATGTGCACCACACCGGGCTTGCGGAGGACGACCCACTTTCCTCTCCCTGACATGCCAAATAGATGTAACCATTAATATCTGGGACCAAGTGTTTAGTTTTCTGCAGAACCTGAAGGCATCAAGCTTGAGGTCACTGCCTGACTTTGACCATGGCCAGGCACCTCCTGTGAGTCAGCCTCATGCCTACAGCTTGGCCACGCTGAGGCGTGGATGGTATCCATCCCACCCCAAATGATGCCCTCTCCTGCCCACCTGGAGCCCGCGCCCCTGAATGCGAAGGTGCCTGCACGGATCAGGAGCCTGTGCACTTGTCTTGGGGTCTGTGCCTTGATCCCCAATCTGCCAAACAAGTGCACAGCAAAGGCCCAAATGAATGAGAGGAGAGTCTGATCTTTAGGGCTCCAGGAGGACCAAAACCCTCTGCAAGTTCTTAACCCTGGTGGCTGAGACAGGCAATGTCTCTGTGCTGCCCGTATTTACTTAGGATTCCAACAAGGAAGGGGTTGGAGTGGAAAATGCTGGAAACTGAGCGGGATCTGGGGGGAGGGCTTCAAGGACCCCTCAGAACAACAGACGATGCTAATTAGGGAGAACTAGTCTAGGACAAGGTCTGCAAGTGTCCTCAGCTGTGGCCTGTGGTGCCCCAGGCATCTCCTCCTCCTCAGTTCAGCCATGCCTGGGCCGCGCCACTGCACGTGCATTCAGCTTCAAGGGCTCCAAGGCTCCAACACACTGGGCTGAGATTAAGCTCGCCAAACCTGTTTCCTAACAGCAAAATGGGGATAAAGTTGTGAAGCTCCAACAAGGAATTACATGGACCACAGTGGCTCTGTAAGTGCCAGTCCACTTCTTTAGCCCTGCTGCCCCACCAAGAATCGGCCCTGGAGCACCCCCCCCCCCCCGAGGCCTTGGGAAAACCATTGCTCACAAAGGAAAAAGCATGACACCTCGAAGGGGCTAGAAGCAAACCAGATTTTCCTCCCAAGCAATGCCAAGAACTGTAGCCTAATTATAAAATCCACAGAAGAAAAGGCGCCTGAAAACACATTTCTGTTTTTGTTTTTTTGAGATGGGGTCTCCCTGTGCAGTTCAGGCTGGCCTTGAGCTCACTTTGTAGCCCAGGCTGGTCTCGAACTCACAACGATCCTCTTGCCTCAGCTTCCCGGGTGTTGGGCTTACAGGTGTGAGCCACCACGCCCGCCTGAAACACATTTCTAAAGAAAACCACCTTTACAAAGTAAAAGTCCAGCCAGGCACGGTGGCTCACGCCTGTAATCCCAGCACTTGGGAGGCTGAGGCAGGCAGATTATTGCAAGTTTGAGACCAGCCTGGGCTACAAAGTGAGCCCAAGACCAGCCTGAACTGTATATCGAGGCCCTGTCTCAAAAACACTTAAAAAAAAGCCACGTCACCATGTTACCTGGTGGTCACAGGTGATGTGAACTGGAAAACAGCACAGGTGACAGAGAGCTCCACGATACAGCTTTATTCATCTCCGAGGGGTCATCATTTAGCCTGGAGAATTATCTCACACAGTGAGGAAGTAATTAGGATTTCTGGTTGGAAACGTCCATCCTGGCCACTTGTTGACCTGGTTCAGCTACTTCGGCTCTGGAGCCTTTCCGGGGTTTGGCTGCGACCCAGGGTGCCTCGCTGAGGACCCCAGCGTCCTGGAAGCTCGGGCTTAGAGAACACAGCACAGGAGCCGGCCAGTCCAGCTGCTTTCCTTCCGAATCCCTAACCCCTCCAAAGCCGGGCTGGCGACAGGGGACAGGCGTTTCTTGGTGGCTCTCCCCGTGGAGGCCTTAACTCTCACTGTCCCCTCCTCCGGCCTCTGCCGGCTCCCTGCAGCTCTGGTTCCCATCCTTCGGCTGCTTCTTCTTCTTCGCCTTTCGCTCTTGGTTCAGCTCTTCGCTTTTCTCCGTGATGTATTTCAGCTACAGCAAACAACAGCAGAGCAGGTTGTGGGCATCTTATAACCCTGGCGGCCTAACTCTGCCCCCAGCCACTGGCACCTAGAGTCTGGGTGGAAAAGCCTGGGCTGGCTCTCAGATTAGTTAGATGCAGCTTCGAAATACCCTCCGGACCAAGGAGTCAACTATAAAAATGACCTCACTCAACACTTCCCATTAATTTTTAAAATTCTGTATTTCTTTTGTTTTAAAATAAAGGAAAAAAAATGACCTCACTATCCGTAAAGCTTCCAACCACTGCACTTCAGTGTATTAGTGGCTTGAATAATCAAAAGACTTAAACAATGTGAGCCAGGTGTGGTGATGCTGGCCTGTTAGCCACAGCTGGGAGGCTGAGGCAGGATGATCGCAAATTCAGGCCCAGCCAGGGCAACAAGGCACTGTCTCAAAAACTAAAGAGGCTGGGAGTGCCAGTCAGTGTGAAGGCCTGGGCTCAGTCCCCAGCACCAGGATAAACAACGGGGAGGACCAGGAGTGTCCTCACTGCTAGCGTGAGACTGTCCTGTCATCTGCACTGCCATTAAGCTGGGATGGTCACCATCCCTCTGGGTGCCAAGCATCTGCTTTTGGGAAATGTGGGCTTGGTCAGAATGATGTCTACATTTGGAAGTGTTCTGCACAGCCAGCCTACACCTCCCCTCCCGCGCCTGGCTCTGTCCCCAGCCGGGCCTGCGAGTGACATGGCCCTGGCAATGGACCCGGGTCTCAACTCTGAAATATTACAAACAGGCAAGTTACGAAATCCAGAGTGCTGATTAGAAAATTTCAAATTGGCTTTGCAAGATCCATCATAATGAAAGGAAGACTGTAAATTACGGGCAGGTCTGAATGGTTCAGCCACCTGGGTTTTTCATGCAAGGTGCCCCGGGGACGACGTCCCTGCGGCGGTGATTAATTGGGAATAATGTCTTCTGGGGATGGGCGGGCGGTGAGGCTCTCACCAGTGAGTTACTCCGCCTGGCCAGGAGCTTCACATCTTCCGTGTTGACCGTGTTCCTTTTCGCATGTCTGAGAAAGAGCGGACACAAGTCACCAAAGTGCTGGCTATATTTGAGGTTTCAGTGACACAGAAACATTCAAGGTCAGACTTCTAACTTGCGAGGATCATTACGTAGCCCGATGTTTGAGATTCAGGTCACTACGCCACTTTAGACAGGAGTGGGCACAGTTAGGGCTCTTCAGCAAATAAACAGGAAAGAGAAGATGGAGCTGTCACCCCCTCGCGCGAGGGCACAGGAGCCACAGGACTGAGTCATGGAGCTGAAGCCCTTCCAGCGCACCCTGCGGGGTCCGGTGCCTGGCGCAGAAAGAGCAGGGAGGAGGTCGGGGCACAAATTTAGTGTAGAAAGTGAGCCCTAACATACAGGGGTCAGGGCGGGGCTTAGGCTCAGCAGCACAAGCGCCTGCCTGGCAAGTGTGAGGTCGTGAGTTGGATCCCTGGTACCAAATAAATAAGTAAATAAAACCACAAAGGTCACCTCTGCGCACACAGACATTAAGCAGAGGAACAAACTTCTATGACCCTTAGGCTCCTCAAAGCAAGGCCCACGTGCCCTTCCTGAGGGTCAGTCACAGGCCAAGCCGCCTCCTACCACCCGTTTCCCTGCCATCTTGAGGGGCTACAACCACCACAGTGGCCTGGGCACAAAGAACAGCCTTTGGAGCCTGCTGCCTGGGCGGGTGGGGCACACCTGTAATCCCAACACTTGGGAGGCTGAGGCAGGAGGATTGCTTTGAGTTCAAGGCCAGTGTAGGCTACATGGTGAGTTCAAAACCAGCCTGAACTACACAGTAAGACTGTCTCTTAATAAATAAATGGCTAAATAAATAGCTAAATGTGAGGCCGTGGATTGAACCAGTAACATGCCACACATATACACCCCAAAACAAGAAAAAGAGAGAAAGCTTATAACAAGCAAGCTCCAGGGACCAGGACAGAGACAGAAGGTGACACAATACTATAGCAACCCAACCCAAGTCCAAGGTCCCAGGCTGTAGTATTGAGTGCGCCTGGGCAGTGTGACCCAGGCTCAGGAACACGCTCAAGCGGCTCTCTTTACCCAGGAAGGAGTAGGTCAAAGGTGGAGGACAGCTCCCAGTGTGACCACTTCTTCTGAGACCGTCTCTCTATGCAGTCCAGGCTGGCCTTGAACTCACAGCGATCCTCCTGCCTCAGCCTGCCAAGCCCTGCTCCTGGCGTGTGCCACCACAGCAGCTCACCGGGAGGCTACACAGTGAGCTCAGGACCCTGCCTAGAAACAGATAAATGCAGCGTGCTACAGGGGAAGCCACTGTTACACCGGCTCAGAAGCCCCTCTAAAGGGTGGCGTCCTGCCCTGCGAAGCTTCCAGTCCACTCCCCAAAGTAGCCAGCAGAGCCTTCCAGGGAAGCAGAGGCGCACAGGAGTCCTGCTCAGTACTCCGGTTCTTTCCTCTTCTTTCCCCAGCGCTGGGCCAAAGCCGGGGCTTCCCACATGCTAAGCAGGAGTTACTGCCCCTGAGCTGCACCCCAGCCGCTAGTTCATTTCTGTCCCTAGAATTTTTACCTAAGAGTAAACGTTCCATTGTGTTTTTTCACAGCCAACAAGAAATGGGCAGTAGAAGGGATCCAGTGCTTCCCGGGAGCCCAGGCTGAAATAACTCAGGGTCCCATTAACACCCGCCACTTTGCCCCTGGGTGTGGCTTTCAGCCACTGACAAAGAAGGACGAGGGAAGATTTAGAGCCAACCCTCTGGGCCCCGCGGCCCTAATTCACTCACGCCCTAATTCACTCACAGCATTGGGGGGGGCTCCCAGGCGGGTGAAAGGGGGCGGGGGCAGCTCTGCAGCTGCTGCCGGGGAGCAATCCTCTGTGACTGTCCTCAGTTACCTGCCGGGCTGAGCATAAATCACCTGGAAACCCTAAAGATGTAAGTCCCAGGCCCAGCTGGGAAGCCGCCCGGTCATTGTCCCCACACCTGCAAGCCATCAGGCAAGGGATCCCAAAATCAGCCGCCACTCAGCCCTTTCCACCGGCACTGTCATGGAGCTCCTTAATGAAACCCAAATCCGAGGGGAGCAGCCAGAGCAGGGCGGAGGAGCCAGTGAGCCCCCCGCAGCTGAAGAGGGGCCCACCAAGGGGCCCAGGGCCGACCCACCTGGCGAACATTTCAACGTCTCTGGCAAAATTTTCTGAAAGAGAAAGAAAGAGCCGCTTCAGCCCCCTTCAGTCTGCTTCAGGAGGAAAGTGAACGCCTAATCTACAGTTAGCCCCGAGACTTAACCAAATATAAAAAAAGACAACGAACTTTTAAATTTTTGTCCTGGAGACTGAACCCAGGCTTCTGCACTCAGCTACGATACCCCGGGCCCTTTGTATTCTGAGACACACCCTGTGCTAAATCACCCAGGCTGGGTTTGGAGTTGTGATCCTTCTGCCTCAGCCTCCCAGAGTCACTAACCCCAAGGCCAGCAGAGGCTCTTCCAGTAGCCCCATCAGTTGCTAACGGCCCCCAGCTCCCTTAATCAATGAGGCTCCCTTCCCCTCGAGGCCTCTCTACTCCTCAGGGCAAGGCTTCTGCTAACTATGACTGTGCCCTGGTTTCCAGCAAGCAGCCTTTACTGCACATCTTGGTGCAGGCTAGGGTGTGCGAGGAGGACAGTAAACTCTGCCAAGGCTCAGCAAGTGGCAGTGCCACGGGTGCACCAGATACACTGTGGGTGGTACAAAAATGCTGTGAGAGGCCGGGCATGGTGGCACTCGCCTGTAATCCCAGCACTGGGGAGGCAGAAAGATCAGTGTGAATTCCAGCAAAGCCCTCGGCTACAAAGTGAGTTCCAGGCCAGCCTGAACTGCATAGTGAGACCCCTTCTCAAAAAAAAAAAAAAACGTTGCAATGCATTGAAATAAAAAAGTATAATGTCCAGCCACCAGGGCAGTTTAATACACAATAAAATACACATGTTAATGTCTCAGTGTTGGTGTAATAGAAAAAAAATCCTAATAGTTCTTCCCATGAATATCTAAATCTTGGTGGGCAGGCTGGTATACATCTATAATCTCAGCCCCGAGGAGGGTGAGACAGGAGGGTGGCTACAAGTTCAAACCCAGGCTAAACTGCACAGTAAGACCATGTCTCAAAAAACCAAACAGACGGGGCTGGGGATTTAGCCCAGTGGCATAAGCGCCTGCCTTGTAAGCAGGCAGTCATGAGTTCGATCCCCGGTACCGATAAAAAGGAAAAAGACAAAAAAAAAAAAAAAAAAAAAAAAAAAAAAAACCAAACAGAGCTGGGGATTTAGCTCAGTAGTATAAACGCCTGCCTGGTAAGCGCAAGGTCATGAGTTCAATCCCCAGCAACAAAAAACAAAAACAAAACTAAAACAAAAAATCCAAATCTTAGCGGCAAGAAAACCATTAGCCAGACATAGCATTGCATATCTGTGATCCCAGCACTTGGGAGACAGAGGCAGGAGGATCACCAAGAGTTTGCGGCCAGCCTTAACTATACAGCAAGACACTGTCTCCAAGAAACAAAACTACAAAAAAAGAAGTATCTCATGAAGATCATGACCCATGACAGCTCCACCCCACACTTATCCAGGCACATGGACCTCTGAGGGTTAGAGACACAGTGAGGGCCCCCCCGCTTCATACCGCACTGCCGGAAGGTCATCTCCGAAATCGCGGCAATGGTTTGCTTGCTGAACTGCATCTCTTTGTCCTCTGCAACTTCTTGGCACAGACAACCGACCGTGTAATGCACCGCTGCCTTGAGCCTCTGCAGAGATCACAACACTTCAGGGTGAGCCTGCAACTTCCACTGAACCCGCATCCTGAGCCTGCCCTGGAGGCTCCCCATTAAGTCACAGGGAGCTGGAGGGTGACCGGGCACGTCCCTGCCTGTGACCGGCCCTGGAAAGAGGACGACTCAGGAAGCAGTCAGCAGAGTTAAGTCACAGGTGCTCAAGCAGTGGCCTGACTTCCTGCCTTGTCCTGTCCTCTGCAGGACACAAGGGACAGGGGCTCGACACAGAAGGGTCAGGCCCACAATACCAGTGCTGAGGCCAAGGCAGGAAGATGGAGAGCTCCTGGCCAGCATGGACTCTGATGCATCCCAGTCATGAAAACAGAGATCCAGTCCCTCTGCTGCAGTCCTTGGCAGCCCCAGGCTGGGCCGGAGGCCGGGGACAAAGGACGAAAGTGTAGGACAGGCAGACACATGGCCTACAGGAGGGAGGCAGGCGGATGGAACACAAGACCAGAGGCCCTGCCTCCCTCTGCCTCAGACATCCCAGGAGTCAGAAATGGAGGAGCCAGCATCAGCCTGGGAGCCAGAAGACGTCCTGGATCCTTTTAAGTACTGTATGGATGGGAGCACAGAGCACTGAGCCCTAACTTCCTCAGGAAGTTTTCTTTCCTCTGTCCTTCTCTACTCCCCTACCCCACTCCCTAGGCAGGGCTAAGCATGTTTCTTTTTCTTTCTTTCGAGACAGTCTCGCTGTGTATTCAGGCTGGCCTTGAACTTGCAGTGATCCTCCTACCTCGGCCTCGTGAGTCCTAGGATGACACACTCCTAGGTGCTTTCTTCCCCACTGCAGCCACTGCTGCACCTGGAGGCTAAATCACTGGTCTCTAAATCCTTTGAGGGTAGGGCCCTGCCAGTTTTCCCAGCACTTAGAAAGAAAAATCTTTGGGACAAATGGGGACATTTGAATATAGACTGTACATTCAACAATGGGATTTTACCAAAACTGAACTTCCTGAGTGTGATAATCTATTGAGAGGACGTAAGAGAATCCCCTTGTTAGTGGAAAATTAAAATTTAAAAGTGGAACATCAAGCTATCCCCAATTCTCCTCCTTCAGAACAAAACTGTCACATCTGGACCATGCATATCTCTCCCCTCATTTTTCTCTGCCTGGGATGGAAGCCAGGGCCTCTGAAGCAGGCATTCCTCTGAGCTCTGCCAAGCTCAGGTTAGGTTTATGGAGAAGAGAACTACCTGGAATATTGTGGGCTCTAAACTACAAGGAGAGAGAGAGACAGACAGAAGGTGCAACTGAGCACAATGATAACAAGTGTGGGATGGTGGTGACAGGATCTGGGTGCTCCCGGCACCGTTCTTGCAAATTCTTTGCAGGTCTGATTTCTCCAAGTAAAAGAGGGCAGGGCAGACAGCTGCTGAAATCCAATGGGAGTTTCCTAGGGAGGAAACCCCCAGCACCCCAGCCCTAGGCGCTTCCCTTGCAGTCAATCCAGCTGAGGCGGTCACCAGGGGTCCAGCCTTTCATCTCTTCACTGGACAGTGACAATCTCACGACTCTCCCACCTAAGATCCCAGCGGAGACTAAAAAAGAATGATGCATACTCGACACTACGCTGCGAGATGCCTTTCTGATTTTGCAAAGGAGAAAAGGTTGGCATTTGAGGGAGTACTACAATAACGAGATGCCGGCGCCCAGATTTCGACCCTTGTCTAAGCATGGGCTCTAGTGCCGGCTGGCCTGAGTCTGAATCGGGCTCTGTAGCGTTGTCGTCCTGTCGTCCTCACCCTGTCCCTCAACAGAAAAAAGATACAAGATCCGAAGGCCAGCAGTTCAGAGCCACTGCCTCTAACATTACAGTGCACTGAGCGCTCTACCCAGATTTCTTTTAAAAAATTGTCTGCGATACACAATTACATTAATTTGGATAAACTGATACACAGATACCGTATCTTGATGCGATACCCTCACCGCCGCCTACCCTCGCCCTCCCCTTGATTCCCTTCCTCATCTCAAAAGAGTCTGCCTCCCTATTTCCTACCATGTTTCCTCTATTTCACTCTATTCTGCTTTCAGATTTTGTTTTTAGCGTCCACATTCCACCCAACCCCATTCCTTCTCTTGTGAGACGGGAGAACGAACCTTCCATCTAAAACTAGTAGGCGTTCTGTGGCCGCCCAGGACGCAGACACGTTGCCAAGGAAGCCCATTCCCAGAACTGCTCGCGGCACCCGGGCCGGCGCATGCGCAGAAGTTCAGGGCTGCTAGCGCCCGGGTGACTCGCTGAGACCACTTGAGACAGTGAAGGGACGCTTCCCCTCCCAGAAACCCCACGCCGTGCTTGCTCAGTGGCACCCCGTTTATCCTGTACCTGCTGGTAAGACAGTCGCTCCTGCTCCTCGGTCTCCTCTGTCTCCTGCATCACGGCAGGCCGCCCCTGGCAGGCGCTCGAAGGCAAACGCCTCGGTCGGACTTTCCCGCCGCGGCTGTGAGCTACGGGCGGCGCTGAGAGTCAAAGCGCGAAGCCCCTCCTCGCCGCCCCCGCGCGCGCCCCCTGGCGGCTGCGCCGGGGCGAAGGCGGGGCGGCCTCTGACCCCTCCTCCAGCCAGCAGGCGGGGCTGGGTGATCCTAGAGGTCGCCTCTAGCCACAAGCCCCTGGTCCAGGCCCTGCCTTGTGCTTAATGACCAGCGCTCCTCAAAAATACGTGTCTACAGGTGCAGAATTGTCACGGTAAATCGTATGGACAAAAAAATGAACCTCGCTGGTGGCGCGTGCTTGTAATCCCAGCTATTCAGAGGCCGAGGCAGGAGGATCGCCACGAATTCGAGGCTAGCCTGGATTGCAGCCCTGTCTCTAAACCAAAAAACACGGTTTTTAAAATTAAGGGGCGGGGCTGGGGATTTAGCTCAGCGGCATAAGCACCTGCCTTGCAAGCAGGCAGTCATGAGTTCGATCCCTGGAACGGATAAAAAAAGAAAACAAACAAACAAACAAACAAAAAATAAAATTAAGGGGCTGGGGGCTGGGGATTTAGCTCAGCGGCATAAGCACCTGCCTTGCAAACAGGCAGTCGTGAGTTCGATCCCCGGTCCCAATAAAAAGGAATAAGACTAAATAAATAAATAAATAAATAAAATAAAATTAAGGGGCTGGGGATTTAGCTCAGCGGCATAAGCACCTGCCTTGAAAGCAGGCAGTCGTCAGTTTGATCCCTGGTACCGATAAAAACAAAAAAAGACCAAAAAAAAAAAAAAGAAATTTAAAAGGGAGGGGCTGGGGATTTAGCTCAGCAGCATAAGCGCCTACCTTACAAGTGTGTGGTCGTGAGTTCGATCCCTGGTACCGATAAAAAAGAAAAAGAAAAAAAAAATTAAAAAGGGAGGGAGAGGTGGCTCAGTGATAAGAGTCCTTGCCTAGTATGCAAGATGCCCAGATTCTGTTCCCATTACCTCAGAAAGTAAATTTTAAAGTTATGAAATGCAGTGCCCTATGATGATTCCACGTGTAGCTGGGTGTACCCTGTAAAACCCACCATTTCTGTCACCAAACTAGGGTCACAGAATCAGACTGCCAATCATTTTCCGATTGGTAACCATTACTCCACAAGTGACACCTCACTGCCAACGACAAAGTAGTAAATCTGACACACTATTGAGTCCGTCAAGAAAAGAACTGGGAGCTGAGTGCCGGCCCAGCATGCTGGAAGCCCTGAGCTTAAGCACCAGGACTGCAACAGAACCAAAACACAAACCTGGGTGTGGTGGTGCTTACCCATAATCCCACACTGTGGGAGGCTGAGGCAGGAGGATTTGCTAAGTTTGAGGACCACTCCTGTAATTTAAGTTTACTGAGAACCTGTCTCAAGATTTTAAAACAAATTTAAAGGCTAGGGATACAAGCGAAGACCCAGTTCAATAATGTGCCTGTTTCCCTGGTGTCACTGTAACCTCCACTGTGGATTTCAAGATGTCAGTGCAAAGTCACTGAGAGCGCTGGGAAGTGACGCTGGGTGCTGCTTTCATCGTCCCCAAATGGGAACTGTGGCCGCCTAAGGAGGACTGATGAGTCTGGTGTATGTGTGATTTCCTAAAAAATAATTTAAGCCTAAATTATTAAACTTAATTTTAATGATTGTGTTTGTCTCTGTCGATTCCCACTAACCTGTAGGACGTGGCCTGCATCTGCCAGCGGCCTGGTACAGAGTGAGCCCTGGGGAAGTAATAAATAGAAGCCAAGAACACACACCATGCCGTGGCTGGTTGTTAGGTAAAGATGTGTGTGTCCGCGTCACCTGATGGCGTGTCCGGGGGATAGCAGGCCTCATTTACAGTACTTCTGTTTGTTGTTATTTGAGATAGCTTCTCACCATGTACCCCAGACTGGCCTGGAACTCACAGCAACTCTCCTGCCTCGGCCTCCCGAGGGTTGGCTTTCTCCTCTGGGGTGTTTGCAGAACGTTTTACTGTTGCATCTGTGTGGGTCTGGGGAATCACACTGATGCACTCAGGAGAGCAGTTTCTAGAGGGACTCCCTGTTGTCAGCACCATGGTGCTCACCTATGTCCCCGCCTGGAACCCCCAGCAAGCCGCAGTGCGTGGGGTTCAGTGCGGTGAGGCCCGGTACAGGCTTGGGAAACGTGCTCGTGTGTGCTCGTGTGGCCTCCAGGCTGAGCCTGTGCTAGTGACTCGTGGAACACAGCCACCTAAGTGTGCAAGCTCCAGGGTCGAGCCAAGCGTGCCATTGCTCGTCCATGACCCCGGCACTCTGGAAGGCCAAGGCAGGACAGTTGCAGAGTTGAGCCCTGCCTGGGCAGCTTAGTGACTTAGCCGGACTCTGTCTCAAGAAGTAAAGAGGGCTGGGGACGTCGCTTGGTGCAGAGGCCCTGGGTTCCACCCCAGTGCTGAAGAAAGAGGGAGAAGAGAGGAACCCAGGAGAGAGGAGAGGGAGGAAGGGGAAAAGGCAAAGGCTCAGGGCCGAGGATTGCAGTGCAGGGCGGGTGCCCTGACTTGGCTGAAGCTGTCCTGTGATGGAGTGGCAGCTGCTTAGGCTACCGCTAGGTGTCACCCTCGTTCCACACACAGGCAGGGGCTTGCACGCTCACAAAGCCCTTGCTTTGCACCACCTTGGTTCCAGACGCTTCTTTTCTGTTCTTTTTGGTCTCCCTGTGGACCCGGGCTGGCCTTGCCCTCCCAAGGGACTTCAGGGCGCTGACCTGCCCCGAGCACATTTTCCCATGATCTTCAGTAAACACAGCTGCATTTCCTGGGGATCTACAATTGTTTGCTTGCTGGGCACAAGAGCCCGCAGTCTGTCGGCCCATCCCTGCATCATGTGTGTATTTCGACAGGAACTGGGCCGAGACAGCCTGGGCCCACCAGACAAAGGACTGCTCGAAACTCTGGCACGTGGCAGTGGGCAGCTAGAGGGTCCATCTTGGGTCTCAGTGGGTGTGGCTCAGTGTTAGAGTACTGGCCTAGCAGGCCTGGGGAGGTTCAGGGTTCGATCCCCAGCCCTGCAAATAGATTGCCCGCGGTGACAGCGGAGGTGGGCCGTAGTGTTGGGATTTGAACTCAGGTCTGGAACAGCTCCAGAACTCTGTGCTCTGCAGCCCATTCTGTACAGGCAAAGGCCCATCACTGGCGGACGGCCCAGCCTGGCCTCGGCTGAGAAATTGTAGGAAACAGAATTCAGGCCCACCCCTGAGCTACAGGATCAGCATCTGCGGGTGGCAGAGAGTGCATGCTGAGATGGTTCTGGAGGGGTTTCTTTTTGTTTTGTTTTGTTTTTTGGTACTGGGGATTGAACTCACAATTTTGTGCTTGCCCAGAAAGCACTTATGCCATTGAGCTATGTATGTCCCCAGCCCCTCCCTGCATTTAATTTTTAAATGATTCCTTCTCCATTTAGTACTTGTCATTTTTCTTTAAGTTTTTCCTTCATGTTTTCCTTGTTGTTTTTCTTTTTTCTTTATTTTACATTTATCAGGACCTGTAATATATTGCAATTAATTGCTGTTCGTTTTGTTTTGGAGACAGATCTGTATAGTTCAGGTGGGCTTTGAACTCACAGTGATCCTCCTGCTCCGGCCTCCCAAGTGTTGGGATGGCAGATGTGCACCACCACACCTGCCTCCCACTGCTTCCTTCTGCCCTCATTTGTTCCTAATGAGTCAGTCGACCCTCTAATTGTTCCACAGCCGGATCAGCGGCTATCGAGAACCTGTAAAGAGTCCCAGTAGTCAGTATCGGAGCCCTGGCCAGGAATCCCGATTGTCTGTCTCTAGAATGCTTGGAGAAAAAAAACAGAGACAAGTGTTGCTTCAATGGCTGGAAGTCAGTGTCTCTGGATCCAACCTCTGGAGGGGTTTTATTGTTGGTGGTGGGTTTGCTTTTTGCTTTTATTTTGAGATAGGATTTTGTTATGTAGCCCAAGCTGGCCTCCATCTCACAGCGATCCTCCTACCTGGTCAGCTCACCTTTGAGGAGTGCTTTTCCCAAGCCCCTAGAGAGAACACTATGGTCACAGCAGCCATCAAGGGCAGAGGTTTCCACGATGAAAAGGGAAGGCCCTCCTCACACCCAGGCACGAGGTGTTTCTGATTTGTGATCCGGCCCAGAACCTTCACACTGACCTGTGTTCCCCGCCCTTTGTATTTGTAGATGATCTCATAAAGTTGAGAACTGCCCAGTTGGGCTTCAACTCGTGACCCTTCTGCCTCAGCCTCCCAGAGTGCTGGCATCACAGGGCTCAGGCGGTCCTAAGTGCTCCAGTGTGAAGGGGTGCCTCGCCTGTGCCACTCTGCCAGAGGCCAGGGCGCCCGTGAGGTCCAGCTGTGCAGACCAGGGTTCACACTCGCCGTCCTGGTGCTGAGGACGGGACAAAGCGCTCGGGAAGTCACCGGAGCCTGCCTGGGTGTCTGCTGGTGGGAGCAGAGCGCGCACCAGGGCAGGGCCGGCGCAGTCGCCAGTGGACCCAGCTCAGTATCATTCTCTGTGAGCTTATTGTGACAAAAACAACAGACAGGAAGACCCAAGAGGAACATCACTGTGAGCACTGTAAAAAGAGTCATGTGCCTTCCACACACGCACACGCACACACTGTGTGGTATTTCCTGGGCCGCAAGTCTTTCCATCCTGGGAAACTGAGCCCGGCCACCCTACCACTGAGCTACAACTCCACCCTTTTTTTTTTTGTACTGGGGATCAAACTCACCATCTCACACTTGCCAGGCAGGCGCTTACGCCGCTGAGCTGAATCCCCAGCTCGCCCTTCAGTGTTTGAGACAGGGACTTGCTAAGTTGCTCGGGCTGGCTCCAAACTTGCAATCCTCTGCCTCGGCCTCCCGAGTAGCTGGGATTACATATGCATACAGTGCACTGGCTGCATTTTAAACAGAGAAACATTGAGGCTGGAAGAAAACAAACTGATTCAAATTTATTAAAAGTACTGCAGGTTTTTCTGTCCACTACATGGCCGCTGAGTGTGGCCCAGGTGAGAACAAGTGTAGAGAAAAAGCAGAGACACGATGGAGAAGACAAGGGAATCCAGCCGCGTGAGACGAGGCTCGGTGTGCCGCCTCCCCGACCGCACAGCTGCACTGCCACTCCCGGTTTGGTCCCCACTGTCCAGGTCGGGTCCTGAGTGGTCCCTAGGCGAGGGTGTGCTGGGCGCCGTGACCTCTCAAGGCGCCTGCACTTAGCTGGAGATCGGAGCGGGACGGGGCGGAGTGCTGCGGCCAGGAGTGGCCCTTCGGGGTTTGGGGGGTGGAGTGGCAGGGCCTCAGGCGTTGTACGAGGAAGACGACACGCTCCCACCGTGGCCCGTCCAGTTGGTGTGGATAAACTGGCCTGGCTTGGCCAAGAGTTCGTAGGTGTGGGCCCCAAAGTAGTCCCGCTGAGCCTGGAAAAGGAAGCGGGACACGGGCAGCAGATGGCCCGGGCCTGGGGACACACACACACAGACGGGACACACACACTGGGACACACACACACGGGGACACACACGGGGACACAGACACACGGGGACACAGACACGGGGACACACACGGGGACACAGACACACGGGGACACACACACACAGGGACACACACGGGGACACAGACACGGGGACACAGACACACAGGGACACACACGGACACAGACACACGGGGACACACGGGGACGCAGACACAGACACACACACAGGGACACACACACACACACGCTGGCCTGGCCCTGCTCACCTGGATGAGGTTGGCGGGCAGCATCTCGTGCCGGTAGCCATCATAGAAGGCCAGGGCGGTGGTGAAGCAGGGCATGGGGATGCCCGCCTGGACACCAGTGGTGACCGTGCGCCGCCACGAGTCCTGCGTGCCAAGGTGAAGCCGGGTGAGCGCCCGGGCAGAAGCAGCCCCTTCTGCACCCACTGCCACCCCTGCCCCTGCCCGTCCCAGGTCCGTCTAGTCCCGTCCCCGTCCCCGTCCCCTGCACACCTGGCAGCTCTCCACAGCCGACTTGAAGAAGTCATCGAGCAGCAGGTTCTGCAGCTTGGGGTTGCGGTCGAAGGCGTCCTTTATCTTCCCCAGGAACACGCTGGAACGGATGGGGAGGGGGCTCAGAGGCCTTCAGCCCAGCAGGCCCATGCTTGGGCCCTGCAGGGAGTGGACCAAGGTCTGCCCCGAGAGGCCGAGGGTGAGCCTGCCCCACGCCCAGGAGCTGGGTGACCACGCAAGGCAGACAGTCCCGAGACCCAGGGCCACAGGGCGTGACGGTCCTCAGAGTCCCTTTAAAGGGGTCACGGAGACAGTCAAGTCCGGGGGTCATGCAGGGCTCTGCACGCCTGTGAGAGGCAGGGGCGGTGGCCACACACAGCCTGCTGCAGACCATCCTGCCCGGGTCGCCAGCCGGGGACCGAGTGCCGGACGTGCCAAACCGGCAGCCGCTGCGCTGCGCTGCGCACAGAACAAAGTCCAGGGGCCGGGAGATGAGGCTGCTGCCTCATTTCCAGCCCAACATTGGAGGACATTGGAGAAGCCAGGCACAGGGACACGTAACCAGTGGCCGCCCTCGCCCACACACCTGCGGATGATGCAGCCGCCCCGCCACATGAGGGCGATGGCGCCATAGTTGAGCGTCCAGCCGAACTCGGAGGCGGCCTGCCTGAGCAGCATGAAGCCCTGGGCGTAGGAGATGATCTTGGACGCGTAGAGGGCCTAGGGCGACAGCGACACTGGGACTCAGGGGCCGCAGGTGGCACCTGGCCGCCCCGCTGCATCACGGAGAGGGAGCTGCAAACAAGTCCCACCTTCCGGATGTCTTCCAGGAAGGACTTCTTGTCGCCCCCAAACTGGGCCTTTGGGGGGCCCTTCAGCCTCTTGCTAGCTTGGACCCGCTCGTCCTTCAGTGACGATAAGCACCGAGCGAAGACAGCTTCTCCTGGCGGGGAAGCGCGGGACAGGGTGACAGAGTGCCGAGGTCCCCTCGGGAGGAGGGGTGCATGCGCCACAGTGCGGAGGTCCAGGAGTGCAGACGCGGTCTCTACGCGGAGCCGAAAACTTCAGAAAACCTCTAAGCACCGAGCAGCCCCTGCACCAACTCCGCCTGGCTCCCACAGGTGAGGGGCCAGCCAGAAGGGCGGATTCGGAATTGGAAGGAGGCTTCCAGGGAAAGGAAGAAAAGGCAACTCCTGAGACCTCCTATTGCTGGGAATTAAAATTTGTTTCAATTGGGGCTGGGGATTTAGCTCAGCAGCATAAGCGCCCGCCTTGCAAGCAGGCAGTAGTGAGTTCGATCCTCGGTACCGATAAAAAAGGAAAAAAAAAAGAAAGAAAGAAAATTTGTTTCAATTTAGAAAACTTTCAGTATCTGTTAGTTTTTGTTTGCTTTTTCTTCTTTTGACAGGGTCTCCCTGGCCTTGAACTCATGGTGATCCTCCTGCCTCAGCCTCCCACCTGTCAAAATGACAGGTGTGCTCTCCCCACCCCTTTAATAATTTATAGAACTTGAATAAATTACTTTGCTTCCTTTTCTGTCCACAGACAAAATGGGCTGAAATCTGGGAATTAACCGAGGACCTGCAGAGAGGATTCAGGCCATGACATGGAGGACCGGCAGCTGGGGCTGCCCCAGAGGAAAGGGAAGGAGGGGAAAGGCAGAAGGAGAGGGGACGGGGGGAGGGAAGAGCAGGAGGAAGGAGGCTTGGCACACAGTGCTGCAACACCCGATGTGGCAAACCTGCTGCGTTGCCTAAGGCGAGCAGTGCAGAGCGACTTCCCCCTCGGCTCCACTTTGGCATGCGCCCCCCCCCAGCGACAGGGACGTGCCACCTTCAGTCCCCATGAGCAGACGGCTCACACTCGCACCACTCAGATGAGCTAAGGCGGCCAACTTCCCTCTGCAAGGGGCCGCTCAGCCCACTCCCCTTCCCCTGCCTGTCCATGCAGGGTAAGGCCGGCTGACTAGGAAGTCAGAGCAGGAACCCCAGGCGTGGTGGCCTGCGCTTGTGACCCCAGCACTTGGAGGCTGAGGCAGGAGGATCACTAGGAGTTCCAGGCCAGTCTAGGCTACACAGTGAGTTCCAGGCCAGCCTGCACTACCAAGTAACAAAAGGTCACCTGCTGAAATTCACAGAGGATTGCTAGAACCTTCCAAAGCTAACCCTGGACACTCTGCATGTCCCTCACAACCCGTGGGGAAAAGCGACTGGAGAACAGAGACTCCCGACCAGGGTGTACAAGCTCCCTCCCTGCAGAAAGGCTGGCTGGCTGGGGCGGGGGACCGGGACAGTACCGATGAGGGTGACAGGAACGCCGTACTCCAGGGCGGAGATGGCCGTCCACTTCCCAGTGCCCTTCTGCCCCGCGCTGTCCCTGATCTTGGGCAGCAGGTGCTGGCCGTCGCTGTCTTTGAACTTGAGGATACTAGCGGTGATCTCGATCAGGAAGGAGTCCAGCTCGGTCTTATTCCACTCCTCGAATGCCTGCGGGGGGACGAGGGACAAAGTGACGTGAGGCCCTGATTCCGCTTCTCCACGGCAGACACTGCTGGGGAGCTTTCTGTGTTAGGTGCTGTCTGTCTGTCTGCTGGGCCCACAAAGCCCTAGGACAGAACACCCCTGGAGGCATCGTGTGTGCTTACTGGGGGAACAGACCGAGGCAGCAGATCAAGGCCAAGGAGGGAGATGAGCTGCGGGCAGCCCGGAGCAGAGCTGCCCTCACCTCGGAGGTGCTGAGCCCTGCTGTGCCCGCACCCAAAGCAGACGCACCCCTAGGGACACTGGGTACTTAGGGAAGGAAGCCGCAGAGCATCACCCGAACCTCACAGGAGGAGGGACAGACGGAAAGTGCTGAGAGGCTAACGTGGGCGGGGGCACGGCGTCGGTGCTGGGGCCCTTCCCGAGTGCTCTAGGGTTTTCTGGGTAGGATGCTGATGAAAGCCCTCTGCTCCCGACCGGTGACAACTTCTTAAGGAATTATCAAAAACCGGGTCCCAGCCTGAGCAGCAGACGCCAGGCCAGGCCGGGCTGGTGACAGTTAACTCAGGGGCTCTGGGCAGGGGGAGGCCTCTGCTTCGCGGCCAGCTGTCCTAGTTAGGGGCAGGAGGACGCACCCGGGCCATGTCCTCGTGCCCCATGCCCAGCACGTCCTTCATCAGGTGGTAGGCCTCGCAGATGAGCTGCATGTCGCCGTACTCTATGCCGTTGTGCACCATCTTCACGAAGTGCCCGGCTCCCTCATCTCCCACCTGTGGGGGCGACAAGCACGGGGCCATCAAAGGGCGCTGGGCACCAGAGAGAGGCCCCTGGCGCCCCACCAGTCCTCACCAAGGCTCGCTTCCGTCCTGCTGTGCGAACAGCAGCAAACGGGAAGCGCCTGAGTTTTTTCAAAAGATACTCATCTGGCGGCCCGGCACGGGCTTCCACCCAGCCCAGCGTGCTCCGAGCCCCACTCCCCCTGCAGGCCTCTCCCAGGGCCCCAGGGCCGGCTCTCATTCACAGGGCTTTTCCCAGGCCCTTACCCATGAGTTACAAAGTCCTGCTCTTCCTGAGCTGCTACACTTTAAAAGCCAGCCAATTAAATCACTGATGTCTTTACCCAGATGTAAATACAGCCTTGCAGGACACCGGCGCCCCACTTCCTAAGCCAGGCCCCACTGCTGGCCAGGTCCTGCCTCAACAAGCTCAGCTGGCCAGGTGTAAATCTCAGAACAGGTGCTGAGTTTAGGACGGGCACCTTTCTTCTGTCTTTTTCAAACAGAGTCTCACTATGTAGTCCAGACTGGCCTCAAGCTCACAGCAGTCCTCGTGCCTCAGCCTCCTGAGTCAGTGGTGACAAGTGTTACTCTAGCCTGCCAGCCTAGCACCCAGGAGGCTGAGGCAGGAGGATCGCCATGAGTTCAAAGCCAGCCTGGGTTACACAGTGAGTTCAGGACCAGCCTGGACTATACAAAAACACAGGTGTTCCTCTGAACAGCTTCCTCTGTCCCCGCAGAGCCACTGGGAAAGCAAATTACCTGTGAACTGTCCATCAGTGGAGAACAGAGCACAGACGCAGGAGGAGAGAGAGCCCTTGGCATCCAGGCTCTGCACTCACACAGGGGTGCTGCTGGCGGCCAGCATCCTCCCCGGCTGTCCCTGCCTCCCAGGACCCTAGGGGCTGACATCAGGCCCCGCTAACTGTGACCCAGCCACACAGTGCCGCAGGGGCCCTCGTCCTTCCTGACCCCATCCCAGGGCACGGAGAACAAGTCTGCGTCGCTGGGCTTCCTGTCACCACCTGCTGCCCGGGATCCAGAGCCCCTCAAAGTCCTTCCGGCCCAGCCCCTCCTGGCACAGCCTCTGCCACCGTCTAGGGTGGCAGCCCTGAAGCAGGGCATTCCTATGCCCCACCCACGCCCCACTGATTCATAACAAATAAAGTAAATCAGCAGACATGACGGGCAGCCCGGGAGTAGGGCACCCGTGCAGCTCACCCGGCTTACCCTCCGTTCCCAGATGGGGGAAGCGGGAAGTAACCCCGCCCGCCTCCCCCCAACCGCAGCCTCGGCAGGCTGGGCCCAGGAAAGGAGGGGACGGCCGGGCCCCTGCAGTCCTCGAGGACCCAGCACTCACACCCGGTCCCAGGCTCCACAGCGGGGGCAGCGCACGCAGCTCCTCCTCCCTGCCCGCTCTTGGCTTCCCCCTGCCATGAGGGGCTCAGGAGCCTGCGCCCCCGGCCAGCCTGCCCTCGCTGGGGATTCTGCCTTTCAGCTGCGAGGGAGCCGGCCTCCGGGCACTGATGGGCTTAGACCGAGGCTGGGTCACAGGACAACCACTGTGGCACTGGGGTGGCGGCGCTGGCACTTGCCCAGTCGCAGCAGGGCTCTCCAGTTCCTACTTTCGCCGAGATGCTCTGGAAGATTGTCTTGATGTGCGGCCTGTGGGGGAGAGGGCTCGGCTCAGCGGGGACGGGCCCCACTCAGGTGCCCACTTTCAGGAGGGAGGCAGAGTAAGTGATGAGCACCCCGAGCTCCGCAGGGGACCCCAGGCCTGTGCCTGTAGGTGTCAGTGGGCCTCAGGGCAGAGGCTGCGACCATCTCGCATGCCAGACCAAAAAGGCTGGGCAGAGCCAGGCACGGCGCACACCACGTAAGCCAGAACCTGGGAGGCTGAGGCAGGAGGATCCCGAGTTTGAAGTCATTCTGGGATATGGAGTAAGTTCAGCGCTGGCCTGGACCACACAGTGAGGCTGTGTCACAGACCAAAAGAAAAGGCCAAGAAGTGCGGGGATGCAGCTGGGGGTACAGCACACGAAGCTCTGAGTTTCTAGCCCCCAGCAACACACACACAGAAGTTTACACTGTGGCCCTGGAACGAGCTAATTCCAGCCTGCAAGCAACACGGTTCCTCTAGAGCCCCGGGTTAGCTCGGTGCAGGTGAGGAGGGCAGGTTCCACACCCTGGGCCACACACACACACACACACACGCACGCACGCACGCACGCACGCACGCACACACGCACACACACACACAGACAGAACAGTGCGGTGTTTTAGGAGAAGCCGCGCCCTTCCTATCTCCCACAGCTCCCAGGAGAACCGTGCAGCCCGGGGTCCCCCTCGTGGTTCTGCACCGGGCCAGACACACAGCCTGACGGGGCTGCAGTCAGCCCTGGCTGGCTCTGGGCAGTCTCCGGGGCCAAAGGGTCACTTCCTCCTCTTCTCCGTGGAGGTTTTTCTTTGCAGTTCTGGGGCTGGAGGTCAGGTGAGGCGAGGCGAGGCTCTCCGAGGAGCCCCACCCGACCTCAGGTGCCTCTGCTACTTCCCTAAGCCCAGGAGGGAGTGGAGGGGCCCCAAAGTCACCATGGCAACGACAGGGGAGCGGCAGGGTGCCTGACCTCTCGGAGTGCACTCACTGGACGGGGGCTCCAGGCTCACTGACCGCAGAGGGCACTTAAAGGATCATTTTCCTAATGGGGTAGGTTCCCTCGCTCCTCTGCTTTACTGCCTGATACAAATCTAGACGATCTGGGCATCAAACTCCGCTGGCCTGTCCCGGCAAATGACAAAATGACGCCCCCTCTGCTGCCCCCCTCGTGTCCTCCTGCCCCTGCAGCCTTGGCCCGGCCGGGTCCACCGCCTGTGAGAGCTCGGATCCCAGGCCGGCTCCTCCCTTCTTGCAGCCCCCGTGAACAGAGTCCAGCTTGTTTCTACCCTCCAGCGAGACACTTTTCTGCCCATTCCCAGGCCCTGCTACTCGGTTATTAGTCATTTTAGGACCACACATCGGCCCACAGAGGCAGCACTGTCCTCCGCGGTGCCAGCCCAGGACACTGCCCGGCCCTCCAAGCCCAGCCCTGCAGAGCAACGGGAGGTGCAGGGTGGCCGGGGACTCACCAGGCCTCTCTGTTCCCGCCGGGCATGAGCGATGGGCCGTACCGGGCCCCCTCCTCGCCACCGCTGACGCCGCTGCCCACAAACAAGATGCCCTTCGCCTTGAGGTCCCGACATCGTCTCTGAAGGAGAGGAAAAGGACATCATGACGTCTCCAAAACCAATTCCTCCCACAGCACGCGGAGGGGAAAGGTGGGCAGAGATGCCACGGTGGACAGGCCTGGTCTGGGACTTTGGGGATCCAGTCCCTTGCCTGAGTCCTCTCCATGTGGCATCTAGAAACAACCGGTTTTCCCAGGTGCTCAGCGGAAGCATCCTGACACAGGGGATGTAGGCAAGCACACATCCCCTCCTCCCAGGACGCCGTGCAGAGACCCAGTGAAGGGAGAACTGGTTTCAGAGGACCTGATGACTGAGCCTCAGCCGGCACCTCGGAACCCTTGGGGACATCCCCAGCCCCCTGGGCCAGACAGAGACTTTGAGGCCAATGGCAGGCAGGGCGAGATAGCCCTCTGCCGCTGGCACAGCAGGTGAGGATGAGACCATGTCCAGCTGGAAAGAGGCCGAGAGTGACCACCCACCAGCCCCAGGCGATACAGAGCCAGGCTCCAGGACAGCCGGCCCGCTGTCCCCTGTCCCCAGTGACCTGTGCTCCCTTTCCAAGACTGTCTTTGGGACCTGGAGGAATCAGGATTGAGGGACACGTACCGTGGTATCTCGATACTCAGAATTCCCCCCATCAATGATGATGTCACCAGTGTCCAACAGCGGGACCTGCAAACAGACATGGCACAGGGTGACCAAAGACAGAAGGAACGGGAATCTATGCCAAATATGTGTAGTCTGAGGACATGTTACATTTAAGCAGCAACAACCCTCAGCGGCTACAGTCACATCTTACTTAAGATCAAAAGGCAAGGTAGGCATGATGGCTAATACCAGTACTCAAGAAGCTGAGGCAGGGGGATGGCCGGGAGTTCAAAACCAGCCTGAGTTACATAGTGAGTTCAAGGCCAGCCTGAACTGCAGAGTTACACCTTGTCTCAAAAACAAAAAACAAAAAAGTAAAAACAAGACAGACCCTTGCTAATGCCTCAAACTGTTTGGTATAAAAGTAAATAACCAGGGCCGAGGGTTTAGCTTAGTGACGTAAGTACCTGCCCTGGCAAGCACAAGGTCATGAGTTCAAGCCCTGGTACCAAAAAAAAAGTACATAACCAGGGGCCAGGTATATAGTGCAGAGGCACAGCACCCGCCTGGCACCTGTGAGGTCATGAGTTCAATCTCCATGGTGGCAGAGGGAGGCGGGGAGATGACCAGTTCCTAGGAGTCCCTAAAGGGATATTTTATCATTCATATTATACAATTGTGAAAACTGTTGCACGCCTGGAGGCTGAGGCAGGAAGATTGCAAGTTCAAAGCCAGCCTGGACTACAGTGAGATCCTATCTCAAAAAACAAAATGAAGTGGGGCTGGGGATTTAGCTCAGCGGCATAAGCACCTGCCTTGCAAGCAGGCAGTCATGAGTTCGATCCCTGGTACCAATAAAAAGGAAAAAGACAAAAAAAAAAAAAAAAGAGGAAAAAAGGAAGAAAAGAAATTGTTGCTTGCCGGGCACGGTGGCGCACTCCTGTAATGCCAGCACTTGGCAACTGAGGCAGGAGGATCCTTGCAAGCTTGAGACCAGCCTAGGCTACAAAGTGAGCTTAGAGCCAGCCTAAACTGCATAGCAAGACCTTGTCTCAAAAAGACAAAAAAAAAAAGAAATTGTTACTTTATAGGAATATGAAAAAGTCTACTTCTAAATTTGAACACAAATATTTACTAGTGAACAACGCTAGATGTTTATAAATATTACAAAACCAAAACTATAAGATCAACTGGGATCATAAGTTCAAGCCCGGCCAGGGTAACCTAGTGACTTAACAAGACCCTGTTTCAAAAGTAAACCAGGAAGCTGGGTGTGGTGCTGCACACCCACAACCCCGACACGCCCAGGCTAAAGCAGGAGGAGAGCTGCCAGTTCGAGGCCAGCCTGGACTAAATAATTCAGGGCCAGGCCGAAATACAGTTAGATCCTGTCTGAAAAAAATAGTCTGGAGATTTAGCTCAATGGCACAAGTGCCTGCCTGGCACCCGCAAGGTTGCGAGTTCAATCCCCGGTACAAAAAAAAAAATAGGGGGCTGGAGATGCAGCTGGGTGCTAAGGCCATGGGCTTAATGCCCAATGCCATGGGAAGAAAAATAACCTTAAGATGTAGGTGGTGGGGTACAGCTCAGAGGTAGAGCTCATGCCTGGCATGCGTAAGGCCCTGGGCTCAATCCCTGTCACCAAACAAAAACTACAAACAGTCTGAGTCTGTAGCTCCGCGCTAGGGTCTGTACCTGCCCACCAGGCACATGGCTCTGCGCTTAATCATGCCCAAGAACTACAAGAAAACTTGTTTTGGCAATGCTTAGGACTGAACCCAGAGCCTTTGTACTGAGCTGCACCTCCAGCCCTTTTTTAATTTTTTGAGGCAGGGTCATGCTACATCCCATGTTGCCCTAGCTGGGCTTGAACTTATGATTCTCCTGCCTCAGCCTCCCAGGGTACATCGATTACCGGCTGTGTACAAGCACACCACAAAGAGCTGGAAAATCTTTTTGAATAGCAAAGACAGAGATGCCACCAGTAGATTACCACTCTTCTGATTCTTGCTGCTAAGACTGTCTGAGTGAGACGTCCCTCCACGTCCCGGAGTCACTGCCACCCAGAGATATGCAGTTGCTTAATGAGTGCCAGTTGCGTTGGCCAACACTGAAATGTTTAAGAAATCCTCCCACCAGAAGTGAGCACTTCATGTTCAGAAAGTGAAAATTAGAGAAAAAAAAATCCCTGAAGGAAACCGAGGAAGCAGCAGCCAGGGCCGAGCGACTCACTAGCTTCTCGATGAAGTCATCCACAGCCTGGCCGGCCTTGACCAGCAGGATGACCCGCCGCGGCTTCTTCAGCTTGGACACCATCTCTTCCAGGGACTGCGCACCCACCACCCGGGTCCCCTTCGCCTCGTTGGCCAGGAAATCATCCACTTTGGAGACAGTCCTGTTAAAGGCACACACCTAGAGGGGCAGAGGGACACAGGAGACCTTCAGACTGGGCCCTCATTCCAGGCAGGACTGTGCCACCTTATCAGGGAGACGCCACACAGAACCCAGGCAAAGGCTGTGCATACTGGCAGAACCTGTCACCGACGGCTGGGTCCCAAAAGCAAAGCCAGGAAGCAGCTGTTGTACCAGGGGCTTGGTCTGGGCTTTTACCTGCCTGTCCTCCTCACCCTGAGCTGTGTCCCCAGTCCCCGTGTCCCTGACACTTCTAAACCACTTTAGTATCTGGCACTTCTAAGCCACTTTAGTATCTGGAAATAACATTCAGAGAGTGCTGGCCGCAGGCTGGTGTCCACAGTCCCCGAAGATCAGGAGACAGACGTGGGAGGATGGCCTGAGGCGGGGGTTGGAGGCCAGCCGGGCGACACCGTGCGATCTGGTCTCGAAATAATAAAAGGCGTTTTTCACTCTCCCATCTCTGCCTCTCACTGGGCGACAGATCAGCGCCCCGCGAGGGCAGGATCTGACCTCTCCACTCCTGGGTGCAGCCCAAGGCTCGGAACAGCAGGGCCGGCCGGCCACACCCACGGCTGGCTAAAGTGGCTTCTGCCACCCGCAGCTCGGGGCTCGCGGGGCAGGGATCGGGCGCGGATGCCGCGGGGTCTGCGGGGCTGGGCGGGCGCACGCCAAGGTCCGGGTGGGCCGGGTTGGGCCGCGCCCCGCACTCACCACGAAGCCGTGGTCGTTCATGTTCAGAATCAGGTTCTGGCCCATGACGGCCAGGCCGATGAGCGCAACGTCGGCTCTGCGGGGCGGGAGAGGGAACAAAGGACAGTGTCAGCGCCCGCTCAAGTCGGAGCTGACGGGCAAGTGATCCCCCACCCAGCGAGCCTCGGCCCCCGGACCGACCCGGCCCGCCCGGACCCCGGCGGCCCCGACCGCGCGCAGAGGGGCCCGGAGCTCCGGCCGCGCCTGCGGGGTGCAGGGTCGGGCGCCCGGAGCGCACGCGGACCGCCAGGGGCTCTCGGAGAGGCGGGGAGAGAACCAGGCTCCGGCCGCCCGCGGGTCACTCACTGGGCCATGGCGACAGCGGCGGCGGCGGCGAGCGGACCAGACACAGGCGAGGAGGAGAAGCGCGGGAGCCCAGCGCCGGCTGAGTGCGGTCCGGTCCGCCTCCCGCTGACCTCCGGAGCTGAGGCTGCTCCTCGCCCCATTCGTCGGGGCTCGCCAATCGGAAGCGAGGGGCAGGATTTTAGGCCGCACCATTGGTTCTCCCTGGCGCCTGTTATACCACCTGAGGGCAAACGGGCCCGCCCATCGCCCGGGCTGAATCAGTAGATTTCTGAGCACATCGATGAGAGCCCGGGCGCCGCGCCGCACCGCATCTCCTGACTGCACGAAGTGTGCGGGGTAGCCCTTTGCGCCTGCGCAGCTGAGACTGGGAGGCGTGAGCTTTGAGAAATTGTTCTTTGAACATTTGAAACTTTAGTTTTTGAACTACTTGCTTCTGGTGTAACTATCCATGAGCTGTATGGGTTCATTACCCGCCCCCAGTGATGGGGATTGAACGCGGGCTCTCACATGCTAGGCAGGTGCTGTGCCACGCAGCTGCCTCAGCCTGTTGATGTGTGCGTGCATGCTTTGTGTGTGTGTGTGTGTGTGTGTGTGTGTGTGTGTGTGTGCGCGCATGTGTATATACTGGAGACTGAACCCAAGACCTTCGCACTGATCAACATCATCAGCCCTTTTTATTTTGAGACAGGCTTTCCCTAAATTGCCAGGCTGGCTTGAAATTTGCAATCCTCCTGCCTCAGCCTCTTAGAGTGCTGGGATTACAGGCATGTGCCGGGTCCCTCACTAATTTTTAAGAGTGTGCAGCAGTACTGAGACCGAGGAGTGTGAGCACCGCTGACACAGCCCGTGTTTGAAAGCAGGGAGAGGTGCCAAGGGTGGGTCCTTTCCAAGGTCCCTGTCTATCAAATCCGGGACTCGGGGTGGCCTCAGTGGGGGGACAGCTCGTTTGTTATCACGGAAACCGCATCCGATGGCTGCTGGGATGATCTGGAACTTATTTGTCGGGGAGTTGACAGCAGGCTGACTTTAGCTCCCACTGGTTTCGTATTTTTCTAGCTGTGCAATCAAGGCTGTATTTTTATTTTTGTTTCTGGGTAGTTTTGTTTTGTTTTGTTTTTTGGTCTTGTTTTGCTTTGATGCTGGAGACTGGATCCCTGTCCTGGGGTACACACCTACTCTGCCCCCAAGCTGCACCTACCTGCATGGCCAAGGTGGTAAGTCTGAGTTTTCCTTTCTGCAAAAGGGGACAGACAGTTCCCGATGGCTGCAGGCTTCGGGGGAGCCCCCAGGGCCCATGTCTCAGCTGTGTCTGGCACCCACACACACTTGTTTCTGTTGGGGCTCAGGGCTTGACACCCCAAATGGAGCACCTTAGTGTCTCCGGAATTCTGGGCTAAGAGGCACTGGAAGGCCTCAGAAGCAGTGTTGTTCTGATCTCCTGTCCCCATCTGTCCCATCTCTTCCGGGAGTCAAAGAAACTAGAGATTTTTTTCTTCCCCAGGGTGAGAAAAACCTGAAATACTACTTAGCTTCCTCTCCTCTTGGCTGTGTTTTCTCTGCAGTGTGGGGGATAGAGCCCAGGATCCTGAACATGCCAGCCAGGCGCTCTGCCTGTGAGCTACACCTCTAACTAACACTCCTTTAATTTTGAGACAGGATCTCACTAAGCTGCCCAGCTGTCCTGGAACTCCCCACCCTCTGCCTCAGCCTCCCCAGTACTGCAGCCGGCAGCCTTAGTCTTCCTCACCCCTCACTGACCCACACCCCCAGCCCTTTTTACGTTATTTTGAGGAGTCTTGCTAAATTGCCCAGGCTGGCCTCAGTTTATGACCCTCCTGCCTCAGCCTCCAGAGTAGCTGGGATACAGGCAGGCATGGCAGGCAGCTTTGTAATGTGTGGTCTGTGAGCCATCCTATACACCCCCTATCCCTCCCACATGCCCTGTTCAGTAGAAAGGGGTCAGAACAGAGACAAACTATGTTGCAAAAATAGGGTTGCATTTTTTTTAATCTCCCCAGCTTCTGTGGAAACTTTCCAGAGAAAGAGATAAAAGAGTGGCTTTGGGCCAGGTGGCTCACACTTGTAATCCCAGCTATTCAGGAGGCTGAGACAGGAGGGTTGGGGGTTCCAAGTCAGCCCAGGCAATTTCTTTCTTTCTTTCTTTCTTTCTTTCTTTTTTTTTTTTTTTTTTTTTTTTTTGTCTGAGACAGGGTCTCGCTATGCAGTTCAGGCTGGCCTTGAGCTCACTTTGTAGCCCAGGCTGGTCTGGAACTCGCAACGATCCTCCTGCCTCAGCCTCCTGAGTCCGGCTCAGCCCAGGCAATTTCGAGAGATCTGTTTCACGGTGAAATACAGAAAGGCCCAGCTCAGTCCCAGCAGGGAAAGAACTTTCTAGGCCTCTCCACGCATCCTGCAGTGTGGCTGAGCTGCCTGTGACCCGAGTCGTCTTCTATTGCAAAGACTCCCCCACCGACAGCCCCCACCCTGCTCCAGACACACGGCTCCCGGGCGCCTGTCCTCTTCCCTGCAGCCTGCACCCCTGTCCTGCATCCTTTGGGAACCGGGTACCCTAATGGGACCCAGGGGCTCACTGTATTGCGCAGACTGGTGCATGCCTTTGCCTTTCATTTCTCTTCCTTAATTAGAAGTAAAATCGCTGGGTGACAAGTGTCAGTTTATTTTATGTTTGTGGTACAAAGCACACTAACCCGGCCACATCCCCAACCCATGTCTTTTGGGTTTTCTGCTTTTTGAGATGGGATCTTATCATGCCTTCCTGGCCTCAAACTCCCAGACTCAAGCACCCTCCTGCCTCAGCCTCCAGAGTGCTTGGACTACAGGTGCACACACCACCTCTGCCTCCCATAATCACCGACGCAGCTGTAGGTAGTCTGTGCTCTATGGGTCTCAGTAACCTTTCTTGCTTTTCTGGTACCCTTTTTGTGTTGCATTGTATGTGTGTGTACGATTTTATTATTATCTTGTTTTTGAGACCAGGCTTTTTTTTTGTAGTGGGACTTGAACTCGGGACCATGAACTTGCCAGGCAGGCACTTGTGCCCCGAGCTAAATCCCCAGCTCCCAGACAGTAGCTTCTATCCCATCCCCCAATTCTGTCCCCACCTCCGCCTCAGGCCATGGTACCCTGCCTGGCTGGCCAAGTGACAAGTGACACACTTATCCTTGAGAACAGCTCAGTGTCTTCTTAAAATGTAGAGAAAACCAAGCAAGTTGGCAGTCCTGGGACCCCCAGTGTACAGAGCATCAGAAAGGCTGTTTACCTGCAGAATTATCTTCTCCGTTTTTTGTTTGTTTTTACTCAGTGTCACAAGTTTTAATTTTACTTCCTGATAGCAAAAGGAAAAGAACCCCAGCACTAAAAAGGCCAAGGCCCTGTCCCCCCATTATCGGTGATTTGTCTTTCTGACAGGTTGAAAATTGTTCATAAACTTGATGCTGTCAACTTTTTTTTTCTTTGGGTACTGGAATTGAACTCAGGACCTTGTGCTAGCCAGCAGGAATTTATGCCACTGAGCTAAATTCCTGGCCCACCAAAGTTTTATAGTAAAGGTTGGAAAAGCAATATGCTCTGCAAAAGGAGTTTGGGCCAAGAAAAAGCAGGGGGAAAGGGCTCTGCCGTGTGAGGGTGAGGAAGGTGAGCTCCCCGGGGAGGACCCCGTGGTGACAGTCTGAGAGCAGCTCCATCTGTGTTTCTGGAGGTTGGCACGGCTGGTTATAAACTCCAGGTCCTGCCCCTCACATCTCAGTGTCTTGGCTTCGACCTCTGTCGTCTGCCCTGACTCAGAGCCGCTGACCACGGATTATAAACCATCTGTCACCAGCTTCCGGCAGGGTAGCTACAGTGCGTCTCCATGTGGACACCTGGGATCACCTTATTCGGAGTGGCAGAGTTAAATCTGTAAATCGGTGACCTACATGGGAAGTTTTCAGCCACTCATTTCTTTGTAGTACTGGGAACTGGCCCGGAGCCTTTGCACTGAGCAAAATTATTTAATTTTAAGAGTCTTGCTAAATTGTTAACCTGCCATACTAAGCTCAAAGATGCCTCAGCCTCCCAAAGCACTGGGATTACAGTCTTGTATGCCACCACACTAGCTATTCAGTCGCTAACTATTCTTTAAAGGATTTTTCTGCTTCTTCCTTTCCTCCAGAGCTTCTGTTCATTTTGTACGTTTGTGCCTTCTGATTTTGGAGGTGCTGGGGACTGAACCTTGGGCCTTCATAATGAGCTACATTCCCCCTCTCCCTTAATTTTTGAGACAAGATCTCACTAAGTCAATTGGTTGTCCAAGCTGGGCTTTGACTTGTGATCCTTCTGCTTCAGCTTCAAGAGTGTCCATTTTGGTTTGTTTTGTCTTGGTTTTTTTGAGACAGGGTCTCCCTACGCAGTTCAGGCTGGCCTTGAGCTTACTTTGTATCCTAGGCTGCTCTTGAATTTGCAACGATCCTCCTGCCTCAGCCTCCCGAGTGCTGGGCTTACAGGAGTGTGCCACCATACCTGGCTGGGAGTCAGTTTTTAGGCTGAGTTTTTAGCTGGACTTTCTGAGAGGTGCCCATGTCTGCATGACAACGCTCTGGGAGGCTGCGCCTGGGCACTGGGCTGCCTGCCTGGTGGGGCCTGGCACGTGCACCCTCGCTCTCTAGTGCCATGTCCCTGGCTATTACCTTTCTAAGGTGCCCCTAGGGTCTCCTGTGCACATGCATGCGTTCGGTCCAGTGGCGGCCACATTTCCTGTCGCTGCTGGCTTGGTTTCTCACTCCTCTGTCACCTGCCCAAGAGTTCAGGTAGCAGCTGTCGCTCTCAGCTCATGAAATGCAGTCTGCCTCCCAGGCTTCCCCTGCCACAGCCACTGCCGGGGCTGCAGCATCAGAGTGGCCTGAGCCAGGCTGTGACCCCTTTGGCCCCCAGAGGTGGGCGGGGTCCGTGGCCCCAGAGCCCCATGCAGAAGCCACAGGAGCCTCCCCTGGGCCTCAGGGCAAACCACAGGAGAAAGGGGAAGATTCCAATGTGCTTTCTTTCTTGCTAGGGACAGAACCTAGGGCGCACAATACCAGGCTGTTATTATTACTGATATTACAGTTACTAGGGATCAAACCCAGGGGTGCTCTACCACTGGCCTACACTCTTAGCCACTTTTAAAGTTCATTTTAAAACAGGGTCTCACCAGGCGTGGTGGCGATGCCTGTAATCCTAGTTCTTGGGAGGCTGAGGCAGGATTGCTGTGAGTTTGAGCCCAGCCTGAGCTACATAGTGAGACAGTGTCTCAAAAAGGCCAAAAACAAAAACAGGGTCTTGCTGACCCTCCTGCCTCAGCTTCCCTAATGGTCAAGGCTGCAGACGTGTGCCACTGTGCCTGGCTTATGGCGACTTCGATGTTTTGCCTGGACTCTGTCCCCACCTGTGGTTAAGGTCTCCCTGAGTCAGGTTTGCAGGCTCCCAGCCTGATCACCAAGCCTACCTTGTCTCAGGTGCTCAGGAAGCCTGTCCCCATCAAGGCCATGCCCAGCACTGTCCCCTCACCTGACAAGCAGCATGGCCACACATCTGGCCCTCACTTGAACGCTGCACTGAAGCTGACTTTAGCAAGTCACCCTGGAGAACAAATGCCAGCGGCCGATTTTATCAGCAAAACTTGATTGCAGTGCATGGAGTGAAGTCACCCAGGGACAAGTGCACCTCTCAGCTTCCTGGCAGTGACTTCCTCTTTCCTGGAGCTCAGGGACAGGACTCACTGGATCGATTGCTCTGGTCTGAGATTTAACAAGGCAGGAATTAAAAAAAAAAAAAAAAAAAAAAACCAGGCAGGAATTGTGCTGAGTCAACATGACTAAACCTGCACCTCTGTCCAGGGAGCAGGCGGCAGCCGCCTGCCGGGCACAAGGAGCACAAGGAGCGGGCTGGTCAGAAGCAGCACTTCCACCTGTACTACCATCCAAGCTACGTGGCGCTTTGCTTTCTGTGTGAGGAAGCAGCGAGCAGCAAAAGCTTCAGACCACCAGCAAAAAGCCTGCTCCTGGGATTGTGGGACTGCAGCCAAGGCCTTTGAGACTTGGGCTGGGACCCTGTCTGTCTCCCCCTGTGACACACCCAGGGCTGCAGCCTGCTGATCTGCAGTTTCCAGCAAATCCACAAACCTTGGCACGTGCCCCTGAGAAAGTCCACAGCTTTATGATGCACTGGAAACACTGCTGGCTCGCCCTGACTCCCCAGATCCCGGAGCACGACTCCTACAGGAGACTCCTACAGGAGCAGCGCTGAGCGTCCAGTCCAGGGCTGGAACGCACTGTTCCTCGCCAAGAGGGCATGGGAGCAGCACGGTGCGACCTGTGCAGATTTCAAAAGCCCAGCTCTGCCCCTCACTTGCTCTGTAATTCCCATAAGTGAATTCAAAAGGCTCCACTACATGCCAGACAGAAAACAATTTCAAAAAACCCACAGTCCCAGCCAGGTATGGTGGTACACACGTGTGATGCCAGGGCTCGGGAGTTTGAGGCCAGCTTGGGCCGCACAGTGAGTTCAAGGCCAGCCTGAACTACAGAGCAGGACGCTGCCTCAGAAAGCCAACCAACCCAGGGCCGCGAACCCAAGGCAGAGGAGTGAAGGACTGAGCACTCCACAGCGGCAAAGCGGGGACAAAGAGCGCCTGGGCTCCCAGGAGACCTCCACACGGGACCCATTATGGGGTGCCACGAAAAGTCAGAAAAGTAACAAAATGGCCTGCGCTGTCAGCTTTGTCTGACGGGGCGACCCTGGATGAGGTCCAGTTAGGGCCCAGGCAGCTAACTCTAACCCCAGCTGACTGAATCCAGTTCACACTGCAAGCCCAGCGGAGTTGAAGACTTGTTTTGAAATTGGATTGAACCCAGAGCTTCTGCAATGAGCAACACCCCTCTTAATTTTATTTTTTAAATTTTTGGACAAAGGTCTCACTAAGTTGCCCAGGTTGGGCTTGAACTTCGTGTGTGTGTATGTGCCCTTCTGAGACAGGGTCTCACTATGCAGTTCAAAGCCCGCCTGAACTCACTTTGTACCCCAGGCTGGCCTTGATCTTGCGCGCTCCTCCTGCCTCAGCCTCCCAAGTACTGAGATTACAGGAGTGCGCCACCACACCCGGCTTGAATTTTTTTTTTTTTTTTTTTTTTTTTTTGTACCAGGAATCAAATTTAGGACCTTGCACTTGCTAGGCAGGCACTGTGCCACTGAGCTGCATCCCCGGCCCTGAGTTTGAACTTCTGATCCTCCTGCTTCAGTCTCCGAGGAACTGTGCTGGGTTACAGGTACACACCACCCACTGGGCTTTCCCAGGCCCAAAAGGCCGCACTTGCTCCCTGCAGCCTCAAACTGTCCTGTGCTTCTGGAAGCAGCTCTGGTCACAATGCCCAGGCCACTTCCGCTCTCAGGGCCTCTCCGCTTCTTCACCCACATGATGGCCCACAGCACCAGCCTAATGTCCCCCAGAAGCCATCTCGCTTGCTCCTGGACCAGAGTCTGCATTCTGGCACTGTTTCTAGGGACTCCAAGCCCATCTGAGCTCCCTGAGCCCTGTGGCCTAGGACATGCGCTAAGGCCTCCCAGCGAGGCAGAAACCACTCGGTGATCCCCACTCGCTCCCCCAAGCTTCCCCTACCTCCCTGTGCCAAACCTGTGATGGACACAGCACTCCCAGCCGTCTCCATCTCCCCAGCCTTTTCTCACCTGGCGGCCAGACAGTGCGGGCTCCTCCAGGCCCTGCTGCGGCCCACCCTGTCTGAAACCTTCGCCTCCATGCTGCCTGGGTGGGAGTGTATAGCTGTTACCAGCTGCGTGGCCAGCTCCACACTCAGCAGGCCTGGCAGAGCCTCGGAGGCCCTGACCTCTATCGTGCTGTCCTTTCTTGGGACTCAGCGCTGCTCTCTGCTCATGCAGAGAGCCCTGGGGCCCACGCTCCTCCGAATGACCCCAGGCTCTCAGCACACCTCACCACACCCGCATAGATCCCGAGTCTCCGGCTCCCCACTTCATTGTAGTGAACCCCAGGTTTTCCTCAGCCCTAACCCCTGTCCTGGCCGCTTCCTGATGGCTGTCACTTCCAGGGGACTGTCACTGTCCCCTTACTGAGTGCATGCAGGGGTGCCCAGACCCCCAACACACCACTGTCCCAAGGGCTGCATTTCCCAATCCGCAGAGCTCTTGCCCAGGGCCCTGCACTGCATGGCGACACTGGCTCCTGCTCTGTCCTCATTCGGCCCCCTGTCCTCGGCAACCCTCACCGTCCAATGGCAGGAACCCACGCACTGTGGGCACTCATGCAGGGCAGCAGGAGCGGGGAGGGGGACACCCACTGGGGACAAGCACTCCCCGCTGAGCTACATCAACAACAGGGAGCACATGAGCCCCACTAACAGTGGGGCTTTCAAACACGACCTTGACCCCACAAGCGCCCCCAGAACGTAGGAAGCACTGATCTGAGCAGCAGAAAGGAACGTGTGGGTCACAGCACTGGAGCTGTAATCTTAGAATCATCTTTGCCACTCAAGAAATTAAGTGTGCAATGAAATTTTTTACTGTTTTTCTGTTTTTTGAGACAGGGTCTCACTATACAGTGCAGGCGGGCCTTGAACAATGTAGCCCAGGTTGGCCTCAAACTCAGTAATCCTCCTGCCTCAGCCTCCTGATGCTGGGATGACGGGTGTGCCCCACCACCCCGGGAATGAATCACTTTTTTTAAATCGGTACCGGGGATCAAACTCACGACCGCCTGCTTGCAAGGCAAGTGCTTATGCTGCTGAGCTAAATCCCCAGCCCCGAATGAATCACTTTTTACAGGGTGCAGGATGCATTATGCAGACAGGAGCCTGAGATGCACTGGTTAGACCTTTATTATTTTTACCTCGTTCACTAATTTTTACCTCTGTGATGCAAGGTTACCACACACAGTTAGGTTATGTCTGCGTTGCACACCTACAGCTAGACAGCAAAAGAACCCGAATTAGTACAAATACAAGAAAGAACTGTATTTACATTCTGTATACTCGAGCTCCAAACATCAGATATTATTTACAAAATAAAACATGAAAATGAAAATCCAAAATTAATAATGTACATTGTTGCTAATGTGCTCAACTCCTTCGCTGGGGAGAGGTCAGTCCGCAAAGTCTTGGTTCAGAAAGGCCACTTATGCTTCATGGGGTTTTATGACAGTGTGTGAGGGTGGTGACAGGACTGGATCTTGACAGGTGCTGCAGCACCACCGAGGCAAAGACAGCGCCTTCCGCATGGGGAGGCTGCTGGCCTCCACAGTGATGGGCAGCACAGGGATACGGACAGACGGACGGTAAGACTCGGGGGCCAGCGCACGAGCGCCAGGGTCTTCGAGAGTCCAGCCTACAGCTGCTGCCACACTGTGAGGTGCAGGCGAGCCTTCCCAGGTGTGTGTTTCTGGGGCTCAGGTGCTCACTGATCAGTGGCTGGACAACGGGGCACACAGCGGAGCTCCAGAGCGCACGCGGGAGTCGCCACCAGCAGCAGCAGCATGAGGCTTCTCCTCTTGGGAGCAAGTCCACAGTCACACTTCAGAAGGGGACAGGGAAGTGAGGGACCGGTGCCACGCAGACACTGCCGGGCACCAGTGTGCGGTTCCACACCTGCCCGCACAGAGCTTGTGGCCCTGTGAACCGAGGCTCTGCTCCGTGACCGGTGGACGAGGGCAGCCTGCTCCCACTGCTCCTGTCGCAGTGGCCTCATTCCCGCGTCTAAACCAGCTACGATCCAACCAAAATATGACTGTGTAGCCAAAGGGGTGTCAGATGATGGGGGCTTTGAGCAGGGGCCGCTGCCCGTGCCCAGCCTGCTCCTGCCTTGAGGCTGGCCGGCCCCACGCCGCCGCCCAAGGAGCTGAGCGACTCCCGGCAGCTGCGGCAGAGACTCGGGCAGGGGTGGCCTGTGTGGCCCCACTTCGCCTTGCAGGGAGGGGGGTTGAAGGGAGGAAGGGCCATCAGTGTGTAACAGCACCCATCTGTCTGTAATCTGCATAAGAGCTTCTTTCTGGTCTCTTCCCTTGTTTACAGGAGCACTTCAAGAATAAATAAAACACCACCTTTGGGTGGCTTCCTTAATGGTTAGGTTTATTCACTTCAGGCCGCAGCTGGTGCCTGCCCAGAGCCCGTTGTCCTGCCCAGAGACTGCTTCCCCCTAGCAGCAGGGAGCAGGGCTCCCCACCCTGCAGGACCGCAGGCTGGTTCCGCTGCAGCCCCCTGCCCTGGGCCCCAGGGACATGGCCCACACCACCCACCGATGTTAGCTACTCCAAAGCAAAGACCTCCCAAGCCAGTGTCTGCATTAGAGGAAAACACGAAAGCAGTTTCAGAGCGTCTGGCATCCCCCTCATCAGACTCCTGGCCGCCCCCGCCACGGCGTGGGCCCTGGGTCCAAGGTCTGACTCCGGAACGGCGACATCAGTGATTTAATTTTACAAGTGACCTTCAAATTTCATCTTTGTTTCCCTGAAGTTAGACTTAGGTTCAGTTCCAGCCAGAAAGCTGTCCGGAAGCAGTCTGAGTGTGCATCAGAAGGGCGGACTGTGTCAGAGGACAGAGATGGCTGGCTGCATTAGAAACCTTGCACACACTCAGGAAACGAAGGACAGCATGGTTAGTGACCTACGTTTTAAGGGGAGAAAGATCAAATCCACCAGTTTCTGCTGCACGCTTCCAGCTGAGAGCCTGGCTCCCTGTGGCCCTGGCTTCCTGAAGCTCTGGGCAACACCGTCCCCACCTTGCCAGGGGCTCCTCAGCCCGCTCTGCAGAGCCGCATGGCTACGGGGCAGAAGCAGGTCCCTAGAGATGGTTCCACAGGGCGCACGCCATCTACGGGGACACAGTTGGGCCCCACTGCTGCCCCTTCCAGTGTGGGAGCAGCACTGCCTTCTGGCTGGTGACACAGCAGGGACAGGTGAGCAGGGTGAGGTACCATGAGAGGACAGAGACCCAGGGCAGCAATTGCAGTGGCCTAGGGCCTCCGTGAAGCCAAGTGACACAGCACACTTGCGCAGCAGCCAGAAGAGCAGATTCCTACACTGCCATAAGCCAGGGAACCTGGCCTGGCGGAGGAAAAGGTGGTGGCAGCAAGCTCTCTTTTCTTCATGGGCAGCACCTTTGTGCCACTTGGAGGAGGACAACAAAAGAGGGACGAACAGAGGACCACAGCGCAGGGGTTCCGGGCCGGCCTTTTTCTGTCAGTGGTTTGGTGGCGGGGCTGGCTCAGCCCAGGGGTCTGCTCTCTGGTGAGTGGAGGTGGTGACAGGGGATGGTCACTGGCCACGGGGGACACGTCCACATTCATCCGGAAGCTGCGTATCTCTGACAGGAGTGTGTCACTATACTCACGAGCCACTGCTTGGCATCAGCATCACTATCCTCTCGTGTCGACAGACAAGGACCAGTGAGGCCACCAGCAGACAAGCTCCCAAGGCCCAGAGGAGACCTGGGACCCTGCTGTGAGCAGGCAGAGGCATCCTGACTGCTGCCACGCGGCCCACAGCTGGTGCCACCCACCTTCGCCGCTCACAGGGCCCACAGCAGCCGTAGTCAAGGCCTCTAGAGGCCTCTTGTCCTGCTCTAGGGAAACCCACATGCAACTGTCCCGCATCTGAACTGGCCACCACCTTCTCCCTGATGGGGACTCGGGCTGGGTGCAGCGAAGGGAGACAGTGGGGAAAGGCAGGTTTCTCCCCGGGGCTCCAGCCACCCGAGAAAAACTAAAGTGACGTCACAGAGAACAGAAGTTACCCTGAAACACGGACAGGTATCCAAAGACGACAGACACCAGCGAGGGTCACGATGGGGACCTGTCACACAGAAGGAAGCCAAAGTGCACCAAGAAGTAATTCAGTGGATATCCTCAGTGGGGTGTGTGTGTGTGTGTGTGTGTGTGTGTGCACATGTGCAGGGTGAGGGTTGTTTCTGAGTTTTAAAAATCTGTTTTCCTTTTGTTAGGCCACATGCTACTAAGGAGATTCTCAGCACAAGGAAAAGAAGAGCACAGAGCCACGGGGGTGGGACAGGAGAGTAGAAAAGTGCCGGACAGCAGGGCGGGGAAGCCACGGTTACACACGGGAGCAGCCGTCAGAGCCACAGAGAGGTAACCAGTCCTTTATCTCCTCTGCACCTCAGTCCTGGGGCTGGCTCGGGCACCTCCGGGACAGCTTCGACCTGGGGGACAAACAGGAGCAGGGTCAGAACTCCGGGTGCCATGAGTGCCTCTGCAGACCTCTTGGGAGGAAGAAAAAGAGGTGAACTGCTCGGAGCACAGGCAGGTTCTCTGTGGTGGAACTGGGGATGGACTGGAGCCATGTTTATTTTTTTTTTTTATTTTGTCTTTTTCATTTTTATTGGTACCAGGGATCGAACTCACGACCGCACACTTGAAAGGAAGGTGCCTATGCCACTGAGCTAAATCCCCAGCCCCAGCCATGTTTATTTTTGAGAAAGCAAGTCCTATCAGGGACAGGTACAAATCCCCAAGATGAATAGGATCATTATGTGTATCTAAAATGTACCAAAAAAAAAAAAAGGAAAGTTGAGGAAAACGACTGTTTCTGAGACAGGGCTTCGGCAGGTGGCCGGGCTGGGCGGACACGCGCGCTCGGGCTGGGGCTCCTGCCTGCCCGCAGGCCCCAGGGTCACTGGGTGCACTGTGCGCCTGGCCGGAGCCAAGCTCTCCGGGAGGCCGAGGCCATGCGGCGCCCACACCTGGTGACAGGCCCTGCCCTCCTGCTGCTGTCCCCTTACTGGTACAAAGCGGCCGCTGAGGGGAGAAGGGGCCAGGCGGCTCCTCACCGTATGGTGCCAGCCAGGAGCGGGTTAAAGGCGTACAACCAGTCGTTCAGGTCCTTGTCATTGAGCGCCTGCAGGAGGACCCCGCGGTGCTTCGTGCACACAGCGAAGGTGTTGGGTGTCTGGGAGAAACAAATGGGCAGGGAAGTGAGCGCTCACCGCCCTGCCCTGTGGGGCTCAGGGCCGCCAGTGCCCCCGGCACGCTCACACACGCATGTGCAGCACACGCGGCGGTGCAGGCCGGGCGGGCAGGACTGACCTTCACCATAGCCTGCTGGTCCTCGCTGTACTCCACCTGGGCCGTGGACAGGTTAATGATGCCGCGTTCCACGGGGTCCTTGTCACTGTTATAGATGAAGACGTACGGGCGACGGACCACGACAAAATGCTTGGCCCAGCTGCTGGAAAGCGGCTCCTTGAAATGCAGGTACCCCTTCTTGGAGACCACGGAGCTGCAAGCACAGTACGGGAAAGAGAGCTCAGCTCCTCACAGAGAGGAGGCGGCCGAGAGCGGAGCCCGGGGGACGGGTTCAGGGCAGGCCTGGGATGGGCACAGCAGGAGCGCTGAACCGGCCTAGACGCCTCTCTGCCCTGGCAGCATCGCCAAAGAGCCAACGGTGCCAGGCAGAAACCCGGCCAGCTGCCCCACATGGGCCCTGCCCAGGGAGCCACTCACCCTGGTCGGATTTCTTCAATGTCTGGAACGAGATTGAGAAACTCATGTTTTCCTGCTCGAGCCAAATAGGGCGTCTCCACAGCCGGGACGATCTGAAACTGCTCGAACTCCGTGCAGGGACTGGAGGCTCGGGAGCTGGCTTCTGGGGTCCTTCAAACAGAGCGGGTGAGGAGTGGCGGGGAGCCTTTCCGAGCCTCCAGGACACAGGCACGCACTCCGCCACCGGGTTGTGAGAAGGGGTGCATGCAGGGTTTCGGGAAGGCCAGGCACCCGGGCACAGGGCGCAGGCCCCTCTGGGCTCAGCCGAGAAGGGACAGAGTTCCGCTCCTGGGGGCCACCCGGATGGCTCTCTTTGAAAGAAGAGCATCGGGCTCCACTGGGCTCCACCCGGCTCTGTTCCCACCATGCTGATGGGCACAACGCTGCCCTGGGCACCCTTCACCCCCTCGACTGGCTCCACACGGACTCCCGGGTCTGGCTGAGGCGCTGACATGTAGTTTTTGAAGCAATGCCATGGGGCAGCAATTGCTCGCCTATGGCTCCCAAGCAGTACATGTGGGCTACCGAGCGACACCACAAGGTCAGGGGGATTGGGCCTCGAGAAAGAAGCTACAACATCTCGGCACGAGGGTCACACGGCACAGCCGAAGCCCCGACCCCAACCGCAGACATTTCCTCCCTGTGACAGGCCGGTTACCCTTTCCGCCCCTCTCTCTGCTCGATGCAGAGGTGCTGTCACCCGCCAGGCTCTTGGCACTCACGTGCTTCCTGCCACTCTCACAGTCCCTCATCGCCACAGCCCCCTTCACCCGTAAAAGCCGGGAGCACCCCTGGGCCAAGGTCTGTGTTCTAGCCGGACTTTGGGTCCCCTTGCTCCCCACAACAAATGTTCCCTAAGTCTCCATTCTCGCCATGTGTCGCACTGTAAGTGGGGAGTGGAATTACTGACTGCAATCCTAGTAAGTTTTCCCTGAGATTGCACATGTAAACTGCCCTGGGTCACAGCGGCGGCCAGAGAGCTTCCTGTGCACCCCGTCCTCCTGGAGAGTCACAGCGGGCCGCTGACAAGCACCTCTCTTCCTCGGAAGGGCCTCAGGTTTGGGGAGGAATTCTGAGCCTGGACACACAGGTTTGCAGTCCCATGGGAGCCTACAGCAGTGGGGCTCAAGCTTCACCTGGGAAAGCCTCAGAGCCTGGACTTCTTAGGCTCTAACTCGAATCTCCAGGACAGGAAACGGCGAGCTTCCCGGCCTCCCACTGTCTACAGCAGCACAGTGCCGATGGCCAGGAGCGCTGAGCCTGGGTCCTGACAGCTGTGTGGACAGAACTGCACCGCAGACCTGGCCCAGGCCGCGGGACAGCCCGTGCGAAACAAAGTCCTCTGCGCTGCTGCTGGAGTCTTGGCTGAGCGGCTCCGCCCATTTGAACCTTTCTCTTTAGACAGGTTTTTGGCAGTGCAGGCTGGCCTTGAACTCACTGTGTAGCCCGGGTGGCCATGAACTTGCAGTGCGCTCCTGCCTCAGCCTCAGAGAGCTGGGATGGCAGGTATGTGTCACCACACTCAGCCACTTTATCATTTCATGAACTGGGGTTCATTTTATAATTAACAGCATGTTGAATTTTGTTTTTGTGGCTTTGTGACCTGTAAAGTCACCTCTTACAGCCAGCAGCCTCTGACATCTAATTAGATCGAGTGGGCCAAGGTCCTACTGCTCTGGGTCGGCCTGGGTGACACAGCACAGCCCTACTGAGCCCCAGTGCCGAGGACTCGGCCTCCCCCCAAACCCGTACTTACTTCTGATCCCCAGAGCTGCTCCTGGCATCGACCAGAGAGGGGCATGTGGAGGACGGGGTGAGGGTGGCACTGCTGAAACTTGACACAGAGGGGTCCCGTCCCATTGGAGAAACGTCAGACAACTGGAAGCAGAAGGGACACGGCCCGTGAGATGCAGCGGAAAAGGCTGCCCTGGCCACGGGGAACTCTGGCACTAGCACCTCCCTCCCGCCAGCTGGCCGCAAGGTTACACAGGAATCCCAGACCCGGCGGGGGCCACAGCTGCAAGCCCAGTGTTAGGGAGCGAGGCGGGAATTCACCAATGTGAGGTCAGCCAGAGCTAGACAAGGCCAAGCTCAACTACAGGGCCAGATCTGTCTCAAGAAACAAAACCAAAGCTGGCCATGGTGGCCCACACCGGTAATCCCAGCACTCAGGAGGCGGGGCTGAGGCAGGAGGACCACTGTGAATGTGAGGTCAGTCTGGGCTACACAGTGAGTTCAAGGCCAGCCTGAATTACAGGTTTCAACAAACCAAACCAAAAGAAAACAAGCCACAAGCACACATATAAGAATGTGGGCAGCATGATGATGGGGGGGGGGGAGAGGCGAAAGAGGGGAAGGGAGGGTGGGGAGCATCTTGGACCTGTCCAGCACACTGACAAGATGCTGGGTGAAGTTCCAGGGGACTTCGGGGCCAGTGGAACCGGAAGGGCTTTGATCCACTGCTCAAACTCGTGCCAGACAGGACATCAAGAACACAAGAGACCCGTGACCAGCACAAGCTGGCAGAAGTCTCGGCAGCCAGGCACAGCGAGTCGGCAGCACCCACCTGCCCACAGGACAGCACAGAGCCTCCCAGACCTGACTCCTGCAGGGAGGTGCCTTGCAGGCCACCTGCCTTGCTGTATAAGCTGAATTTTTGTTTTCTTAATAAAACTGCAATCCCCACATTAAAAAGCCCACATACGAGTGCCTGCTGGCCGAGTACGTGCACGCCTGTGATCTCATCATCACGGCGCTCTGCAGGGGTGAGGGGGAGGGCACAGGTCTGAGTCTAGCCTGGGCGACTCAGCAAGACTTCTCAAAATCATAATACAAACAGGGTTGGGGTGTAGCTCAGTGCAAAGGCCCTGGGTTCGATCCCCAGTACAGGGGGAGAAATATACACACACACACACACACACATAATGTGTATTTTCATACATACACACATTTACATAAGAGGAACTAAGATACGCTGTACACATGTATTCTCTCCTTACAATGGATGCAATCAAATATGTGTGGGTAAAAACTGAAATTGGTGGGGCTGGGGATTTAGCTCAGTGGCATAAGCACCTGCCTTGCAAGCAGGCAGTCGTGAGTTCAATCCCCGGTACCAATTGAAAAAAAAAAAAAAAAAGAAAAACTGAAACTGGAAAGAGGCGTGTCAGGTTGCTCGTCCTCTGCAGCTTTTGGCCTTAATGAGACAGCCTTGTGCACATGCGCACTGAGCAGCTGCCGCACGTTGTGTGTGGCTCAAAGAACAGGGTACAGGCCTTGCTCTGCTGGGGGTGAGATGCTCTCCTGAGTGGAGAAGGCAGATGATAAACACCTCAGAGTACTGGGCAGTAACCAGTGCCATGGTGAGGAACCGTCTAGCAGAGCAGAAAGTTCTGGGGAGGCCCTGGCTTGCTGGGGTGGGCGGGCGCTCCACTCCAGGGAGATCTTCAGAGGAAACGGATAGACGCAGCAGCAACAGCAGCAGGACCCCCGGGAAGCACAAGGGCCACGGAGCGGAAGTGCGCAGAGCCAGGCAGGGAGGAAAGGACGGCTGAGGGGCAGCTGCAGGCAGCGGGAACCACACAGGCGGCTCCAAATGTGCTGAGCTTTGTGCCACCAGCAGCCTTAGGGCTCCCTGTGCCCTGTCACTCACACTCACACACACACACACACACACACACCCCCCCCACACAACCCAGGAGCAGAGCCCCGGCCGCCATGGAGAGTGGCCACTCACAGCCCGGGCGACGGCGAGGGCTCCGGCGCTCACCTTGCAGTCACTGATGCTGCCGTGCACCTGGCTGAACTCCCGGTTGAAAGTGTGGGTGAGCAGCTGCAGGCACTGGGGAAGGAAGGACAGGAGCTGAGTGAGTGCGTGTGGTGGCGCAGCCCTGTGATCCCCGTGACTGGTCCTGAGGGCTAAGGCAGGAGGACAGCAGCCCCAAGGCCAGCCTGGACAACCCAGCGAGACCCTGTCTTAAAAAAGGAAGGAGCTGGGCATGTTCTCAGCGACAAAGAGCACTTGCCTAACGTGTGTGGTCCTGGATTTGGTCCCCAGCTTCACAAAACAACAAGAAAACAACAATTATGGCTGAATGGAGCCCTGCATGCAAGGCAGGAGGGCCGCTCACCCCCACAGGGCCCGCCAGGGCTCAGGCTGCCCACACTGGCTCCAGTCTGCCAGGTCCACAGCAAGGCTCTGAAGACCTGATCCCCAAACAGAGCCGTGGGGGTGGGGAGCTGGCTCCCAACAATCCTTCAAAAAAGGACGTGGCAAGGGAGACCTGGCGTATGTCTAATAAAGACAGTAAAACGCTGTTCTCAAAATATAAAACTCTGTTCTCAAGACTACAAAAGTGAGGTACTACACACAAGTCAGGGTTTAAGAAGGTAACGGCCTTCTCTCCAGTGCACTGTACTCTGCTAATGGCCCACATGTAGACTTCTGCACGGCACATCGTCCTGCGCAAACTAGTTGCTATCAAGTAGTGCAAGCAGGACAGGCACAGAAGCGCTCTGGTGTTACCGACCTTCTAGCCAGCTGCCAGGCAGCCCTCCCCTGTGCCTCCTCCCCACACCCCGTCCCCGCCTCCATCCCTGTTAAAAGCCTCCCCATCTCCCACTGGATTTCACTTTGAATGCTGAATGAGCGTTTTCTCCTCCTCGGCCTTTCTCTTCACCCCAGACCCATCCTTTTCACTGTTGCTGGAGAGATTTTTTTGTCTTTTTCCTTTTTATCAGTACCGGGGATCAAACTCACGACCACCTGCTTGCAAGGCAGGCACTTATGCTGCTGAGCTAAATCCCCAGCCCCCAGCTGGAGAGATTTTTTAAAATAGGGAAATTGACTGGGAAAAGGAATGGAAAATGGGAAATGGGAGTAGCTCCTGGAGGATCCAGGAGGATCCCGAATGGGTTGCCCCAGAGAGATTTTTCTAAAACAAATACTGCTTAAAGTATTTCTAGCCAACACTTCTGGTACTCCAGCACTCTGGAGGCTGAGGCAGGTTTGCAAGTTTGAGCGCAGCCTCGGCAACTTGGTGGCTCAGTAAGACCCTGTCTCAGAAAACAAGAAGGGCTGGGGGCATAGCTCAGCGTGAAGACTGTGAGTCCAATCCCAGCCACACGATGAGAAGCAAAATGCCACGCATCACCACCAGCGGCCACGGAAACTCTTCAGTGCCAGACGGACCCTGCTCCATCTCCAGCCCCCTTCCCATGCACGCTCCCTCCCGAGGCACACAGCATCCGAGCTACTGTGCCCCCAGGATTCAGGCACAGGGCAGGAGTCAGCTGCGTCACATGTGCAATCTGTGCGCTTACAGGCCTCGAGCCAGTGGCCCCCAGAGAAGGGCTGAACACAAGCCTTCCAGGAGGAGTGTCCCACCTTGGTGGCCAGCTCTTTCTCACGATCCACCAGGCTCTCGATGTCTGCTGAGTCATAGCCGCTGCTCTCACTGGGGGTGATGGCGCTTTCAAAGGTGGTGGTCGAGATCTGCGAGGAGATGCTAGTGGAGGTGCTGAGGGTTCCACTGCTGAGGCTGGGGGACAACGAGTCACTCAGCGATTTGGGGATGCTGTCACCAAGTCTCTCACGCAACAGCAGGAAGTGCCGTGTTTTCTCCACCTGAGAAAATAACACTTTTGCCTTAGTAGACACAAGGCTTGTCGAGATTTAAGCAGCAAAATATTATGTCTCAATATCTTTTTTTTTTTTTTTGTCTTTTTCATTTTTATCGGTACCGGGGATCGAACTCACGACTGCCTGCTTTACAAGGCAGGCGCTTATGCCACTGAACTAAATGTCTGGAAGTCCCCCAAAGCCCTCCAGCTTGTGGGCAGGGCTTGTGTAGCTGGTTGGATCTCAGGGCTTTAGAGCTGATGCACTGGGGCTGGGGATTTAGCTCAGCGGCATAAGCGCCTGCCTTGCAAGCAGGCAGTCCTGAGTTCGATCCCGGGTACCGATAAAAAAATTTAAAAAAGGAAAAAGAGCTGATGCACTGATAGGAGACACCCCCCCCGGGGGGGGGGGCTGGTCACAGGGGTGTGGTGTGGGAGGCCACACCTCCCTCCAGGCTCCTCCCACCCCTGCTTGGAGTTTCAGGCCATGCCTGGCCCCCTCCCCTCCTCTTCCTGTCTGAAGCCAGTGGACTGAACTGTGTGTGAGCCAGAATAACCCCCTCCTCCTGTCAGCTGCGGAGGAGGGCGGCTCACATGGGCGGGAGCTCCCAGCAGCCCAGCTAACCCTGCGCACCTCGTGCAGCAGCTCCAGCTTGTCCAGCTCCCACTGGTGCTCTAGGATGAGGCTGTCCCCTCGTGGCCGCCAGCCAGCCAGGTTCTCTTCCCCACGCACGTAGGCCACCGAGGTGTCCAGCACTTTCCGCCGCCTCCTCTGCATGCCTAGTACAAGAAGAGGGCAGATGGGCTTTCCCACAGCAAAGTCCAGCTCCAGATTTAGGTCACAGGAATTACTAAGTTTCAACATGTGGCCAACTAAGTGTACCCTCAGACCCATGAGATCTCATTATTAATAAAGATCCACACTTCTTTTCTAAAGCAACTCCCTGAACTCTGTTTCTGTGGTGCCGGCATCTAATCCAGGGCCTGCTGTGTCGGCCAGAGAATGACACCTCTAACCCTTCTGAGGTCACTGGCAGAGGGTCTCCCCTCTAGTCTACACCAGCCTGTTCACTAAGCTGCCTGCCCTGGTTAGCCTTCACTTGTGGTCCTCCTCCTCAGCTTCCTGGGTGCTAGGATTCGAGGCGTGCACCACTAGGCTGACCTGGAACTTGAGAAAATGCTAATGGTACTGTTGCATGAAAAAATACACAAACACCAAGCAGTCTGTGTACTAAGATTCCAAGTCCTTAAAAATATACCCTATGAAATGGGGCCATGTGCACACAGGTTTAGCAGCTCGGAATCGGAATCGGGAGACGGGGGCTGGGGATTTAGCTCAGCGGCATAAGTGCCTGCCTTGCAAGCAGGTGGTTGTGAGTTTGATCCCTGGTACTGATAAAAATGAAAAAGACACACACACACAAAAAAAAGGAATCGGGAGACAGCAGATGGCTGTAGTCATCCTTCTCACTTAAAAAGTAACTTTTTTGAGACAAGGTCTTGCTATGCAGTTCAGGCTGCCCTTGAGCTCACTGTGTAGCCCAGGATGGCCTCACACTCATGGTGACCCTCTTGCTTCAGGCTCCCAAGTGCTGGGATTACAGGCATGCACCACCATGCCTGGCATATCCCATTTATTTTTTAATGTTATACTTAAAGAAAAACAACAACAACAAAGTAAAGAAAGAAAATAGTATGTTATACTATTTTTACATAGGAAATATATGAATTTACGTTAAAGAATTCCTCAAAAAACTAAATATATGAATCTGTGCTAATTTCAAAACTTCAAGAAACTATATGGAGAGCAGGGCAGGGCGGCACACACCTGTAATCCTAGAACTTCAGAGTTCTAGTTTTTTTTTTTTTTGTCTTTTTTCGTTTTTATTGGTACCAGGGATTGAATTTACGACAGCACACTTGCAAGGCAGGCGCTTATGCCACTGAACTAAGTCCCCAGCCCCTTCACCAAAATTTTGAGGTCAGTGTGATCTACAGGGTGAGACCCTGACTCCAAGGGGAAAGAAAAGGTATATATAAATATACACACACACATATAGACACACACACACTATCTGGACATTAAAAGTAGCTGCTGTTGGGACTTGGATTCGGACTCAAAAGTGTTTATCTAAATTTTACCTATGGGCCTTGACTTCTTTTCCATAAATATTCTGTAAAATGACCCAAACTGCTGGGGTGAGGGTGTGACTCTGCGGTACAGTGCCTGCCTAGCATGCATGAGGGCTTGGGTTCAATCTGTAGCACCACATAAACAAATAAATGAAAATAAAATGCAACACATTAATCAAATGGGTTTGTTTTCTGGGGTACCAGGATTTGAACTCAGGACCTCAAGCTTGCCAGGGAGGTGCTTTGCCACTGAGCTACACCCCCAGCCCTTAGCAAAGTCTAACTCTGCTTCGCAGGCCTGGGTCAGGACTAAGGACTCAGCCTTCTGTTCTTTTTCTGTGACGCTGGGATTAAGCCCTAGGCAAACACTCGGCCGCCTCTCACCAGCCCCGACAGATTCCAGGGAAGCCGAAGCAGCAGTGCTTTACTGCAGCGTGGTGGTGCTGCGGTGAGCGGGGATGCTGAGAGCTTTCCAAGCCAAATTCATTCTGATTTACTCAAATTCTTTTTTTTTGCACCAGGGATCTGATTTATAACCCTGCACTTGCCTGACAGGCGCTTGAGCTGCTGAGCTACACTGCAGCCCTTACACAGATTCTTAAACGGATTCACAACCCTGCAGCCCGGGCTTGGCACAGTTCTTACAGTCTTGCTACACAGCACACAACGAACGAACGTTCTCGTCACACAAGGGTCTGTAAATAAACGGAGGTCGCACAGATTCTACCTCCCCTACACGGTGGACTACACTTTCTAATCTACTTAAGACACGTGCCAAGGAGTGCCACCTCCAGGCCCCCGGGACTTACCTGGACTCCCTGTGTCCGCCATTTTGCATAAGCTGAGCTCATAAATCCCCGTGACTCGATTCCTATTTGAAAACAAAGTCAAAAACTGCTTAATTCTCAGAGTGCAAACAGGAGTCTCTGTGTTCTAGGTACAAGTCCGCCTCCTCTGCAGGGGCCGTCACCAGCCCCGGGTCTCACACCGCCCACCACCACTGTCTGTCCACTGACCACTGCCACTTCCCATGGTGAGTCAGTCACAGGACGGTCACCGAGAACACTTACAGACAGATACGGAACAACCATCTGTTCACTCTTCTCCTAAGAAAGAGGAGACGGGGCCAGAGCCTGACTGGAATGAAGTGGGAACCCTGGAGCTGCGAGGAGCAGGCGCGCTGCTCTGCTGTCATGTTGCAGTAATAATCGCACTTATTTTGTTCTTTAAGCTGGGTAGCGATGTACAGGGATTCACTCTGCTGTTCTTGACCTGTCTTTTTTCCGGTACTAGGGACTGACCTCATGACCTTGTGCTTGCCAGGCAGGCACTTATGCCACTAAGCTAAATCCCTGACTCCCTTGACCTATTTTTTGTATACTTTTCTTGGGGGTGGGAGTACTGGGGCTTGAACCAGGGTTTTCACACCGAGCTATATCCCCAGCTCTTAATTTTTTAATTTTGAGGCGGGGCCTCACTAAATTGTTAAGTTGCCAAGGCTAAGGCTCAAACTTGCAACCTTCCTGCCTCAGCCTCCCAGTACGCTAGGATTACAGGTGTGTGTGCTACCATACCCAGTTTATTTTCATTTTTCTTTAAGTTCCTGCAGAAGCATTTGGCAAGTGTTTACAATGCAACAGTTTTTTTTTTTGGTACTGGGGATCGAACTCATGACCTAGCGCATGTGAGGCAGGCACTTAGGCCATTAAATTAAATGCATGCCGGTGTCTTTTGTTTTTTTTCATACTAGGGATCAACCCACAACCTCACACTGCTAAAACCCCAGCCCAGTACTTTTTATTACCTCATCCATCCACAACATTTTATTAAATGCCAGCCTGCTAGGCCCTGCGTTCCAGGTACCCACTTCACGGATGGCTTCCGAGTTGCACAGGAACCTCGAACACCAAGTCAGGCGCTATTGGCGCCGAGGAACCGGAAGGAAACCTGTCTCAGGAACTTACGAGTCCGGCGACTTTGAGTAGCCACTGCCAAAGAGGCTGCGCAGGGAGCGTGGCGGCGAGATCTTGGCGTCTCGGGAGTAGAAGACCATGCACACGTCCTTGGTGATGACCGCCGGCTGGATGCAGTGGTCCAGCTGAAAGCGGATGGCGTGGGTGCTGAGTAGCGCAGGCAGGCTCGGGAGCGGCTGCCCGGGAGCAGAGCTGCGCCTGGGCCAGCCACTCTGCCAGCCGGCTCTGCGGTAACCCGACGGGCAACGGCAAGGCCAGGGCCGTGGGTGGTAAATGCCTTTATTCTCCCCCGAAGCTCGTGACCCCTCTTCTAGCACAGGGGGACACCGAGGCACGGTGGAAGCACAGGGATTCGAGCTCAGATACGCCGGTTCCACCACGTGGCCTGCTAAATTACAGCCTGCTGGGTCACAAGCATTAAAACAAGGGACGCTGCTCTCATCTTCTTCCCCTCCCCGACCCCAGCACTGGGCATCAAACCCAGGACCTTTGCACTGAGGCAAGTATTTTTATCTTGAGACGGTGTCTCACTAAGTTGCCCAAGCTGGCCTTGAATCTGCTGTTCTGCCTCAGCCTCCTGAGTGCCAGGATCACAGGTGTGGACCACACACCCAGCTTGTAAAATTTTCTTAAAGTCATACTTCTTCTAAAAAGTCACATATTCTTAAAGAATGATGGCTGGACTACTAAAGCCTACAGTATCATAAAAATAGTCATCTATTCATTAAACAGAGGCCAGAAACAGACTCTAATAACATCTTAAAGATCAGCAAAGTATAATAAAAGAAACAACGGATGGCCAGATGTGGTGGTACACATCTGAAATCCCAGCTCTTGGGAGGCTGAGGCAGGAGGGTCACAAGTTCAAGACCAGCCTGAGCTATAGAGTGAGTTCAAAGGCAGCCTGAACTACATAGCAAGATCCTGCCTCACAACAAAACAAACAAGAAGAAACAATTGAGGGAGGTGGAGGAAGAAAAGAGGAAAAGCAGGCGGGCCCTTGGCCGCTGGCCCTCCGCGGAAGCTGCCCGGGCTCACCTCCAGGTAGGCCGACAGGGTCATGTAGATCTTCTCTCCGTAGGGCGTCACCCGGTTCAGGAGAAGGGAGTTGTGCAGGGAGCTGTCCCACACGGCCTCGAAACGGTAGAAGGTCCTGTGGTAGGAGAAGGAGGGTGGAAGGGATCCCTGCGCTGCTGCCAGGGCTCAGCCAGGCCTGGCCTGCGGCTGGGGAAGTGGGGCTACTGGTGGAGCAAAGAGGTGCCTGGGTGAGCTCGCTTTTTTCTTTCAGACGATGCCTAAGGGTACGGAAGTAGTGAGCAGCCGAGCAGACTAAGCTGAGAAGCCATCGAACCACAGCAGAGACGGCGTGAGCGGCCTGAGGGTCAACGTCGAGGGCCCGCGTGGCCCAGCTGCGTCCCTCCCCAGGTGCTGGCCTCAGGGACACAAGGCAGGAAGAGGAAGAAGCCTGAACTGCACATGGTCTTGTATGGAAAAAGAACAAGATCTGACTGTGGCGCCGTGGGACAGGAGTGTTTCTAACACATAGCCAGTCAACACCCTTTCCATAGCTTTGCAAAGAGCCATTCAAACCCTGCATGCAGGGCGTGGTGGCTCACACCTGTCATCTTCTCAGCACTTGGGAGGCTGAGGCAAGGGGACGGCCATGGGATCAAGGCCAGCCTGGGCTATGGAGTGGACCAGCGAAGACCCTGCCTCAAAAAAGCCAAAAAGAAAATAAAAGAAGAAAAAGAAAAATTAATTTATATTCAAGAAAGAACACACACTAATTCAGGAGACACCAGGAACTGACTTTCTCAGTCGCCGAGCAACGTCTTCCTCTCTGGGAAACCAGCACGGGCCGTGCCCCGCTTCCCAGTGAGCGTGGCCTCACTCTTTGGGCCTCTTCTAGGTTTCCCGTGACAACCAGCAGGCCTGTGCTTCCTCAGGACACCCGCTGCCTGCTCCAGACAGGAGCAGCGGAGACAGCCGGCTGCAGGGCGCGCCTCCACCAGCTCGGCCACAGGCCTGCGTGTGCGGTGCTGCTCTGCTTCGCTCTGTAGTCCTCTCTCGCACTTGGCCCAGCTTGGAGGCAGCGAGTGCGGGTCACGAGAATTCTCTGCAGAGACACTGAAGGAACAGACAACAGCGAGGCAGAGGTGCGGACACCACGCAACTGCAACAGCCACAGACACGATGGGCAGTGGGAGGCCCCATGGCTCCTGGGCTCAACAAGGAACCTTCGCACAGCTTCAGGGTCCTGCCTAGATTGAATCTTAGTTTTCATGTTTGTTTCAAAGTTTTTGTGAGACAGGGTCTCTCTGTGTACCCCCGCCAGCCTTGAACAAGTGGGCAATCTTCCTGCCTCAGCCTCCTGAATGCCAGGTCCAGCAAATCTTAGTTTAACTTTGGAACAGAATCTGATAGTGGATGATGCTATCTACTACTTCAACGTGACCACCTAAGACTGCTCCTCTGAGAGCTGGGTGCGTGCGGGTCAAGAGTGAGAAAGTCCCTCCTCCTAGTGTCAGTGGCTTCTGTGGCTGGTGACAGCTGATGAGGAATCTTCACCATGGCTATCTGTACCTCACGTGGTTCCAGGCCTACAATGAGCACTGTGTGGGTCCTTCTGGAGTATTCATGGCCTCTCCTGCTTCTGTTGAGACAAGGTATCTCTGTATAGTTGAGGCTGGCCTTGAACACATGATATGGCCCGGACTCCCTGGAACTTTTGGCAGTCCTCCTGCCTCAGCCTCCCGAGAGCTGGCTCAAGGGCCCTCCAGGGGCGCACCATCATGCCTAGATCTTCATGACTCTTGACTCTTCCAACTGAGGCAATGGTCGACCTTGTTAGGGAAGTTCTGCACATTTGTCTTCAGGCTCAGTTGGCCTGACACTAAGATTTTGCTGGCAGAAACATAGAAGGGAATTCTAATGCCACTGAAATCTTTCCATACTGGAAAAAAGAGTTTCTTTTCTTTTTGTTCGGTTTTGGAGTTGCTGCACACTCTCTGCTGGAATACCCACCACAGGGGCGGCTCCTGAGCCATGACAGGTGGCAATGTCGCCAAAGCAGGGCTGGCAACAGCTGAGACCCCACACAGGCCATCCTCCCACAGTGGACGGAAATGACCCCACATCCCAACCACTGGCAGCAGGAGGAGGCCGTTGGGGGACTGAAGTACACAACACGCTCACGAGATGCCACTCGCTGTGAACTAATGCGGAACAAACTCCTTATGTGAGGGTCCCATCTCTGGGCCCCAGCCCTACAGTGCCCTCTTGTGTGTACTGGGAGAATCTGTGACACGAGACCCAGATGTGGTCCAGGCTAAGAGTGAAGCAAGGATACCCTGGGCTGCAGGTCCCGGGTGGCTTCCTGCAGTTTGCTTCCCGTGATTGAACAGTGAGATGGGAAAAGCTTTGTTCACAACTAAGCCAGAACTGTTTCCGTGCCAACAGAAGACTGACAGGACAAGCAAGTCTGACAGAAGAAAGAAATGTTTAAAAATACGGGAAACATTTCTTCTCAAGAAGACAGGCAAGAGAAGAGTGAACTGAGCGGCCACTGGAAGAGAGGGAGAAACACTCTACTTGGTGACACAGACAGGAGAAGTTGAGTAGGCAAAAGACTAGAACAGCAAAGTTTAGTAAATGGGATGAGAAAAGAATTCCAAACTCTAAAAATCATTTATGTATATACTAAATTGGATATAGCAAAGAAAAATCCAAGGCACAGAGTTCCATTTTGGGACACAGAACACAGTGTGGCTGTGAGCTAGACGCAGCTTAGGCCTACGTGGGGAACAAGCCACTAAACTAAAACAGCACACGAAGCAGCACGGACAGATGTAAAGCGCTCTGGAAAGCTAGAATCCTCCTGTGCGAAAAGCAAGCGTAAATACCTAGGAGTATCCCGATCAAGGAAGGGCCTGCAAAAGAGAGATGAGGATTTGTTAACGCAGCAACAAAATCAACGAGGACAGCAGCAGCAAAGTGATAAGAGAGAAGCATAGAAGGACACACACACACACACACACACACACACACACACACACACAAGGCCATTGTGTATCTGCCTATGAGCACAGCGACCTCAAGTGGACTGGCAGCAACAGGACTGGGGGATGCAATGCCCAGGGCTTACTGTGACCCTGACCCTCTCCTGCGACCATCAGTGAAAGAAAACGGGCACAGAGGGGATGTGGAGTCCACGTCTGTTAACGGCACCTCAGTGGGGACCTGGCATTAGGAATGGCGCCCAGGGAAAACCACACTAACTCACTACCTGCAGGACTGGGAGGAAGAGGAACAGCGGTCCCCATCCGGTCCGGCACCGTCAGTGTGTGGAAAAGCCTCCCAAGACACCGTGCAGAAAGCGAAGAACTTTCCACAGAACAGCTGCTTGCATAGTCACGCTCATTTGCAATCACTGCACCAACATGTGCTCCCCACGTCCTAAACTCTACTGGCACTCCCACTGCACACGGGTCTGTCCAGGGGCTGTGCCTGTCCCATCTTAGCAGGGCACACACGGCCCACTTGTGCACTCCACTGCTCATTATCAGATCAAGTCTGATTGAACATTAAGAAACCCATGCAGAGCTGGGCATGGGGGCTGACACCTGTGATCCCAGCGCTTTGAGGCCGAGGCAGGAGGCTGCCACGAGTGCCTCACCTTCTGGACTGCTAGGATCACAGGCAGGTGCCACCACACTTGGCCTCTACTCTTGACTTTAATCAACTGTTTTTTCCCAAGGTACTAGGCATTAAACCCTGGGGGCTAATTATCCTAATTCCTTATATTTTGAGACAGGGTCTGCCTCATCCTCTCAAGGAGTCAAGCTCACCACCTTCTTACGATTAACTCTAGCCTATTACATAACAGAAGCTGTTTCTGCAAAGTCACATTAGCTCTGGCAGCGTCTGACCTGCGGTTGGGCCTGAGTCCGAGGACCTCCCAAGGCTACTGTAACTCAGGCAGACTGAGCGCCAGCATTTTGAGCGAACACCACCGTCCCTGCATGTTTGGCCAAGTACCCTAGGGAAATTACGATGCTTTCCCGCAGCTGCAAAGCAAATCCCTGGTGGAGGTGAATACCAGCTGAGCACTGGCAAAAGGGGCAGGTTGCATGGAGTGGCTGCTGCCATCAGGGAAATAAATGGTATTTATTGGTCATGGCTCTGCCCGGGGAGGGCAGTGCGCCCTCCTCATCTCCGTCTTCCCTCCACGCACCCCCCGACACTCCTTCCCTCTCTCCTCAGGTCCTGCAGCTCCTCTAACATGCAGAAAAGCAAGCAGAAGTGTGTTCCTTTTTTCTGTTCCTATGCAAAAATGAAACACAGGAAAGGAATGAATCCTGGCCCCAAGTGTCATTCTGTCCCTGCCCTGGGGCCTTCCTTCCCCAGCACAGATGTGAGCACACTTCTCAAGAGCCGCAGCACGGGGGTCCTGTTGCGGACAGGCAGCGCCTGGGCCCACACTCAGCTCCCAGCGGCTCCTCTCCGCAGCCCTAAGGAGATGGTGACCCAGGTGCCTCCCGGGGAGGCAGAGGCCTCAGGAGCCCGAGTCCCGGCTCACAGGGGAAGCAGGATGGCCAGGCGCTTCATGAACCGGTCAACCCAGGGTAGAGAGGGAATTCTACGAAAAGCTGGTTTCGCCTGTCCACAACAGGGCCGACGTTAAACAGCTAACCACCTGTGGCTGGTGCTGGAACGTGTAAAGCTGAAAATAAGTCCGTTACTTAGAGCAGCCAGTCTTGGTTACTAGTGTGTGGACCGCTCTGGACGTGAAGCAGACGCAGAAATGAGCATCGAGTACTAGCTGAGCCTGTTCAGCAGCGGCAAAGGCCAGCACTGCCCCGGCAGGGCCCGTCTCCACACCACTTGGCGGTGAGAAGACATCCCCGGCAACAGCCGTCACCAGAGGCCACTTAGCCCCAGCACAGTGCTCCCTCCAGCCTGGCAGCGCCTGGATTTCCTGCCTGGCCTTTCTTCTCACTGCATCACCGCCTCGGACCCCACACAGACGCGGCGTTCCCATGTGCTCGGGTGACAGCAGAGGAGCATCTCTGTCCCCGCTGCTTTCTTTCCCGAGAGCAGGCAGGTGTGGAGGAAGCAGGTTTCCCAAGTGAGAAGGGCAACAGCTGTGCACGCGCATGGAAGCCGTGAACACACACGGGGCCTGGTGGTCCCCACGTCTCGGGTGCCCTACCTGCTGGAGCTGTGCGAGGCCTTCAGGTACTTGGCAGAGATGATGTTCAGGGAGAGGATGGCATCCACAGCAGCTTCATCCACCTCAGGCTTATTCCTGATCCGGCCTACGGGAGAAGGAGGAGATACCACACAGCGGGCACATTAAAGAGGCAGGATCCTTGGGGCTGGAGATTTAGCTCAGTGGCATAAACGCCTGCATTGCAAGCAGGCGGTTATGAGTTCGATCCCTGGTACCAATAAAAAAAAAAGAGGCAGGATCCTGCCAGCTGACAAAGCTTCAGCCTCTCACGCCCACTCCAGCTTCTACTCCCAGGGTGGTCTCCTTGGTGTCATGCTGACTCTACTCCCACCCCACTTTCCCTCAGCCTTTAGAACCTCCTCAGCCACTGATGAGATGACACCACCTTGCTCAGATTGCCACGACCCTGCCTCGCAGTGACACAGAGGAACTCAAGGACCTCTGGAGAGCTGAGGTGTGCACGGGTGTAGGCAAGGCTGGCTCCCTGCTGCTGCCAGCACAGAGGTCTTCTCCCCTTCTCGAGCCTCGCTTCTAATAATACCAAGCCTTCTTTACATGACTGTCACGGGGACACAGTAACGTTTAGAGCTTTCAGAAAAGATGCCTGGAACGCGGGGAGCAGGGCATGAGAGCTGCTAATCAAATAAACCTGGGGCTTTTCGGAGAAGCCAGAACCCCTGCCTCTGCATCCTCCCTTCCCTTTTCTGATGAAAAGCATCTCTTCTGTCTTGTGTGTCAGTGCTCCACATAAAAATTAATTTTGAAAAAACCCGGAAACCACAGCTCCACCAGAGGACAGTAAAATCTCCCTTCTGGTTCCTTCATCTGGCTAGGGAGATTCAGCAATTCTGTGGCCAGAACTGAAGCTGTCCATGGGCTTGGATGGGGAAAAGATGACGACTATTTTTTTTTCTGAGATGATTTCACTATGCAGTTCAGACTGACCATGAACTCACTATGTAGTCCAGGCTGGTCTTGAACTTGCAGGCTATTCCTGCTTCAGCCTCCCAGGAAAAAGATTACATCTTTAACTGAAATCTGCTCTTTCCTTGAATTACAGAGGGCAGTGACCCACAGAGGATTTAGCAGCAGCAGTGACTGTGTCCCCTGTGGAGACCTTAGACGACTCCCTATCAAACTAACCTAAAGTGTCCTTTCCATTCATCACTACTGGAACTGGTACAAACTACATCTACAGCTAGACCCTGTTATTTAATGTAACAATGGAAAAGAGCTCATATTACAAATCTGATCCTTCTTAGCTTGTATTTCAGTTCATTAGTTTCCTTTCTAATCTGAAATACTTTATTGTCCTCAGTTAAAAACATAATTCTAAGCCAGGTGTGAGAACAGACACTTGTAATGCCAATACTCGGGAGGCTGAGGTGGGAGGACCATTGTGAGTTCAAGGCCAGCCGCAACTATACAGTGAGCCCCTTCAACACACAAAGCCTTAATTCTGAGGCTCTGCCACAGCCCTTGGTCATGACGACAAAAGGTTCCACTCTGCTGCCTCAGACTCGCAGTCTACAGCTCACATGGAGTCCAGGACCGCTGGGCCTGTGGCTGCGCAGGGCGGGTTGCCCTCATCTCCATCTGCTGCATGCATGTCAGGCACACACCTGCCTTTCTTACTCCAACTGTTTGTTCTGGAAAATCAACTAAGGAAACCCCTCAATTATCTTTTTTTGGGGGGTACTAGGCATGGAACTCAGGGCCTTGCACCTGCCAGGCCAGTGCTTGAGCCGCGAGGCGGTGTCCCTGGCCTCCCTCGAGTGAATACAGTCCTCTCAGAAGCTCTTGTGGTCATTCTCTGTGCACAGGTCTTCTTCCCGTGCTCATTCTGGTGCTCCTCGCTCAGCTGTTTGGTACACGTATTCATCTCTGCCCCAACTACGAGCTCATAGCCCAACCGCAAGCTCCTAAGAGACTTGTTTTACGCCCTCTCTTCTCCAGCAAAGAACAATGGGTTAGGAGGAGGAGAGCTGGGGAGTGCTTCACCATGAGTGAGACATGGAGAGAGAGAGGTGGGGGTTGAGGCCCAGCCTCGTGCACACCAGGCAAGTGCTCTGCTACTGAGCTTCAGGCTTAGCCCTTTGACAGTCCAGACTCAGGGCTGTCCCCTCTACCCGCCATGTTCTCCAGTGCAGTCACCACACAGTCCCTGGCTCCAAACAGAGTATGAGGGTTCCCCCTCTAAGCACCAGGCTCTGGAGGAGCATACTCACCTACCACCAGCTCCCGGACATCTTTCCAGTGCAGCTCGCTCCCCTTCTCGTGGATAATGGTCACCGTGATCCTTCGCTGGATGCCCTGGGTGAGGGAAGAGGGTTGTGGCTAAGCCAGGCTGACCCATCATGTCCCCATGCTCGCTGTTTTCTGGACTGTGTGGCCCGGGGAGGCGGGGGAGTGCGTGGGGGGGGGGAAGCTGTCTGCCCCCACGGGACTGGGTCAAGCGTGCGCAGCAGGGAGGTTCTGATCTGGCCTAGAGAGCAGCACCCTGCTCCCATGTGTGCATGGGACTTCCAGCTCCATCCTGCCCAGGTCAGAAGCAGCGCTGAACACCGAGTGCATTAGTGTGTGATTTACCAAAGAGGACGATATATTTAAAATCAGAATTTTGGTCGTCCTTGGAAACTTTTTTTTTCTGGTAACAGCAATTGAACTCATAGCCTCGCAACTTGCCAGGTAGGTGCTGTGCCACTGAGCTAAATCCCAGCCCTGTCCTTTCAAACTCTCATCTTCTACCTCTATTAAGAACTTCTGGCTGTGAAAGTTTAGAGCTTCCAAACATCATGAAGAACATAAAAACAGTGACAGAGGAGCTGCACAAATGACTGTAATTGAAGGAAATAAATTCTTTTGCAACACAACATCTTTAAAATATAAAGCAAGGGTATATATAACCAAAGGCTTGAAACATTAAAAACAAAATGGAGGATAAGCCCTGGGTTCCACCCCAGCACCTGTTTTTCACTCTAAACTCTTCCGGGTTGCCCCCAGGCACTATTTTGCTCCTGCCCAAGTACCTGGTGAAGCAAGAATGTTCCCTGGCAGGGTAGGCCGGCAGTATGGTCAACCACGGCTGGGATGTACCTGAAGCAGAAACACAAGGCACAAAAGTAAGTGTGGCTGCATTGTGAGGTCTTCCCTGGTCCTGCAGCCCCGTCCCTTCTGATCCCACCTCTCTCCCATCAGCACCAAATCAGGCGGCCACCTCATCGTAACTGGCTCCCCTCCTCTGTTTCTCCACCCTTACTAACACTCCAAGGACAGCAACGTCATTTGTTTCCACTGTCCCTTGGATAGAATTCAGTAAGTAATACAGCAGTGCAACAGCAGTTGACTAAGACCCTCAGAACCCAGGTCACAGTCACAGTACAGATCCGTCTACGGGAGCCAAATCCCTCAGTGATGCCACTGCAGGAGCCACTTGTGCAGGACTGATGTACCACCATCCTACCTCACACAGCTTCCTGGTGATGAGAACAATGGTGTTCTCAGAGCTCACGCACGAGGGACATCCAGGAACCTTTTTTGAGACAAGGGCTTGCTACTGTAGTTCAGGCTGGCCTTGAACTCACTATGCAGCCAGGCTGGCCTCGAGCTCCCAGTGAGCTCCCTGCTCTGCCCCACATCCAACACATCCAGGAACATCTATCCTGGCCCTTCGATGAACAGGTATCGTCCCTTGCCTATTTCAGAGGTAGGATCTCTTTTGTGTTTTTCCAAAAGTCTTTAGCAATAACTATAATTATATTCATTACTTTAGTCAGCTCAGAGAGACAAGTAAGTTGATGCTGACCACAGTGACCTAAAACAGGGGTTCCCAGTAGGAGCCAGGAGCAGAGGGGTGACTTTCACCCCAAGGGACATCTGGCAATGTCTAGAGACATTTTTGCTTGTCACACGTGCAGGGCAGAAGGTACTGGCCTTTTGTAAACACAGGCCAGAGATACTGCAAAATAACCCACAGTGTGGGCCGGGGATTTAGCACAGTGGCGTAAGCCTGGCAAGCATGAGGTTGTGAGTTTGATCCCTAGTGCCACCAAAAACAAAATCCCACACTCTGCCACAGATGCCCTCACTGGCCATATCTGGCACCGCCTGCTCCTGCTTCTTTGCTTGTGATAAAACTACAGTGTAAAGCTCTGTTGGCAGAATCAAGTGCAGTCTCCATCTCCTTGTTGTTGCTAATGAAAAGGCAAATTTTTAAAAAAAAGAGGCAAATTACTATGCTGCATACTCAGTTCTCTGACAGGAAATACATTAAGCCCATGAAAATGCAATTCAAAACAGAATGCTGACAATAATAACTCAGTGACCTACACACAAGAGACTCAAAACTGTGTTTCCTAATCTTGAAACACTTTATTTAAAAATTCAGAAAGTTGGACTTACTCTCCTGTTGGCTCCAGTTCGCTGATCTCAAACCAAACCAGGAGGTCATACTTGCTCATGCTCTGGCCGAGGCTGGTTTTGCTCATGGTGTTTAACTTGGTAGCTGGAACTTTCAAAATATTTTAGAAAATGTCAAAATGTGTCCATGCTTACTTAGCAAAACATATACTTCTTTAAGGTCAGCCCTCAAGGGCACACTCGGGAAAGGCAGCAGGAGCCCAGAGAAGTGTCCAGATCTATTACACTAATGCCTGTGATTCAGGGAGCAAGGTCTGGCAGTCACTATCCATCCTTCTCAAAAGACTGTCTCCGAAGGTGAGAAATGGGTTTTGTACAAAGTATCTGTCTATTCTTTTTTTTTTTTTTTTTTTTGGGGGGGGGGTCTTTTTGAGACAGGGTCTCACTATGTAGTTCAGGCTAGCTAGCATTGAGCTCACTTTGTAGCCCAGGCTGGTCTTGAACTTGCAACGACCCTCCTACTTCAACCTCCTGGGTATTGGGATTACAGGTGTGAACCATCATGACACCCAGCTTTTTTTTTTTTTTTTTGGTATCTGGGATCAAACTCACAACCTCAAGCTTAGTAGCCAGGCACTTACGCAGCTGAGCTAAATTCCAGGTCCTTGTGCAAAGTAAACATAAGACCATTCTCAAACCCTCCCACTATGGCAGTTTCCCACTTTGTGGCCTGTCATCAACTGGGAGGGATGTGAGAGATACAATGCCTGGAAATCACCTGGGGACAATCTTGAGAGTCCTGGGGTTCACAGGAACTTGTGAGGCAGAGCACAGAGCCAGCTCCTGTGGGACTTTTATTTTTGTAGTACTGGAGATTGAGCCCAGGAGCTCCCACATGCTTGGAGAGACTGAGCTACATGGTCACCTGGGGTCTTAACGACAGCAAGGCCCAGGTAATCAAATCACATTCCCTGGGGATGGGCCACAGTCAGGCACCCTAGGCTCACACTGCTCAGGTGACCCCAACATGTGGACAACTCTAGGGACCACTGGTTTGGTCTCTGAATGCAGGGATCTGTAAACAAGAGCTGCTTTTATTTTCCTCAGACTTACACTCCCTTTCTGACAGAACTGGGGCTCTGTGACTTCAGTTACAACGCCTGCTCACTGCTAGTCTGTCTCATAAAACACAGGTCATGACAGGCTGCTGACTTGGAGAGGAATCACGAAGGTCACTCCATAGTGCGTCTGGGGCTTTCTACACAACGCGGCATGGCTCAGGCTGGCTGCCTATGGGTAGGACTTGCCCCTGCGGGACTTCGCATCCCTGGCAAGGCTGATCAGGAAGCACATGGAGTCACTGTTGCTAGCAGCCAGCTAAGGGCAGTGGACAGAAGAACAGGTACTAGCAGAACCAGGGCTGGGGGTGTAACCCAGGGTGAGTGCCCTTGCCTAGAGTGCATGAGGCCTCGGACTGCATCCCCAGCACCAGAGAAAAAGCCAAAACCCAGGGGTTGGGGATTTAGCTCAGCGGCATAAGCCCCTGCCTTGCAAGCAGGCAGTCATGAGTTCGATCCGCGGTACCGATAAAAAGGAAAAAAGACAAAAAAAAAAAAAAAAGCCAAAACCCAAACCCAAACCTAACAAAAAAGACACTACTAGTAAAAATCTTCAAAATTAAGAATACTAGTGCAGAGAATCCAGACAAAGAGCCTGCCCCGCAGGGACAACAGGGAGGAAGGACAGGGCAGGGGCTGGTAAAGCCTCTCCGGAGGAAATGTGGCATGACCAGACAGCACAGAGCTCTACGTCTAGCTGCTAAGCAGACAGAAATGGCCGTGTTGGACTCTGGGTGAGTGGGCTTCAGGCCAGCCACAAAGGGTGGTTCTACATCTAGGGCAGAGCTAAGGCAGCTACTAACCATCTCGTTTGGGTGCCCTCTCGCTCTGGCAGATGGGCACTGGCAGAAAGAGAAAAGGCGGCACGGGGTCAGCCTCCTTCTGGAAGGTGCCAACAGCGGAGGAGGCAAGCACACTGGCGTGCTCAGAAAACACGTCCAGCACATGGGCATCCACACAGCCAGACACGAGAAACCGAATCAGCGCAATCTTTCGTTCATGGTCTGAAGGCCGGTGGCGATGGAGCCGAGAAGCCCAAGGGGTGCAGAATGAGCGCAGGTGAGGGAGAAGTGTGGCAAGGGGGCAGGAAGGAGAAAGGATGGAAATAAAGAAAAATCAAAACAAGATAAAGGAGGAGAAGCAAGTTCAGGTTATAGTACTCTAAAGGGTGATGAGAATTAACAACACTGGATATTTCAAAATAGCTAGAGAGAGGGCTTTGCTCTCACTACCAAGAAAAAGTAACTGCTGAAGGCGTGGGGTGTGCCAACTGCAATGACGTACACAGGGTTCACATGTCCCAAAATAAGAACAGTTATCCTATATCAGTTTGCTCTAAGGAAAACAAAACAACAAAACAACTTAACTGGACATGCAGAAAATATTTAACATGCAAAGAAATGCTGTCACTGACAGCACAAATTGCACATGAAGGAGAGATTGAGCAAAGGGAGATTATAAAAATTCACTGTAGAAAACCACCACAGATAGAGCCCTAACACTTCTTACCTCACATTAGTAACCAAGAACTCTAGTTCCTGTCAGATGCATTCAAGAGAAGCAGGGATACGTAAGGGTGCACAGAAAAGGAGGAAGAATTCCAGAGTAATTTTTATCACTCAGATCAAGGATGTGTGGAGAACAGACAGCAGAGAACATCAGGCAGAGAAGAGCTGGGGCTCACCTGGCTTGGAGAGTGGCATGGGTGGAGGGAAGAATCGTCGAGAAGGCTGAGGCGGACTGCAAAGAAAGCAAGAAAAACTTCTTCAGGACTCTAAGACTTCGATTCTGAAATTAATGCCATGTTTTAACTCATCCCAACTTATGCCAGCTCTCAAACACAATCCCACACAGTAATACAGGCTAATGCATCTTAATAAAAGTTCCCCTGTAAGTCGCAGCGAATAAAAGAAACAAGAAGAGGCTGGGGATTTAACTCAGCGGTGTAAATGCCTGCCTTGTAAGCATGCAGTCGTGAGTTCGATCCCCGGTACCGATAAAAAAAAAAAAAGAAAGAAACAAGAAAATCCATGTTGGGGCTGGCGGTTTAGCTCAGCGGCATAAGCACCTGCCTTGCAAGCAGGTGGTCGTGAGTTCGATCCCCGGTACCAATAAAAATGGAAAAAAAAAAAAAAAGAAAAAGAAAATCCATGTTAAGCTGACACCAGCACCACCCAGAAGCCCCTGGTTCGCTCTCCTCATCCATTCCGCTAACCCCACTTGCAGCTTCCACTTCCCGACACCGAGGTTTTTAGGGACAATTATCCACACTCACCATGTTATATTCCTATCACCCCAACTTCCCAGCCTGTTCAAACTCTGCCGAAACAAGTGGCACTTGAGCTCATGTGGACTAAATTAAATTTGCGCTGTCTAAAATAGTAATTAGGGAACTAGAAAAAGGTAGAAAGTGTTTCAAAAGGAAACACAGGGCAATCTATAAACTGCTGTTTAGTTATCTTAATCCCTCACAAGAGTTCTTCCTTTACTATACGTGTGACAAATGCGAAACTGAAAATCCGCACAGTCCCAAGTCTTTGCTTATGGACTCGAACCTGCTGAGCTCCTGCCCTTGCAGGTGGAGCGGGTGTTGCTGATAATGCCCGAAGACTTCGAACACAATAGGCTTGGTTTTGATGTAGTCCACAAATGACTCAGTGACCTCCACTGCAATCTAAAGAGGAATAAAGCCAGATAAGCTTAGGCAAACATTTGTTATTACAAAGCACACAGCTTTGCTTTAAGTGGGAGGTTAGCACTATGAGGTGTTCAGGATGTCCTGGGAGTTCACCGTGCAGGCCTCTGGCACAGAAAGCCAGGACCCCTATGCTGTTCATCCTAAGTAACCCCACCAGGCTCCAGGCATAAAGAGGCCTCGTCGGTGCCCCAGATGAGCTCGCCCGTTGCCCTTCACCCACTCACACTCGCCTGCCGCTGTTCCTTCCTCTGCCCTCTCCTCCGCTGCATCCTGCCAGCAAGGCCGTCCCTGTACCACACATCTAAGTCACTCCTCGCTTTGCAGGACAGCACACGCAGCAATGGCAGGAAAGGCGCGTGCTGACTGCACTCCCAGCCATGCGCAGGGCTGCCTGACACTGCTGCCTGCCCAGAGGGCTCCGTCTGCCTCTTCTGTCTGTCTGCCTGACTGCCCCATCCCACAAAAGGTAACTTAATACCCTTCCCCTCCACTCCCACCGCATTCAGGGGATGCCTATCCAGGCCCTCCATGGGAACAGCTGCACTTCCCTCCCCAGTACGATTGTAAGCTCACAGCTCTGATGGGTCAGGCACAGCCCACATTTACCTGACACAAACGGACTCACGGTACCCAACCACAACAAAGGTGACAGGGCGTTTTGGGCTTGCTGCTCTATCTCTGGAGCCGTCCTTTCTCTGTCACCTTACAGAGCGGACATGACTTACCAAGGAGAGGTTCCCACTGGAGTGAGAGTCTGACACTACACTCCTCTCTTTCTGTGACCTGTCTCTGCCCCTTCCCACCAGCTTTTAACCTTAACTGTTTGGTGCCCCAGTTACCTCGGCTGTAACACATGGACTGGGAAGACTGAACGGCACAGAAATACTCGGTGCCACAAAATTAGGCTCTGTGAAAGCAGGCCGCTGTGGCGCAGCTGGCCTGTGAACAGAGCTGGCATGTAACTCTACGTAAGAGATGGGAAGACCGCTCCCCATTGCTCGGGCAAAGAAGGGTGGAAGGGGTGTCGGTGGGTTAATCACAGCATCAGCTACAGGGGAAACACACAGGACTTCATCCCCGTGTAGTTACTTGCAACTAAACAAGGAAGTACCCTAGGTTTTAAAGGGCAATGTGCCCGCTTTAACATAGCTGGCATTAAAGGCGCTTGTTTTTCTAGGCTGGGCGCATGGAAACAACTCACTACCTCTGGACGGGTGCAATGAATGTTGTATTGCTGGACTAGCTCGCCGGCTCTCTTGGAGCCCACTCCGAGGCTGGCGGCTCTGTCCCGGAGGGTGACCTCACCACTCTGGCCACTCCCTGCATTGTCCATTCTCTCCATGCCCTCCCCACCCCCAGTGTTACCCGATCAGCTTTCCATAGTAGAGGAAGCCAAGGCACCACTAACCCGAGGTGTCTGGCGAAGAGGCCCAGGTCACTTACATTCTGCACGTGATAGAAGCCCAGGGGACTTCCTCTGCCGTTGTTTTTGAGGGGTTCGGTGGAGAATGCCTCATCGTGGCGATGTAAGAAGCTTGGCAAAGAGAAGAGAGAGGCAAATGCTGCATCAAACAGTTTCCTCAGGAGCCCGGTCTTAGGATCCAGCTCGGACCAACAGTAAACAGCCTCCTTCTCAGGCACATTCTTGACTGACCAGCTGTTGGCATTTCCTTCTCAAAACTCTTTGCCCTGTCCTATAGACAGCATTTTGAATTTCACTTCAAAATCACAAAACTAACTGACCGTGATCATTCAGCTATGTGCATGCATATGCACGAACGCTTCAAGTGAAGAAGTGACCCTGGCAAACTCCCTGTTTTCGGTGTAAGTCTTCTGAGTAAAAATAAATCATCTACAAATCTTTTTTTTTTTTTGGTCTTTTTGAGACTGGGTTTCACTATACAGTCCAGGCTGGCCTTAACCTCACTTTGTATCCTAGGTGGACCTCAAATTCACAGTGAAACTCCTGCCTCAGCTTCCCCAGGGCTGGGATTACAGGTGCGTGCCATCATGCCCAGCTTAATGAAATCATTTTGTGCAGGAGAAATCTGTTAGATTCCTCTTCTGCAGGGTAAGTCTAAAAGCCTACAGGTGGTGCATGTGCCTAGCTTGGTACTGACTGATAGCAGCCTTTCTTACACCAGCCAGGAATGGACTGCCACGGCTCCTCCGGCAGGACCCCTTACCGGGACAGTACACTTATGTGCCTGTCTCTCTCCCTGACAGGGAGTGTTTCCCACATGGTGTGATGCAAGGAAGACACTCCAGGAACACTTGTGGAGCCAATGGACTGTTTACTTATTTTCACAAATAATGAGACATTATGGTTCTCCCTCCCTATTATTAGTCTGAAGAAAAAAGAGGAGAATTAAAGAATAATCAACATGCAGATTTACTGTTGGATAGAAAAACCCATCAGAAGGGTCCCTAGAGCTGCAGCAGAGGGATGCTTAGCGTGCATGAGGGCCTGGGTTCATCCTCAGCACCAAAAAATAAATGACGTACATAAAATACCATTGACACAGGACAGAAAGGAAACGGGGGGGGGGGGGGGAGGGAAAACTCTGAATGTGAAAGCGGGGAGAACCAGCGGCATGGCCTCCTCAGCTCCAAGAGGAGCACCCAGGCCAAGAGCCCCTGCAGTGCAGCTCTCCAGCCACTGCTGCCAGGTATGGCTGGCACTGCCATGTGCTGTGCCCGGGAACCCTCATCTGCTCACTGCGGGCATCAGAGGGCCTGCTCCGCCACCCTCAGTGGTATGGAGCCTGTGGTCCTTGGCGAGTCAGGTCCTTTGGGGCGCAGCCACATGTGGCACAGGCCAGCTGGGAGCTGAGGAAAGCCCAGGAGCCTGAGTCCTCTTCCTCCAGGATCACAGGCTCTCACTTTTGGAGCTAATACTTTCTCAGGGTGACAGTGCTAATGTCATTTCAGACACCAGTGAACCACACAGGTGTCAGGGGTCTTCCCTAAAATGTATCACTTGCCCAGTTAGAATATCCAAAGCCCCTTCACTTAGCCATGTGTGTCCCACCTGAATGGAGGCCAATATTGCAATCAAGACTGGAAGGCTAATATGTAAATAAAAACCATGCATTACAGCAGACGATGTTGTGATCTCGCTCCACACGAGACCTGGTTAGGCCCTACACAAAAACAACGCTCCTTTCCAGGAACTGCATGAGACCCCCCAGGGAGGCAGTGCACACGTGGGGAAGGTGGGACAGCAACTTTGGTGGCACTATTGGCACAGGGTGGGCTTCGGGCACAGACTGGACTTCATCCTCTGGTACTGCAGCCCATACTGGAAGATATCTGATGTGTGGAAGTACAGAAACTGAAGAGTCACAGAAGTGATTTTCTAGGGAATTCTTGGGAAACAGGCACACAGAGGACAGGGTATCAGGGTTCCTTGGGGCAGAAAAAGCTCCCACGTGGATGAGAAATGAGACTGCCACATACTAGCTTTTCTTCATACTAGCTTTCTTCATACTCTCTACATACTAGCTTTTCTTCACTGACACAGACATTTACTCTTCTTACCAGTCATTAAATTCTCCCAAATATCAAGTAAGCATAACTGGTAGCTGGAGAGCAACCACTTTTTTACCGAAGAGCTGTTCCAGCATGAAGAACGCTGACCACTGAGCAGGCCTCTCTGATGACACTGCGCTCCCAGCCAGCCTCCCACAAGGAACCCCGAGCCATCCAGAGCAACCTGCGGCTCCCTCTACCACCCCGAGTGAGGACAGCACCTTCCTCAGAGGTTGGGAGTCCCTCAGGGGTGGCACCCTGTGCGTATCGAAAGCTCTCAGCCAAACAAGGGACTGCTTACTTGAACTGACAGAAGATATCCGCATACTCTGGGAGGATTCCCCCGGCCTGCAACACCGTTACCCGGAAGGTGAAGGCATTGCCCAGTTTCAGGTGGTTGCCAATCTCTTCGGAAAACCCTTCCATCACCATCTTGCCATCCAGCAAAGTGCCTGACTTCAGATCTAATGAGGGGCAAGTGAGCACATCAGGGTTCAAGCAACTCGGAAAGGAGGGAGCTGGTGCTCCTCCCGCCCCAGTCAGGTAGAGCGCCTGTGTCCCTTGACAGTGGTCAGGACATCTCCTCTCAAGGGGCCCTGGGCACAAGGAGCTCTGTGCACGAACCTCGGTCATTCATTCGATGGACTTCCTCTGGAGGAGTGATGACCTCAGAACTCTGACCCTGCCCTTCCACAATCCTTAGCTCTTCCAAGGAGAAGCCGGAACGGGTCATTGCAACCGAAGAAAAGTCACTCTGAAAGCAAGGCAAGAAGACGCACAATCAAGTAATATAAAAACACAGCCATTTGGCACAGCCCACGCGCTACCCAACAGTTCTGAGGCTACCAGCTGGCCCCAAGTACTTTTCAGGTGTGAGCATGGGACAAGATTCAGTGCCGTCTCATTTCCTCCCAGATCATTCACCTCCCCAGCTTGTTCTCAAGGTGCTCTTTCATCCCAAAGGCTGTTCACCTGGTTAAAGTACTCATCATCAAAAGATATCTTAGCCGTTCCTGACTGTCGAATTCCAGAGCCATAATCCGGTGCTTCTTCATCCGCTAAAAAGAGAAACATCAACAAAGCCAGAATGAGACCCGGCATGGAGATTTGCTGGATTATAAAATGCACAATGCAGTCCTTAGCGTAAGCATACTAATACCGAAGTAGTGGAAACTCCAACTGCTTCCAGCCCTGTGCCTGTCAACTGCCCTGTTCCTTAGTGCACATGAGACTGGCTAGTAAAGAACCGATTTTATTCTGGAGATTATTCAAATGCCACACCTAGAAAAACCCCTTCCATCTTGGCAAGGCAGTGTTCAATAACATGCAACAAGCATCTGGAGCTACGCTGCACCTGTAGAGGATGCCTGTGAATTCCACGCTGGTGGCTACGTGACGGGCTTCCAGGCAGAGGCTGAAAGGTCACTGAACAGCATAGCGCTGGACATTAAGACAGGAAAACTCAGGAAACGCCACATTTTTCCTCAGAATGTCAGTTGGATCACAGAAAAGTGGTGAAAAATATTACAATTTTGATTCATGCATTACAAAGAAATTTCTATCAGGAAAAAATTAGGCAAGAAAATCCTTCATCGCTTCTAAAGCAGTTAAAACATGTTATTTAAAATGCCAATGACTACGACGTCAATCCAAGAGCTGTCCTTCAGGTCAGAGGAAATCTCTTACTTCTGTCCCAGAATAGCGTAGCCTGGATTAATCAGAATGTTTATGTTACTAGGGGACAATGGCAAGAGAGGAAGCGATAAAGGCCTCTTTCCAAGCTGCACAAACCCCACAGAGCAGGCTTGCTCTCTCTCTCTTGGTGAGAGACCACTGCTCACACTGGTTTTGAAAGCGGGTCACCTACCTGCAATGGCCTGGACGGCCACGCGCAGAAATCCCCGCACTTCACCCTTCTCACTGACGATGGCCACCTTGTGGATCAGGGGCACGGGGTACAGCAGGTTGCTCAGGTACACAAATGCCCTGGAGACAGAGAGCGGGAGAGAGAGCCATCAGGGCACCCTATGGAGAGGGCTGTCTTCAGCCTTGCCAAGGCTCATCGCAAACTCAACTGGTTCTGAGCCTGCTCTTCAGGTCAGCTCTTAGCCTGTCCTGGCAAACTGCCTGAGCTGCGGGATCCATGCAGGACGTGAATGTGTGCAAATGCTGACCACAGCTACGACAGAGACCAACTCACACCCTTCTTCTCTGTCAAAGCATAATGCAGGTTTAAGAGTAACAATTGGAAGTGACTTCCAAGACACCACTCAATGACTACCGCTGGTGAAGACAGGAACCCATTAAAGCGTTTAACCTTGAAACATGAGAAATCACCAAGATTTTCATTTTTCCAAAGAGACAAATCAGATTGGGGGGAAAAAAAGCCAGGAAGGGCTGGAATGATGGTGCACACCTGTAAGCCCAGCACTTGGAAGGCTGTGGGTTCAAGGCCAGCCTGACACACAGTGAGATCTTGTCTTAAAAACACCACGGAGGGCTGGGTGTGGTGGCTCATGCCTGAATCCCAGCAGGAGGATCACCATGAGTTCCAGGCCAGACTGAACTACACAGCGAGACCCTGCCTCAAAACAAACACCCAAAACAAGGTGGCAGGGGAGGGAAATGCACTGAAATAGTTATGAACCCTAAAGTAACCTTTGCATCTTAACACGATGGGTGTGCATCTTCCCCAGGACTTTCACATCAGGCAGGTTAAGTGAAGGGCAGGAAAGCAGCTGCTGTGGGCAGAGCTGTGACTCGGGGGCAGACGAGACACTTAGGGAGGCTGTCCCACGAGGCTGGCTTTTCTCCTGGAGTTTAAAACCTAAGCCAGCAACACATACTAAAAAGGTAAACTACAGGTCTAACTTTTATATTTCAAACTAGCGAAGTCCAGTTGCATTTCCTCTCCAGCCCCAGGACTGGGGATCAAACCCAGGGCCTCTGCACTAGGCTACATCACCAGCCCTTTTAAAGTGTTTACATTTGAGACAGGAAGTCTCACTTAAGGTAGCCAGGCTGCATTCAAACTTGTGGCCCTCCTGCCTCAACCTCCCCTCCCAGAGTGCTGGGATTAAAGACTATGCCACCATGACTGCTCATATTTGTTTTTTTTTTTTTTTCTTTCACTATTTTTTTAGCCATTAATCTTTTAAAGCAATAAAAACTGGTGATCATCAAGTTTGAGAAGGTTCATTCTAATGAACAGAAGGGAAAGAGAATCCTGTCTTTTTACTCCGAATCCGCTGATCTTTGAACACACGGCAAAGATAAAGAGGAAACATCCGCATGAGGAAATCAAACACAAACGAACATGACACACAGCCTGCCGGCTGCTTCTCCTGCTCTGAGACTTACTTTTAAACAGAGAGAGAATAAAGGAGTGGACACCCGGGATTTCAACTCAAAATAATGAAAACAGTAGTGAAAATAGACAAAACACATCACAGAAAGACAAATGTTAATGTAAGTTTCAAAAACAAATGAATTATGAACAAAAAGTAAAACAAATATAAGTGAACACTGAATCAGATCATAACGTCTACTTCCCTTTCAGTCTGCTCCAAAGTGGGAGAAGGGGCGGTGCTAAAAGATGAGGCGTTAAAGCTGTGCTGTACAAAAATTTAGCAATAAAAGTGTGACCTAAAAGGGATTACAAATAAGACCACCACATGCCTACCACTATGACACAGCTGGAAGCCTAAGAACTTGGCCTACAGAACCAAACGGGCAATTTCATCCCTACAGTCAGCACACATACTTTGCTGATTGGAAAGTTTTTCATGTTTTTTGAGATGGTCTCACTAGCAGCCCAGGCTGGCTTTGCTCTCATGGCAATCCTCCTGCCTCGGCCTCCCGAGTGCTGGAATCACAGGCATGTGTGACCATTCCTGCAACGGCACTCCAGCCAGCCCTGCTGCTTTCCAGTGCCTGGGCTACTACGAGCCATCACACTCAAGTCCCCTGCCTGGAGTCCTCTGTACTCTGCCTGCCTTCGCTGTAGATCATGACTTCAGGCCTTGTTCTGAATACCGCTCCTTCCTGACAAGTCCCCCCACACTTACTTAACCTGAGCAGCACACAGAAATCTTTCACCATTGCTGTAATTTACCTTTGTGTGATTAATTACTTTGTGTGTGCAGTGTGTGCAGGACAAGGACCAGCTCCAGGTTTGCTCAGCACTGTCTGCAGGGGGTGCAGACCTTCGGTAAATATACTCAGGAAGCATCTGGCAAGCGAACATCTGTATGCACAGCAGAGCAGAGGAGAGTGCTCTGTCCTCTGTCTTCAAGTAGAAGTGGGAGACTTTCCAGAAGAATGGGTTATACCAGAAGCAGAGAGCAAAACCATCTAACTTTATACTAAGCTGATTTTCCAAAACCAAACTCAAGATGTGTGTTAACTATACAGACTGTTTAGATTCTATTTCATTTGTTACTTTAAACAGCACTTAAAAGCAGGAGCCACTGTTCCTTAGGAGAACGTCTCACAGTCACAGGCAGATAGTGGTGAAGTCACATTGGAGCACACGTTAAAAAGTTGAGACTGTCCCTTCTGCCTATGGGACGACTGTTCCCCACGGGAAGCAGGAAGGTGTCCTGTAGATCCCTTTACAGAACAGAGGGGTCACTCTACAGCAGGAGCATGGCACAGCTCCGTGATACACAGCCACACACTATCTGGGAAGCTCCTGGTCGTGGTATCAGAACCCAATCCTGAGCCCAAAAGTTCTCCTTTGCATTTTTAAATTGGAAATTTCATCATTATTTAACATTTTTGAAAGTCCTTGTACTTTGACTAGCAGACTGAAGGAGAACAGGGATAAAGAGGGGAGAAGGTATAGAGGATGTATTAGCAGACAGTTCTGTGAAGTTACATCAAAAGGAGAAACAAATTTGTTAACATAAATATAAGGAAAATGAGCATGATTATGGTGACACAGAAAGAATGTCAGTGGAGGTGTTTGCCAAGGGCCCAGAATAACCACTTCACCCCCAGAAGACTAGCAGACGTACTTTACACCCCACGTCCTGTTATGATGGATCATAACACCCCGGCATGCCAGGAAGAGAGCAGCTAAGGGACAAGCTCTTTTGACCTCAATACAAAGATTAGCCAGAGGCAGCCACAGCCAAGAAACAAACTTACGGCCCGAATTTCTTAAGAAACATGGGCATTCCCACAAGTAAGCTGCATTTGCAATTCTGCCCAATTTCTATTGGCAGAATAGAGCCTGAGCCCCTAAACCACGCTCAGGAAAGAAGACCCTCCCCTGCTGGGCTCCAGCACACACTGCACAAGGGGCCCTGGTGCTCTGCCACTCAGGAAGGCAGCTGGGGGCGGTGATGCCCTCATCGCTTATTGGCTGCCATGATTTCACCTCCCCAGGCTCCTCTTCTTTTGTTGGTGCTGAGGATTAAACCCCAAGTTACACACAGGAAGCACAGCTCCTTCACTGAGCTCCATTCCCAGGCCCCTGGTCCCCCAGTTTCTTGCAAGGTAAAGGAAGTTACAGAATCTGGGAACTCAAACAAATGGAAAGATCAATTTCTGAGCCATAGCTCTATAAATATTTTATGTAAAAGTCAAATTAGATGTGATCACTTTATACCTATGTATGTATCAGATATGACAAAAAAGGAATAAAGCTAGAGTGAAAAATAACACATGTATTTTAACCCAGTCCATTTCCACATTAAGATTCTGACTTCAGTTTTCCATATAATTTACTTAAGTAGAAGTCTTAAGTCAAGAAGCTCTTAAGTAGAAGCTTAAGTAGAAGCTCTTAAGTAGAAGTCTTAGTCAAGATATGCATTTTGCTAGTGTGCACAGCAGAATGTAAAAGGTGGAAAAGATACTTAAACCTCTTTTATTCTTCCCAACTCTGCTGTGCTTGAGAATCCAACAGGCCTCAATTTAAGTCGCTTGTCCTAAGTTAGCAACAGAGATTGCCCTGGACCCAAGGCTTCGCCTACGAGGTCAGAACTCTTCTCACTGTGCAATGTAGCTTTGGAAGCTGGGTGACTGGCCCCAGAACTGAGTTTGCCAGGTTTTAACTTCAGGCATCAGAGGGTGGAATGGAAAAGCACTGCAGGATGCAGACACCCGCGAGTCTGCAGACCTGCTGTCGCGTTATCTGTATACACTGCCTCCCTCCATGCTGACGTGTCAGATGCCCTGAAATTCTAAGCATGGAGTCCTGGTGATCTGCCAGTAGAAGACAATGTTCATAGCCGTCTGCTCTCCTAGCAGCTACTCATGCAGAAGCTGAATTCTAAAGTCCTTTCACTACTGTGAAACCCAGAAACTGTCTAATGCTATGACTCAAAGTTAAAACTGAGCTTGTTTTTTTTTTTGTCTTTTTCATTTTTTATCGGTACCGGGGATCGAACTCACGACCGCCTGCTTGCAAGGCAGGTGCTTATGCCACTGAGCTAAACCCCCAGCCCCTAAACTGAGCTTATTTGTATCAAACACTTTTCTTTCCTTTTTCCCTTCTCCACTATGAGTTATGGAGCTGCCATGACTGTCATGCTAAATTTTGGAACCCAAGACTCAACTGGATCAGGAGACTCACTGTACTTTAGTTTTTAGAGAACTGGTCTTAAACATTTAACAGTGGCATAATTTCCTTATTTCATGTATTTATTTAGGTTTCTGTGAGACGGTCTTGCTATGTAGTTTACGCTGGTCTTGAACTCTTGGCAATCCTCCTGCCTCAGCTTCGTAAGTGCAGGGATTACAAGGATGCACTATCAGGACTGGCTTTAATTTTCTTACTTTTAAAGGGTTTAACAATCTGTGAGTCTAGTCTACCATTTAAAATATATATATTTTTTATATATATAATTTTTATATATAAATATATAGATACATATTTGTGTGTGTGTGTGTGTGTGTGTGTGTGTGTGTGTTGGGGATGAAATCCAGGGCTTTCACACTGAGCCACATCCCCAGCCCTTTTTAAAATTTTGAGACACAGTCTCATTAAGTTATTTTCAATCCTCCTGCCTCAGCCTCCAAGAATGCTGACAGTACATGTGTGTGTTCTATGGTGCCTGGCTTGACTTTTACACTTGGAGACCTGGAGGTAACCTTGGTGAATTGGTGGGCGCTTTGCTTCCACTCTTGGAGTTGGGATTACTCCATGCAGAAGGCTGGGCGTGGCAGGGACACGGCCTGGAGAGCCCTGCGTTACCAACAGCGACAACGCACAAATGGGCTCTGAGACAATGTCTGCTTGGTGAGCTCAGCACGAAGCAGCTTCATGCAGTGCTGAACAAACCCGTTTTTGGTGTCAGTGAATGATTTTCAGAGAGTGATCATTATAAAGCCTTGAAGGAAAATCGTTGCCAAAGTGAAGGACTACAGATACCCTGGTGGCCGTGACATAGATAAAACAACCAGGGGAGAAGGGGAGTGTGTGTGTGTGTGTGGTGTGTCACGGGATGGGAAGGAGAAGGATGACAGAGACTCAGCTTTCTCATTCTTTCTGGAAATTAGTAGGCCAAATAGAAACTAACCCTACTGCTGGCCCTGGGTCCTCTGTAGACCTCAGGTTCCTGCAGCATCACAGACTTAGGGCCTCACGCTGGACTTGCCCTGCTCTTTCCTACTTCCTCCATCACATCCTATACAAAGGAAGTCTCAAGACCACAGTAACGCTGCTTGGACCCTTTTTTCTTTGGGCTCCCTGTTCCAAAAGACAACTATTGGGCGGTTTAGGACAAGGGGCCTCCCCAGAGTTCTCACACACCGAGCCTGCTGCACTCTGGCTAGGCCAGCACTCACAAACGCCTGGCACTGGAGAATGTCAGATAAGCAGTCACAGACTGAATTGGCTAAGGTGAGATTATCCACAATGGCACAAAGAGGCCTGTAGAGCAAGAGCTGGTCCCTTTTTGCCTTTCTCACAATATCCTCACCAACCTTCCCACTAAAATGAACCAAGGGGACCGGTCGTAAAACGGGTCATGCCCGTCACTGAAGAGATCTGATCCCTCCTCCGTCCCTGCGTCAGAGCCGGTGTCATCCACGAACGCCTCATCATCAAAATCCTCCATCTCATCTTGCTGCTCGTCAGCCAGCTCAGTGATGTCGGAGTCAGCCGTGGAAAAAGTGGGGGAGGGTGTGCGGTCGGCAAGGCGCTCATTCACACAGCCGTGGAAAATGGGGGAGCTAGACACCAGGGCAGACGCCGAGTAACACAGCCAGGGAGAGAGGAAGAGTTGGTTAAACAGGAAGCAAAGGTGCCAAGAGGACAGAATCCACTGGGGAATCAACACAGTAAAAGCAAATAGAAAAGCAAAAGGATAAAATAAGCATAAATCATCTGAATCAGGTGAGAGGACACAAGGGCAGATTTAAAAAGTTCTACCGGATGGATCCTTAGAACAAGAACAGCAAAGGAAATCCATCTGTGGACCATTCCAGGTAGACACTGTGCTATAAAACTTCTGTATTTTTTCAGTTCACACAAAAGCTCAGCCAGCATCCAGGCTTTAAAAGAGTCATTCAACATTTAGGTGAAATAACAAGCTTTTAAATGTTTGTTCAAATCCTTCATATCATTTTGGAACAGCAAATCTCACGGGAGAAGCGGCTTGTGCCAAAGCAGCACGTGCTCTGCTTGAGGAGGACGTATTTGGCCAATTCGTCTCCTTAAAAAACCACTCTCCTGTCAGAGTGGAGCAGGAAAGATTTCACTTCTACAAAAGGATATTACTTTAGCAACTCCTTTTTATCTACTTTCTTTAAAAACCATCAGAATACTTTTGCAATTGAAAAACAATTCAAATTCTGGAATCAGCAAGCTCAAAACTAAAATTTCCCTGGCTTTAAATTTCTAAACCTCTAAGTACTTAACTCGATATGGACTCACAGCCTTGGTGTGGTCTCATAAAATGTTGAAAATAACGTATGCACAGAAAAGGCCCAAGGGGCTGCCTAAAGTGTGTACTTTTAATTCACCCTTGACAATGACTTAAAAGTGGAATGAATTGCTTTTTAATTTTTATTTATCTATGTAGCAGTACCGGGGTGAATTGATTTTTTTAAAACAAGCGAGAACAAATCAAATTACTGAAAGATTGCAATCTGGTAAGACAGTATGATTTTAAACTTGAAGGATACAGACACAAGTCTTTTTCTTGTCAACCTACTTAATCAATTGCAAGACATCTCATGAATACACTGAGAGTCAAGAAAGACTGAAAAATAACTTTGGCTGAAAGTATGAGAATCAAAACAATACGCATACTGAAACGCTGAAGAGAAGCATCAGATGGCACAGAAGTCAGGAGTAGATGAGACTTCACACTCTTACCCTTTTAACATTCTACACTACCTGCTAAGTTTTACACAAAATAAAAGCATTCATTTCTCAAAGAAGGCAACAAATCATTACATACCTTCCCACAAGTTTGAACCAGTGGAACCGGTCGTAGAATGGGTCACTGCCAGTCATGGTGGCTTCACCTTCGTCTTGGGCACCGGAAGACATCTCACCTGCCCTGTCATACATCTCTCGCATCAGATCCAGCCTCTGTCTGTTTAGCAAACATCAAGCATACATGATTAATACTATGAAATGTCATTTAAGTCTCTCTTTGGAAGCATCTTCCATGCAAGACATTTAGGTTTTTTACCTCCGTTACTAATTGAGGTTTTTTGGAAACAGGGCCTTACTTCATAGTTCAGACTGACCTTGAACTCACTATGTAGCGCAAGGTGGCCTCAAACTCACAGTGACGCTTCTGCCTCAACCTCCCAAGTGTACCACCAGGCACAGAAAGACTTTATTTTTTAGAAGCTGCTATTCCCTCTATTAAAAACAAATGAAGGCCAAAACATTCAGTATCACAGGTATCTGAGTCTAGAAAGAAGCCACCAAAAGTTAAGAATGACCACCTAAGCTCTCCTGGGCAACCAACCTGGGAAAATGTACTTCAGTGGTCTGTGACATGTCAAATACACTCAGACAATGGGAATTACCTCAGCATCCTAAATGTAAAGGAAGCGTGGTTCTAACTTCCTGTTTATTACTGGGCATCATGAGATCCAAGACAGAAAAGACAATGAGATTAAGTATCATAGAAGTGGAACATTTAGCACTTAGGAAGAATCTATGGAGAGCAACCTTAAATAACTACAAACATCAGAGATGTTGGAAGGGTGGGGATCATTCATTTAGAAGAAGGAGGATGGACGGTGGCACCACCAGCTGGCAACAGCCTTTGGCACAGAACAGAAAGCACCCACATCCTCAGAGCACAGAGAGCATGAGGGGCCCAGGTGAGCAATCCGCCGTCACTTCCTCAGTGAGGCAGCCCCGAGGAAGTCTTCATACTTAAGTTTCTCCAAAGACCAGTAATGCGTGGCTCCATTCTTCAGATCCTGGACCTCTACTGCCACCACTGTGCGAGGGAAAGGCCTGCCCTCAGGGGTCTTCTCCACCTCAGGGGGCAGCAGTTCAGGCGGCAGCGGGGAGTACAGCGTGTCGGTCAGCAGAACAAACTGGAACTGTACCTGAAGGGCAGAGCGAGTCATCCACAGACGTGAGAACCACACCATCCCAACAGGTCAGCTCTGCAGCCCAGGCGGAGGCCTTGTCCCAAGAGGAAAGAGGTCAAACATGTTGCACATGCCCAAGGAAGCTTGTGACCAACTGGGAAAAAGGCCACCTCCACTTATTAAACACAGGAAATAACCTTAATTTCAAGTGATCCAAATTACAAATAATCCTAATTTCAGGACAAGCTATTAGCAGATTGTGTTTCTTAGCCTTGCCAGGCAATTCTGCACAAACAAAATCTCAGTAAGTAAATATATTTTGGCTGAATGAATGAGGATCATTTCCGGTCCTTCACTAATGAGAGAAGATGGAACACACAAGGTTCTCCATTATAAACTCAGAAGACAACTACTACTCTTGAAAATGTTTACTAAGAGCTAGGCTGTAGTAGGGCCCAGTAGCAGGGCTGAGCTCCCCAGGGAAAGAGGACTTAAGAATAAGCCATCCAGCCTCAGCACTGCCATCTTGCGTACCTTCTTCTTCAGCTCCACACTGATGGCATTGGCCTCCTTCAGGTACACGGCATTGCCCCAGAGTAAGTCCCGTAATGAAGTAAACTGGTGAGACTTCCACTTCCGGAAGGCCCACTGGGCCAAATCAAACTCATGCTGTGTCCAAGAAGCTGAAAGAACAAACCAAGCGTACTCAACAGTAATCCATAGTGTAAGAAAATAGCATCTCTCTCACCTTATCTCACTTATCATGTTATTTTCCAGTTTTCCCTACTACTTATTTAAAACAGCACATCAGAGAAATAGATCTGCTCCTCTTGTATGCGTGCATGCCTGCCTGGGTGTGTCACTGGGGGATAAACCCAGGGCTTCTGAACTGAGCTACATCCCTTGCCTTTATCTTTTTCATATTTTTTTCTTTCTAATATAGGAATTAAAGATCATATTTTACTTAGATACTTAAAATATACAATTTAATACATGAAGAGTTCCTCTAAAGTTAATTTGACATCTTGAGACTACTGAGAGGTGGGACAGTAAATAAGGCATGATGAACGCTCACACTGCAAGGTGGTCATAGCAGTGAAAGCCATCACTTGGCTAGAAATGGGGGAAACATAAAATGGGCCAGCAGGACAGGCAGTGGAATCAGAAGTTGCCAGGAGTGGCTCTAAACACTCTGGTGCATTCCAAGGTTCTCAATGGGGACTCTCTGGTATAAACTACAAATTGAACCGATTATCTTAACAATGATTACACTCCACGTTTATCTGAGATAAACACACACACATCATGTGTACAGTAATATGACACAGTAGACATAAGCTTCCTGAGACTTCTCTACAAAGACCAGGCAAAGAAACCTCGTGACGTAGATGAACACTATCAGCCCTGAGCTGAGGGTTCTCTGCCCTGAGCATCTTTTGCCTCATTTTTAAATGGGCTCCCTGCAAGGTCAACAGATGGCAGAAGAAATGGGAGGAACCCAGCTCTGACAAAGGCAAAGGATGAATCTGATGATACAGATGCAAATGGAATGAGGGCAAGTTTTGGTCCCTGGATTTCACCTTCTTCCTCCTCTTCCTCTTCTTCAGTTGTTTCTGCAGCCAGGGATCGGGTCTCAACCTGCTTCTGCAAGGCCTGCAACTTACTCTCATAGTCCTGAGTGGAAAAAAAGGAGATAACATGTAGGAGAGAGAGGGAGGGAGGACGGAAGCACAGGAGAAGCAGAAGGCATGGGAGGAGCAACCACAGGAAGAGAGGGGGAACAGTAGAAAGACAAACAGAAACGCCAGCGAGAATCAAAGCACTCAAGACAGTCTGTAAGGGAAAGAGCACAAACTTTTTACCCACAGTTTCTCTGTATCAACTCAAAGACCCAAGAGCTGCTTATCTGGAGTCACGGCAGGAAAAAGGAGTGACTGTGGGAGAACGCGCTCGCTGCCTTAATGCTTCACACACCGAAGCAGCTCAGACAAGACAACACTGGCCAGCTCTGCCCTACATCCCAAGGTCTGTTTGGAGGGGAAGGAGCTGGGACTGCAGACTTCGAAGCATCTGCCAGTGAAGTATTGTTATTTCTGAAGTGAACGGTGAATCTGGCTTCTGGGTAACCCAAACCTCCACAATACTACTAGATTGAAAGAATTTATATTATATTGTTTTCCCAGAAGATTTTAAAATACACCACCATATTATAAATGCATTGCTATAGTTCAAATCAGATCTACCCTTCATTTTTCTTTTTTTTCTTTTTCTTTTTTTTTTTTTTTACCCTTCATTTTGCTAACTACCTCATACAACCTCTCCCTCCCTTGTTCCCCACCACCACTGGGGACTGAACCCAGGGCTTCAGCACTGAGCTACATCCCCAGACTTTTTCATTTTTTTAATTTTGAGCACAGTCTTGCTAAGCTGTTAAGTTTTCCCAGCTGAGCCTGCACTTGTTTCAGCCTCCCAGATGGCTGGGATTATAGGTGTGCACCCTATACCCCGCTTCATGCACTTTCAGTAAGAGCAGTATTATCCCGAAGGGGTAAAAAATGGTTCTTGAGTGATGAAAAGCTTCTTGTTCTTTTATGTATAAAACCCCAAACAGACATGCAGCTGATAAACAGACATGTATCTGAGGTATTACTAATTTCATGAGAAATCAGGGAAAACTACCTGAAAAGGTTATTTGGGGTGTTAGTGAGAACAGAGCTAAGAAAGACGACCTCGGGATGCAACACTGACGCACAGCATCCAGGCAGCATCCTGAGCTCTGCTGCGGAGCTTCCCGCTTCCTTTGGCTTAGCAGGAGGGACCCCTAGCAGGCTCTCCCGAGATGGGGCCATGCTGCACCCCGCACGTCTGGAGACACAGACACTCCCCACAGCGCTGGCAGGGCTCAGCTTCCAAGGAAGCTGGTGGCTGGTGGAGACAGCGTTGTCAGGTCCCTAAACACTCTCTTCCCTTCCACTTTGTTGTTCGCTAAGGTGGGTGGGTGTGTGGTAACAGGGACCAAACTCTGGGGTGCTCCACTATCCCCTGGCCTTTTTTATGCTTGTTTGTTTTGATTTTCTTTTTTCATTAAGATTTTGAGACAGAGTCTTCACTAAGTCGCCCATGCTGGTCTTGAACGTGCCACTCTCCTGCTTTAGCCTCCCAGTTGGAACAAACTACAGGTGTGTGCCTCTGTGTATGGATTTAAACACACTTTTTAGGACACAATGTACAGTACAAGGAAAAAAGAAAGATGAGAAAAAGAAAGGTAAACTAGCAGGTAAAAGGACTAGGTTTTCATCCTGCAGCTGCTCTTACTAGTCTCATAATTCTGGAAAGCAAGGTCTTCTCTAAATCTCACTTTTTTTTTTTTTTTTTTTTTTTGTCTTTGTGAGACAGGGTTTCACTAATGCAGTTCAGGCTGATCTTGAGCTCACTTTGTGGCCTATGCTGGTCTGCAACTCGTAGCAATCCTCCTGCCTCAGCCTCAGCTTCCCGAGCGGGATTACAGGCATGAGCCATCATGCCCGGCTCTCGCTTTCCTTATTTTTAAAATGAAGAGTTTACCATCTGACTTCCTTACTACACAGAACTGCAGGAGCTGCTAGTTCAGGACCAACCTGGGCTACATACTTCAGAGCCAGCCTGGCCTATATTGCAAGACCCTGCAAGGAGGACCATCTAAAAAACAGGTGAAAGGTCTCTTAGATGTAATACAGTGTCAAAACGACAAGCCATTTTTCAGTACCAGAAATCAATCCAAGGTGCTCTACCACTGTGCAACATCTCCAGCACTTTTCTCATTTTTTGAGACAAGGACCCCCTAAGTTGCCCAGGCTGGTCTCAAACTTGCAATCCTCTTGCCTCAACTTCCAGATGGGCAATGTATTTTAAAAGCTTATTTTCTAAGCATACCATGCATCTAGATTTTGGTTTCTAAATACCGTTCCTCACTAAAAGAAACTTGAAGTCCAAGAGAAAATAGCAGATTCCAGGATTGAAGTAAGGAAAGTAAAAGCTGAGTGTGGAATGTCTTGTGCCAGAAAGGGTGGAAGAATTCAGAGTGCTCTGGAGTCATTTTAAAAGGTCATAGATAGGCTCCCACTGGCCAAAAGTCAGAACAACAACAGAAAAAGAATACAGAAGAGCACGAAAGAAACTGAATACAGAAAGAGTCCATGGGTTTGCAGTGATACTGAGAGCAGGAAAAAATGGAAAGCTCTTTTTAAAAACCAGCTAAGGGGCTGGGGATTTAGCTCAGCGGCCTAAGTGCCTGCCTTGCAAGCAGGCAGTTGTGAGTTTGGTCCCCGGTACCAATAAAAAGGAAAAAGACAAAAAAAAACCCCCCAAAACAACAAAAAAAAACCCCAACCAGCTAATAAATGCAGAACAACACCTGGAAAACCCTCACAGTACAACTTCAGATGTAAGTAAATCAGGCAAGGATCACTAATAGATACGAGAGTAAGGGAGTAAAAAGTAGATGGGAAATAAGGATTTCACACAAACCAAAGTCTACCCTCAAAAAAGTATTATTAGTAAGGGACACAATCCAGTGACACCGGAGAGAGCTGGAAAACACTATATTAACCAAAGGCATTAAATGTTAACATCACCAGTAACTGGAAAAGTTGATATTCTTTGTCTGTGCATGCGACGCAGCGGGAAGTACACGTGTCATCTTTATAGCCTTTTTACCAGAACGCTTAACTTAAACCTAACCTTCTGGTTGGAAGAAAATCAGAAAGTGCCCTTCAATAATGCCAATCTAATGAAAGATCTAAAAGCCACAGCCAATCACGTATAAATAGTGGACCCTGGATTAAAACACAGATACACACACACACTTACATGAACACATCCGTATTTCTGAGATAAACAGGCAAACGTGACAGTGGACTATATGCACTAAGATTGGACCAGTACTAAGTTTATTAGATGGGATGAGGACAGCAGAGAACACTGTCAACGGCATCCACTTCAATCCCAGCTACGAAGGCAGCTGAGGGAGGAAGATGGCAAGCTGGAGGCTGGCCTGGGCAACTCAGTGGGAGCCTGACTCAAAACAGAAAATAAAGGGGCTGGCATTCCAGCTAGCTCAGTGGTTCAGTGCTCAAAAGAGAGACTATCCCTATACTAGGACACACAAATAGAAGCATTTAGGAGTAAACTTTTATCTGCTACTTTCAAATGATTCGGAGTAATGAAAAGTTAACTGGACTACTTTTTTCAGGTTCTCTGTATGTTTAAAATTTCAAAATAGTCAGAGAGGGGAAAGTATTCCCATCAAAAAAACCCACAAAAAATACCTTCATGGGATTCTTTTGACAGAAAGTTTGCTACTTTATGTAAAAACCACCAGTAGAAAAATTGTCAATATGTTACCTTGAGATCTCTTCAAGAACACGTTTATGAGCTGGCTAAATTACCAACTACAACAATATTCACAGACTGACAGCTGAGGGATGAGTAACAGTCCCTAAAGGTTCTAACTGCACTTCAGGGCCAGTAAAACTGATTTTTAAAAAAGGCTCCTTGGGCCAAAGACTTTTAACTACACTTTACGGGCCAGTAGCCCACATATCAGACCATCCCTTGACCTGACCCCTCTCCTCAGGCAGCTGCTTACAAGCCTCCAGCAAAACTGTTCTGTCATCAGGAAGACTAAATTAGGACTAGACTTTTCCAAGAGGGATACAGAGATTCTGTTCGCTTTGTATTTGATTAAAACTAGGACAATCATGGAAAAGCATACTAAAATATATTTTACTCCTTTTTTGTGTTGTACCAGTGATCAAACTCACAATTTTGCACTAGCCAGGCAAGTGCTTGCACTGTTGAGCTAAATCCCCAGCCCTGAAATATATTTCTCACTAGCCATTTCAGTTTATAAAGTCCCAAGTAGTTCAAAACATGCCCTATTATCTACAAAATCACAGCACAAGTTGTTCCTTCTTCTAGGATGTCTCCTCTTGTTTATTTCTGCACTAGTGATTGAAGCTAGAGTGTTTATCCTGACCATATCATGTAAGTCCTCCTGTTCTTTTAATGGGCACTAATTTGCCCAGTTGGGCTTTAACTTACAATCCACCTGCCTCAGCCTCCCGGAGTGCTGGGATTTAGTGCCCACTTTTTTTTAAAATCGGTACTGGGGATCGAACCCATGACCACGTCCTTGCAAGGCAGGTGCTTATGCCACTGAGCTAAATCCCCAGCCCCAAGTGCCCACTTTTGTTTACATGCTTATTCTATGTCACATACTGCTCTTAATGTTCATCATAGATTATCCTAATCTTACCTATAATAGTATTGTTAGTCTTATGCTAAAAGGGAAAAAAAAACTTAAAGAAATCGGGTAACTTTCTAGCACATCACAAAGCTAGTGAATGGTGGCAATGGACCAATGGGCAATCTACAGCATGCATTTTCAGCCACCTGCCTGTCCACCCGTCTGTCCACCCGTCCGGCACATACTTTGTGTTCTCCTATTCTACACCCCATGCTAGGAACACAGAGGTCAGTAAGATAAAGGTTCCACTGGCGAGGAGAAAGAAACAATGAAGAGTGAACAAGCTGTGCACTACGATTTCAGGAGAGGGAAGTACTCTGAAGAAGGACGAAGACAGATATTAGGGGCTGACAGGACAGAAGGATGGAGGACATGCTCAGGACTTAAG